ACATCTACAATATTGAAACTTTCTGTTCTAGTCATCATTAGCAGTTCTACTGGCGCTGTGGTCTAAACCATGGTGTCTCTTGGGCTTGCTGATCGTAAGGTCGACAGTTCGAATTTACATGATGGGGTGAGCTCCCATTGCTTTGTCCCAGCTCCTGCCAACCTAGCATCAAAAGCATACCAGTGCAAGTAGATAAATGGGTACTCCTCTGACAGGAAGGTAAATGGCATTTCTGTGCACTCCAGCACTCGTCACAGTGTCCTGTCCACATGGTGTCCACATGACCCAGAAAGATGTCTGGGCAAACGCCGGCTCCCTCAGTCTGAAAACGAGATGAGCACCACATCCCATAGTCACCTTTGACTGGACTTAACCATCTAGGCGTCATTTTTTTCTACTAGTTGTGGTATAAAATACAAAGGATACCCAATGATACCTGTTGTTTGACTGCTTCTAGCCATATGATGATTAACAGTATGGTACAAACTATTTTTCCCCTTCCTCTTTTTTCTCTTGCAGCCCCACCCCTACTTAAAATCTGCTCCAGATGGTTCCCCAACCCTCCCAAGGAGATTTGGTGGATGTGCAGGAGGTAGCAGGGAGGAGGAGAGGAACCTGAAGTCCTGTTATGCAAGTAGAAGTTCATTCCGCTAGCAACTGGGCACAATTGCATATCTTCGTTTTTATATAGGTTTGCATCTCCAGCAAATATGTAAAAATCTAGTATTATTTTATAACATGTCAAACATTTCCATAGGTTATACTATACATCTGATAAATTCATGGCAGAGTGTAGTATCATTGTGCAAACTTAAAAAAAATTAAAATATTTATTGCTTCTTGCTTTAAGAACTTGTGATTGAGCTTGCTTTTCCCTCCTCCCTGTCATTTCTTTTCCCCTGTATGTTGTGTGTTTTTAGATTGTGAGCCTGAGACTATCTTTCTGTAAACCACTCTGATAGCCTTTTTGGCTAAAGGAAGGAGTATAAATGCCCAATGTATTCATTCATGCATATATTAATAAAATTCAACAAAATTGTGTTGCTTATCTGCAGCCATCATCTTATCTGAACAAGTGTTTATTCTCTATACACAGAATTTTGTCTTAATTGGATTACAACATGCTTTAAAATATGCTTCCTCATTTCACCAGCTTCTAGCCCAACTTCCGCTTCAAAGCCATTTGCATTTTAATTGTTTGTACTATTAAGCTGTTATTATCTTATCTTGAGATTGAACTTTACCTCAACTTCCAGCAGAGACCGTAGCATGGCAAAATCACATTCTTCACCTTTTACATCTAAAAGGTAACTCTAGTTTGAATATGTTCAGAGGACTGTTACATATGTAATTCTAAACAAAAAAGTGAGTCTACAGACTTCACTTAAGGCTGGCGAGTACCACCAATTGGTGATTGAGATGTATGGAATTTAGGTTCAGATCCCTTTCTGGGCATGAAGCTCATTGAATGCCCTTGAGGGTGTCCCTGTTTCAGAGTCCTGTCCAGCAGTGGCTGATTTCTCAAAGCTGGGGAAATTGTGGGTTTTGGTGATTGGATCTCACTAAGCTGGTCATTGTCCTTTGCCCTAGCCTCAGGCTCTAAAGCCAAGCCAGTACTCCTCCCAGATGGCCCAGGAAGTGAATGTTCAGTTCCTTATGCATATTAGACTTGGTGCTTGATTTAGAGAGTATACACTAAGACTCTTTTTCTCTCGCAGAAAGCACACAGCTTACAACTCAGCATATTATGGACTCAGGACCGTTGGAGCAATCTTAAGGTTACTGCGATAAGAGCAAAGGTGAACAACTGAAATTTGAGTATGGAGAATGAAATGCTTGTAAGCAAAAGCTATGAATCTGCAATGGTGGATTTTGGGGTCTCAAATTTCATTGGCACCCTGTGCGACTCCAAAATCTGGCACACACACACACCCTTGCCTTTCATTCTACATCATAGCTGTGGCGCCTCCCAGGCTCTGCACCCAGTACAGCTGAACTGGTCATGCTGCCCTATAACCACCTGTGGAATCTGTGTCATTTTGTTCGCATCTGTTTTTCTTAGACTTTTGATAAGCGGGACCAGCAACAAAACAGTGCAATGTGGAGATCTCCTTTTCAGGGTTCCAGGCAGTCAGACCCTTTTTCTTAGTACTTTACTCCATTTACCACCACCACCTCCCCATTTTTCTGTTTTCTCTCCTCCAGTAGTCACTCAGCATTCTGTGCCCACTGAGCATGCTCAGTTCTCCTTGTGCTATTTTGTTCCCTTGTAGATCCCACCCCCAAGATTATTTGCATTTCTGAAACCCTTGCTGTTTCCCCAGACTTGCTGACCCTTCCCTCTTGTGTGTGGATGGTGCCTTTTATATAAGTTTTGGCACTTGGAGAGCTGTGTTCACTATTAGGATATATAATGATGATTTTAACAAATGCCCCTTCTCAAAAAGTTGCTTAAATGGTAAGGAAATGTTTTTCTCAATGAATTTTCTCAGTGAACATTTTTAAAACAAAAATAAGTAGATATATTTTACCTCTGGATAAGAAAAGCAGAACTACAGATCTGCACATTGAGTTTCTCAACCTTCTACTGGCACAAAGCTAGAAATAACTAAATCTGGCCAAAAGCCCCATTTTATTTCCCAGTAATTCAGGATTGGGCAAGGGGAGTCCTTGTACTTATTGCATAATTGCCTGCAGTAGATAACAAAATTGATAGTAGGCACTTTTAATAGGCAGTGGGGGTTTTTTATCAGGTGAGCATATTCCTAGCCCATATTTAGCATTACAAGGTGAGTACTATTTAATTAGATAACACTAAGCACAGAGTAACCATAATGCTTTAATTTAGTGTTATACTGTGTGATCTTTTGCCCTTAGAAGAGAAGGAGATTAGAAAACTCCCTAATTTCACTCCCATCTCATCATTTCTGATTTTCTTAAATTCTCATTTTGCAATACTTGTTGAGAAAGGCTATCATTTTTAGAGATTCTTAAGAGATGTTCAAGTAGCAAAAGCAACTCCATAAAGATAATGGTGAAGCCAGAAAAGCTATGTATTTTGTAATAGATAAGGCAGAAATTCTGTCATCGTAGGCAGGACAGGCTGAGGTCATGGCGAGTACAATCCAATAAATTAATAGACTTTTGGGTAAAGAAGGCCAGCTTCTAACTTTACTTGTATACATAAGAACAAATTTTGCCTCCCACTTCTTTTCTGGACATGAAAGGCAAATACACTGCCAATGGATATCCCTGTCAGCATAGCAAGTGCAGATGTCATTACATGATGTAATTCCATTAGCTTTTTTGCAATTCTTTATCAGCTCGCTATTGCGTAGGCAACCCTATGTACATGTCATCAGTTTGTCTGGATATACGGGCTCATGCTCACTTAAGCATGTGTTTGAATAATATTTTTCAGTGTATAAAATGTTTTACAATTATTTTCCAAACCTTATGGTACAATTCTACTCCCTTGTAAAACAGGGGTTGAAAGTGACCTGTCCAGCATAATTCAGTTAGCTTCATGGCTATAGGCATTTTAGTGGGACATCTTCCATTGTTTCAAGACTTGGATTCAAAATATCTGCTAAAACCTATCTTGACTCCCTTGGAATATGATCCTTCGCAAGTATTGAGGCTGCTACTGCTGTTCAGTAATTTGTTTCCAAAGCAAGAGAGAGATAAGTCAAAACAGAAGGGGAATGGTTTCTGAAAACATAAAACTCATATGTAGAGGAGGTGAGCATAGATAGATGCACGACAGTCTTACACTAAAGCTCAGTGGAACTTGGGAAGTCAAAGCGTTTGTAAATTATGGCAACTTGTAGTACGTAAATAAAAAGGATGAAAGTAAATGAGGAAGTTGTTATATAGCAATAATAGCCAAAATAGTGCAACAGGATCATACGCTTCTTTTGAGTATCATGCAATGTGTGAAATGCCCCCTTCTTAAGTATTTTTATTGATTTACTTCCTCTGGTGGGGGCAGCTGCCCCCCCTTGGCTACGCCCAGGGTACCCATACAATCCTGCTGCCACCCCATAGCCCATAGTAAGCCATGGTAGGTAAGAGCCAGAGTTTGCTGCCGTTCACTCTTTTCTGAAAGTTGACCTGGTAACTATTCCTGTGAATTAGCATATACAAATTTGTGTCACGGGTCTGTACCCCAAGCCCCACCCCAGAGCCATAGCTACTGGGGGTCCGGGTGAAGCCTTCAGAAGACCTCCACTGAGGCTCCCAGCCCAGTAATGCTCATGGAGGAGTGCCAAACTGGGTCTTTGACCCAGGTGCAATAAAGCCTAGTTTTACCCCTGCCCACCCTTGCGCAGCAGTTCTAAGTAAGAGGGGAAAGTAGGCAAGTGCTGCTTTAAACACAAAACGCTGCCACTCTTTTCAGCTGCTGCTTTTCCCATTTTTTATCGGATCTAAGGGACCGCTATGGAAGCGCTTAGTGTTTGCAGCTAGAGATAACGCAGCAGAACAGATTAGGCCGGTAGCAGTCAGGAGGGATTCCAGCAGGGAGGAAAGCTGCTGAAATTGTGAAGTTAAACTTCACGTAGGGGAAGGAGGTGAAAAGGGGATTGCAGCTAAGAATTCGGAAAGTAAAGAAGGTCGGGGCATTACCGTCCAATTTTATTATAGTAGGGGGAGGGCAGGGGAACCCTAGGGGCCACGGCTATCAACTTTTCCCTTTTCTTGCGAGGAATCCTATTCGGAATAAGGGAATTTCCCTTTAAAAAACGTTGACAGCTATGCTAGGGGCAGGCACTGAAAACACTGCCTGATGATAAAAGCCCGAGAGCAGCAAAGGCTGATGAGAGAAAGAGGGGGACCCCCCCGGGGGGGGGGTGCGTCGCCAGTGAAACCCGTGAGCGCAGCAGCGGCACTTTGTCCTCCTGCAGCAGCGGAAAATACGGATGATGCGCTGCTGGGCGAGAACGTGGCTGCAAGCCAGTACCTCGGGTCACTTGTTCTCTGCGCGCTGCTCGGTTCAGGCCATCCTGGGGTGGGTGGGTGAGCTGGAGGGAGCGCTGGCTGGCTCTCGCAGGCGGGGGGGGGGGACCAGCCCTCTCAGCAGGTGGCTTCTGCGGGGCGGGGCGAGCGAGCCCCTCCTCCTCCTCGCCTCGCCATTGGCTATAAGGAGGGCCGGGGGGCGCCTGGCTGCCAGAAAGTGAGTCGCAGGTGGTGCCGTCGGGGGAAGCAGCAGCAGCAGGCGCGCAGTGCGAGGGCGCGGCAGGCGAGCGAGGTCACCAATGCAGTCTTGCGTCCAGTGGTGGGGGCGGCTGGTGGGCCGGGGGGCCAGCCTGCACGGACCCCACGGGGGAGCCTTGGGGGGCAAGAAGGCGCCCGGCCGATGGGGAGGACGCCGGGAGCAGCAGAGGCTGGCTGGGGTGAGGAGGAGCAGCAGCAGCAGCGCCGTCGGAGAAAGCGCCGCCGCCGCCGCCGCCGCCTCTCCAAACACCTCGAGGCGCATCGAGAGACTCCTGCCCAGGCACGATGACTTCTCCGAGAGGCACATCGGCCCGGGGGACAAAGAGAAGCGAGAGATGCTGCAGACCGTGGGGCTGTCGGTGAGCCAAATCCGGGGGGCTCCCTCCTCTCCCTCTCCCCGCTGACGCGCTTTGCGCCCCCATCCCGTACCCGGACCTGACCCTCGCCTCCCCTCTTTTTGTGCGCCCCGGGCAGCGCTCGCTTTGTCTGGCCGCTCTCCTTTCCCCACATCAATATCTTTCCCACCATGTCACGCCATCTGGCCTCATTTCACTTCAGAGTAAAGAGCTTTTCGAAAGTGGGGGAGGAGAGATCTAAATCGCGTTTCATAAAACCTCGGCTGCATGAGCCCGAGCTCTTCAGCAAAGATTCCTCGTGAGTTTTTCCTCCCTTCACCCGTTCCTCTTGTTTGGACCCTTTGTCTGAATAATCCCCCTTTTTGGTGCGCGGCTTAGGTGTTGCAGAACTTCAAACTTGCAGTCGGTTCATGTGATGCTTTTCACCCTATCCCTTGCCTTTTTAGAGTATTGACGAGTTGATCGATAAAACAATTCCTGGCAATATCCGCTTGCAACGGCCTCTGAAGATGGATGACCATATTTGTAAGTGTCCCTTTCAGCCTAGGGGCAAATAAAAAGCCTCATATGAAATCTTCCCCTCTCTGCTTTTCATTGCTTCTGATTTAATTAGTATAGCTGGGTAGGAGAATTTCATTCTCCCTATCAGCAATAGATTTAGTTGTGGGATAGCGAGTTGTCTTAAAAGGCTTGGTGCAAAAACTAGATGACTATTGTGAAGAGCAGAATACAGTCTGCATAAACATACAGGGGACACCCATGTTAGTCTTTTACCCATAATTTCTCAAAATCATCTTTAAAATATATAATGTGAATGAATAAGCTAGTCTAATATACATGTTTTGTTTTTAAAAAGTTGTTTGCTGCCTTTTTATTTATTTCGCTAATTTTATTGAGTTTAATTTTTATTTATTTGATTTTAGGATAGATTTTTTTAAAAATAGAAATAAAATGTCCAATATGATCTATATGGTCATATGCATAAATGTTGTTCAAAATGTCTCTGAAGCACCTATCAAGGATGCTTATGATGCTGCTTTACAATCTAAAATATTTGACATTTTCCTGCCATTATGAAGCATATGCAGTTTTAGATAACATTACATTACATTGCCATGCCCCTAGTGGGTTTCATTATTCAAGAAATAGTTTAGGAGATCAGATTCTAACACCTTCATCCACACTGTTTCTTCTAGGTATGTCAGTTTGCAATGCCAATCAAATGTTACGTGTGATGATGCCACATTGTGTAGATGCTGATTCCCAAGTACAAAAAAGGATTTTGAAATAAGTTTCCTTTTGTACTTTGTCACCAAATTGCCCCTCTGTGCAAAATTTCAATACTCATAATTTTCCTTGTTTAGAGGTTTTTGGAGAAACTTCCAGGGTTTGGGAGGCGGAAGGTACATCTTTAAAACAAAATAAAACAAATGTCTAGCAGCATCAAGATTTCCTTAAGTGCTTAACATAAAAGTGCTCTCTAAACAAAATACCAGGAAAATGTGCTAGTGACATATAGATGGTTTATTCAAACTTTTTAAAACAGTTGCACTATTATAATCTTTTAGCTTCCTTCCCCTAGGGATAATCTCTTCTTTTTCATCTGTGAGAGCATTTAAAGATCTAGAACACACTGAATTGTCTTGCTCACATTCTGGTGTTGTTCATCAGCCAGCTGCAGTTTGAGTGTAAACTTTAGGCCCAGCAGCCCTTTGCAAGGTTCTGGCCAGTTCAATCTGGTTACTTTGTGATGACATCACAGAACAGAAGCAGCAGGCGGAATGAAAACCCCCGAGGAACAATAGTCTGCAAAGATAGATTCTATATAGAGGTAATAGAAAATGATGGAAAATTTATTAGTCTGTTTTTTCAGCTTTTATATTTTTATAGCTTAGCTTCTTTAATTAATTGTCTTCTCCCAGTTTGTGGTTGAATATTTTTTTTTTATAAAAAAATTGGATTATATTAATCCCTATTTGACATAATATTTGTGACTTGTAATTTTTGGAATGTTGCCAATATTAATCATACTTAGAGGAGACTCATTGAAATTAATGGACGAAGTTAATTTAGAGCCATTCATTTCAATAGCTGTGCTCTCGGTCAAATTTAGTTGGATACAACCCTTCCCTAATAAGATAACTCAAGAGTTACTATTGAAGGGGTGGTGGTTTCTTACAGCCAATTTATAATGTTTGGGGTTTTTTGTTACCTAGATATAATGTTTCAGTATAAAAGAAAGCATTGTGTGTCAGATGTGAAATGGTATACAGTACATGCATATTTTGCTCATTCTTTTAAAATGTACATTTTGCATTTGATGTGCAACATTATATCGGTGTCATAACCAAACAAGCCACATGACGTGTCTCTTAGTTGTTGGAAGTAAATCACCCTAAGACCTCCAGGTATAGGGTGGTATATATAATTCAATAAGTGTTCCATCCTCACAATTAACATTTTTTAGGGGAAATTGCATTTTCTGAAGACTCAGAATATAGACTGAAATTGGCAATGTTCCTGTGCCACTTGAAACCATAATTGACCATAACACAGTGGGGTTAGTGCACAGAACAAAATTAGTTGCTTTTTTCCTCCCCCATTCTTAATAGGAGCTGAGCAATAGTTTGGCTAAGCATGGCCCCCCAATCTGGGTTTATGATTTGTGTTCCAGAGGCAAACAGTGGGCAGTAAGCCAAGAACAAACCTTGATTACAGCTCATGGTTTGTCTAAAGAGAGACAAATCACAAGCTGAGGTTTGGGCATAATGCTAAGCCAAACCATTGTTTAGCTTTTAGCAGTACAACAGGAAAACAGGGGAGGAGGAAAGTGGCCATAATTTTCATCCTATGCACCAACATGCTATATGTTCACCTTTAAACTGTAGAGGGGATCTGGTTTCCCTACTGCCCTCAGCTAATGCTTTCATTTTAGTACTTAGCACAGTGTAGCATGCAGTTGTCTAGGTATCATAGGACCCTGTTAAAGGATACTTATGACATCTAGGCTCCTTAGATGCTGTATTGCTTTTAATACTCAATTGGGAGCCGCCCAGAGTGGCTGGGGAAACTCAGCCAGATGGGCGGGGTATAAATAATAAATAATATTAATAAGTCAAAATATTCACAGACATCTTGCTACTTTAAAACTGAATACACTAAAGGAACATAGTATATTGGCAATCATCTGTCAATTTCTTTCCCTTTAAGTAAAAACTACGAACTATGCTCATTCTGCAGCTTTTCTTTACGTTTTATGTTCAGAATGTGTACGTTCACCTCAACTGAGCGGAAATGCAGTCTGATTTTTAATAATGGTGGTGGTGAGCTCTTCCTTCCCACTCTTCAGCAAGGATCTCTTATCCCTGCAGCAAGATTTCATACCCAGGCCATTATTTATGGACCTATATATAGCAGGATAATTAAGCAAGGGCCAAAATGCAGTTGAGACCTGACCAAACTTTATTTAAGGTTTTGCAGGATGGCGACAATAAAACTCCTGCAGCAAAAGCGAAGGAGTTGAGTTAGTAATACTAAACTCTTCATAATATAGTATTTTGTGTAGTGAACATGACACTAATTTCAGCTTATACTTAATGCAATATTGCTCTTTTTGTGCTTGAGTGCTTCCTTGCTGACTTTTAAATAAATGAGCATTATTTGGGTCCACTGGTCCCTTAGTATGTCTTAGTAACATTCTGTAACAGGCTGCCATCTACTTGGTAATTCTCTGATAACATAATAGTAGTAGTTGGCTGCATTTCTGTTCATGAGTACAGCAAGCTCCTTTGACCGTGGTTTTAGTCCACTGAAGCCTGTTACAGAACACTGCAGCTCAAAGTTAAACATACCCTAGGGGTTGGTGGCAACTAGGTGCCTCAAAACTTTGGCATGTAAACTGGATTATTCCAGTATTCCAAAAGGCTAAGGGAGAAATACAACATTGCGCAATCTGGTTGGTAACTTGTGCCATATTCTAATTTGGTAGCAAGTGCATATGATAAATTCATGTCAACAAGTTTATAACACAAAAAGTCCCTTACTGGATCTTGTTTTTGAACACTTTGTACTTGTGTCCCCTGATGAGTCTATAACTGATGAGAGGTAAGAGCAACATAGGAGAGCTTGAGGCAAACAAGTATATACTCTGGCCATTTATGGCCAAAGGGCTGTGATACACAAATGAAAGTGAATGTACAAAGGTTTTCCCATTTTTATTCATTTCCCACCCTTACTGCCCACAGTTTAAAACAACTATACAAGCACCGTTTGCACATTTTAAGTATTCACTGATATTTATTTATGCAATATACTTTTATACCATCATCATTTTTAAAAATCCATGTTGGTCTACAACAGAGAACAATAAAACAGCCCATTAAAATCCAACAAATCTAGAAATACCGTAATATCCCTACAGCATCTGCAGATTCAAAAGGCCCACCCCCCTCAATCTTAGAGCATACTTTAAATGTAGAGTCTATGGACCTGTCGTTAAGTGATACTCCTGTGCACCAGAATCCATCCTTGCAGCTTCCAATAATTAAGCCTCAATCCATGGTTGCTGCTGCGGTAAGTGGTGCTCGGAAATTGCCTGGTAAGCAAGCTACAATTACTTCCTTCTTCCAGCCTATTGTCCCCCCTCGCCGCATGCATTCCCAGGTGGATTCTGCCGTGCTGGTTCCGCAAGGCCCAGCATGACTCGAAGGGGTGACCAGGAGATTACTTACTTTCTTATCCTGGAATGTAGCTGGCATTAAACCTAAGCTGATGGATCCATCCTTTGTCGCCTACATAAAAGGCAGTCATATTCTTTTGCTGCAAGAGACCTGGGCTTGTGAGGGCTTCCCTATCAGGGTATAAGGGCTTCTACCTGAATGCACATCAGAATTTACTATCTCCTGGCAGACCACAAGGTGGGTTGGCTACCCTAGTTTCTTTGGCCTTAAACCTGCAGGTGGAACAAATCGACATCCAGTCGTCATCCATGCTGGGTGTTAAGCTACAAACAGCGGAGGAAGTGTTTGTGGTGATTAATGTTTATTTGCACCCAATCTATAAGAAAAACCTGGTGGTCCAAAGATGGAGGGAAATTCAACAGACTCTTGAAACTCTCCTAGAGAAATATCCTGAAGCCACCTTCCTAGTTGCAGGAGATTTCAATGGCCGATTGTCTCACTCTGATAAATCATTATTTGCTAAATATAATAAATATCCCTCACTACCCATTTTAACCTCAGACCTTTTACCCAGGAATTTTAAAGACAGTGTTGCTACATATGCAGGTTTTAAATGTAGACAAACTTTGATGGCTCTTAATTTTCACCTTTTAAACGGAGCTCTCAGTTCTGATTACCCTGCCGAATTTACTTTCTGGTCAGGCTCCCGAGCCTCTACCATAGACTTTATTTGGACATCAGCAGACCTAATTCCCAAAATTTCCAACTTTAGGGTGGTAACGAGGCTGGAAAGTGACCATTTTCCATTAGAACTTTCTCTGACCCTGGATGGAGAATTGGCTACCTACTCCTGCGTGCCTATTACAAATAACCAGCTCAGATGAGGCCCACTGCCTTAAAATGGACCGACAATATGGCTCAACGGATAAATGAACTCCTTTGGTCTGACCAACTGCAAGAGACAAGGGACTCCTTATCCAGGCAGTTGAGCCACTGCCAATATATGACAATTTAGTAGAACTGCTAAAACCTTCGTTGGCTAAGACCCCGGTAATGAATAGTAACCATTTCTCTCATAAAAAGTGGTTTGATGAGGAATGTAGGCACTTCAAGAACAACCTATATAATGAATTCTTGGCATATAGGGCATCAAATGACTCCGCACCTAGCAGTCACCTTATGATCCTCAAGAGAAGGTATAAAGCACTATTAAAGGAAAAGAAGCGTGCGGCAGAAAGAAATGATTGGAAGAACCTTCTAAAAGCTGCAGAAAATAGAAATCCCTCCTCCTTTTGGCACCAAATTTCCAGATACCTGGGTAGACCGTTGTCAAGGATAGAACCCCAAATTTCAGCTGACACCTGGGAAAGCTTCTTCTCCGTTTTATATGCAGCTCACGCAGCTAGCGGAGGAAGGTTAGATTTGGCCCCTTGCCAGAGTGGGACCTTGTTACCTGCTCTGAAGTGGAAACACTTATAGGCCAATTTGAGGCGGGCAAGGCACCCGGAGACGATCTTATTTCCATAGATGTTATTAAAGCCAATAAGGATTGGTGGTGTCCACCCCTAGCAGCTCTTTTTACTTATATAAACAAAACAGCACAATTTCCTCCAAGCTGGAACTCTGCACTGATTGTGTTAATTCACAAGAAAGGGCCGCGCACAGACCCGGCCAATTTTAGACCAATTAGCCTGCTAAATGTTATCGGGAAGATCTATTCAAGATTTCTACTTAACAAATTAACGACCTGGATGGAAAGCAACAATATCATCGCAGAGGAACAGGCGGGTTTCCGCCCGGAAGATCAACAACAGACCAAATCTTAATCCTAAATCACTTGGCCACCAAGTACGCTGGCAATGGCCTAAAAGCCCTCCACGTCGCCTTTATAGACTTTAAGCAGGCCTTTGATCTAATTCCCAGGAACCAGCTATGGACAAAATTGGCAGCGACATCTATCGACCGCCGCCTTCTCTTGCTGATTATTAATTTGCATACAAATACCCTCTTGAGGATTAGGATAGATAGTAAGGGGCTAGTCTCCAACCCGGTTGCCACCACTAGGGGGGTAAGACAGGGCTGTTTGCTTGCCCCTGCTCTGTTTAACTTCTATATAAATTCGCTAGTGGTGCATATGGCAAATGCTGATTTCCATCCACCAAAACTGGCAGGACGAGCCTTGAATGTCCTACTGTATGCGGACGATGCCGCCCTATTAGCTACCTCCCCCATCGGATTAAGGAGGATGCTTCGAGCTCTTCATGAATATGAGACCCAACACGAGCTCCAATTAAATTATGCCAAGACCAAAATAATGGTCTTTGCTGCTCGACCGAAACCTAATTTATGGTCAATTAATGGTATTCCTCTAGAGCAGGTCAGTTGCTTCAAGTACCTGGGTCAGGTTGTAAGATCAAATAGGTCCTTCCTGGCGCACAGAGAATACATAGCCTCGAACGCATCCAAAGCAGCCCTGATGATTAGAACCCTGTACTCCAAGAAACAGGCACAAACTGTCAATGTTGCCTTACGTCTCTTTAAAATGAAAGTCCTCCCTCTTCTGCTGGTGGGCATTGCCTTGGGCTCACATAGGGATTTTGAAAAATTGGAATCTATCCAAACCCAATTCCTCAGGGCCATACTCAGGATCCCCCCCTCTGTGGCAGGTGCGATCATGAGGCTGGAAACCGGTTGTCAAGCCTTTAGGTATGTGGCCCTGAAAGCGAAGTTATGGCTATGGCTCAAGCTCTGTTTCAGACCGGTGGGTTTGGCCCCCTTGATTCTGAGGGATAACTTTAAATCTCCATGGGAAGGGGAGATAGTGGAGGAAGTGCAGAAGTGTGGGTTGTCCTCCCTTTATATAGAGTCCATGACGTATAGCCACGCAAAGGCGGTGATCGCGCAAAGATTAAGGGATATTGCCAGACAGGAGGACATAGCCCGTGTGAAACCTGGGTTGTTTCTGGGGGAGCAGTTGTATCGGGCTGCCCCAGCTCGCTACCTGGCGGATATCCACTACGTGGAATACCGCAGACTATTTACTGCGGCTAGGCTGAATGTTCTTGACTCGGCGGTCCTGAAGGGAAGATATGGAGGAGTCCCATATGACCAGAGATTATGCCACTGTGCATTGGGTGAGGTAGAATCCACAGAGCACATTTTATTGAGCTGTCCCTTCTACAACGATTTAAGACAGTATCTTATAACTCCATACTTACCCCAGCTCAGTTCCCGACAAAGAGGAAAGCAGACAGCATATCTGCTAAATAAGTCTTCTGGGAAAACAACCTTGTCAGTGGCTAAATTTCTTTTCCTGGCACTCAAGTGTCGGAAACGTATAATTGAATGCCTTGACGTGGGTTATCTGTGAGAGATCTAGTACTGTGGCTCTACCTTACTTATGTACCTTATGTAACTTATGATGTTATAGCTTATAATTATTGTGTAATGTTTTAATTCTGACTATCGGTCGAATAAAGAAATTGATGATGAAATACCGTAATAGCAACCACTGTAGCTGGACAATGACCAGCAAAGGCCTGGGTGAACAAATGTTTTCAGTAGGCATCAAAACCTCAAGAGTAGGCAACTACCCTGTTGGAAACAATGGAGATAGTCTGGGGTCATGTGTGCAATAGCCAGGGCCGGGCAGATTAATAATAATAATAATAGTAACAACAACAATATTAATAACAATAATTTTATTTCTTGAACTAGGAATAATGCCACTCAGCTGCTGGGCACCTTGTTTCTGAATTATAAAAGCTAAGATGGAGCCGTATGTGCTTTGTTCCCCTTCCCCCATTCTGAGATAACGGTGCCAAAAGATCAATGAACTCAGTGCTTGGTACATTAAGATCATTGCCTCCGATAATGTTATGCAATGCTCCTAGTGGGAGAAAGAAACAAGGTCAGCAGCAGGTGTTTATTCAGCAAAAAGAATTGCCAGCTAAAGTTCTTGAAGGATTACTCAACTATTTTCAGTGTAGTGGGTCTGGTGTAATGCATTTCATCTTTGCTACTGCCCTAGAAAACTGGAAGCAGTAGGCTGACTAGAATGGCTGATTTCCAAGTGTTTCTTAATGGGTGTTTACCGTCCTCTCGTATTTCCAGCTCCCCCTTCATTGAGTCCTTTGCTTTATAGCTTTTTCATTGCACAATGAGGAGGGGACAGCCTCAAATTAGCCAAGTAGATTCATAATCAGAGGCCAATGTCTGTATTCTATAAAGATAAATACTCCATACAAAAGTGTTGGACCTGTTTTGTACCTTTGGACTAGGCTAACTGTCAGGTAGAGGAAAATAGTGCAGTGGAGTAAAAAAAATGTTGAGTTGTCCTTGGTTTTTTTTAAAGGCATCTCCTAAATGTTTCCTGAAGTTAAAGCACATCATTAAAAAAACTTATATCCGTTTTTGGTGTATCAGTATTATGTTTCTGGACTTTAAGCTTTTTATGGTTCATTTTCTGTTGAGTATGCAAAGGACAGGAAGGAAACTGAAAATGAGACAGGAGTAACTTTATTAGTGTCCTGATCATTAGGCACACAAGTGAGTAGAACTGAGCAGACGAAGTATCATAGCAATATGGCAAACATGATTCTTATAGTGCAGGACAACAGGAAAGATTTCCATGCAGATATGCAAGACAAATGTTTAGAACGTTTAGAATCATATGTACAAATCACTTAAAGATAATGCTTGTGATGCAGATTAAGTGAACTCTGCTTAACGAGGTCCATACTGAGATCACTTATTCCTGGACAGTGTTCCCATAATGGATTGTATCTTCCATCTATATGTACCTATTAGGCAGGGTGATATATTAATATATAGCCCAGGAAGGGTATGAGGAGATGACCACGATATCAGCATCACTCAGCGGTATATCACTGGTGAAACCGCCACCGCTCCTGAGTCCCTCTGCTAGCGACTTCCTCCAGCGAGTGTTGCTAGCAGAGGGACTCAGGAGTGCTGGCGGTTTCACCAGCGATATATTGCTGAGTAAAATCGGCATCCCACTCTGCCCTCGTACTGCGCAGAGGGTGAAAAAAGCTGCATTGGCGAGGCACCGATACAGCTTGTTCCTCCCCCTGCATCTTTTAACTGCTCACCTGAGGAGTGTGCAGTTGCCGCTCTCCTCAGCCACAGGGGCGTAGGAAGCAGGGGCAGTCCACCCTGGGCGTCATACATGAGGGGGGTGACAAAAAGGCACACCGCGGTGGCCTCGCTCTGCCGCCGCCGCACACGGCAGATCACACACAGCTCACCGCCCCCCCCAAGTGCACGGCATGGTCGCTGTTCCAGGCACCCATGCAGCTAACTCCGTCACTGCTCAGCCGAGCAGTTAAAGGATCCCCCAGCTGGTGCTGGCTCCCGCTCAAGTGGATGGCTCTCCTGGGGATGGGGAACCCTTAGTGATTTACCGCTGAATGAAGCCGAAATCGCAGTCTGCTCCTCATACCGGTCCTGAGCGATATATGCTATATCGCCCAGGTCTAGTTTGCATTATTACCGTACTTTTTGCTCCATAAGGCGCACCTGACCATAAGGCGCACCTACTTTGGGGGGGGGGGGATTCAAGGAAAAAAAATGCGGCCCTTGGGGGCTTTTGCGGGAGGTGGGAGAAGTGAGAGAGCCTCGCTCTGTCCCTTCCCCCACCTCCCGCAAAAGCAAGGGATAGCCGCGCGAAGCCTCCCCAGGGCAGCGGGATGAAGGCTCTCCACTGCCCTGCGGAGGCTTCGCAGGCTACCCCAGAGCTGCTCGACCCAAAGAGCAGCCTTCCCGCTGCTCCCCGGGGCTGGCGGTGGGGGACGCGCGGCTTTCCCCCACCGCCAGCCCCACAAGCTCGGGGAGCAGCCTTTCCGCTGCTCCCTGACCTGCTCTTTGGGGAAAGCCACCGCCAGCCCCAAAGAGCAGGTCGGGGCTAGCGAGGGAGGCCCGGGCCCCCCCCCCCAGCCTCAGGGACCACATATTCGCTCCATAAGACGCACAGACATTTCCCCTTAGATTTTAAGATGAAAAAAGTGCACCTTATGGAGCAAAAAATACGGTATTTTCTTTTCAGGACATAGTACTATAATGGTAGATAAAGTGCTTAAATGACTAGAGGTCAGGTTTCAAATAGTCTTGATTGCCTGTAGGATGAATTAGCCATTTTTTATTTCATTTATTTATTGCTCTCAGGTGCCAGTTTTCACTGTTAAGTGCTATTTTCAAGCGTAGGTTCCTTGACACTGTATATTCCCTTTCAGCAAAATGTATATAAAGGCTGTTAAATTGACACCAGAAGGTTGTCAGTCAGAAACCTTTGGTGAACTTACGTAACTCTTGCTGTGTAATTTAGGAAAAGTTGTCCTGCGCCGCAGGATATAAACATTTTCTCCATTGCCCCATAGCCACCAAAGGTGGTCTGAGTCTTGCTAAACTCATTATGATATCATAGCATAGGCCAAATTGGAGCAGCTGAATCATGACCCTTCAGGCATTGGCTAGTTTACATGAGTTTAAAAGTCCTGGTATGATGCTGCAGAGTTGTACGGGTGTCTGGCGAAATTAACAATCTGGACTACCTTCGGGTAGTTTTAGGTAAGGGTGGTTACTGATGGGCGGCAACTCCCATCAGTCCCTGCAACTTGGTGAATGTTCAGGGCTCCTGGGGACTGCAGCTTAGCATCATCTGGAGGGACACCCCTGGCTTAAGGAAACTCACTTGGCATTCAAAAGAATGCAAAGAAGGAAATACAATTCCTTTTGCAGGTTTGCAGAAACCTTAACAGGTTTCCAGCTTTTAAAAACCCGCTGAGTAGACATGCTACAATACGCTGCTAATCAGAAAGAACTAAATATCATCACTCAAAAGTGGGCAGTTGGAATGTAGTGATTGTGAGTGATGGTAGCAAATCTTTATTTGCCTCACTTCTGTGATTTTCAGCACTAAAGATGAGCAGGCCAATGAAATTGGGGAGTAGAAGGGGAGATGAATTTGAGGTGCTAGCAGACCTGCACTAGATTATAAGGAGCAGCAGGTTCCAAATGTACCACATTAATCAATCCTTTTACAAGACTTCTACCATAACTTTTTTTTTAATTAGGTGAGAATGAAATTCTTGAAACTTTACACAGTATTGCCAGCAAGAACAAGATCTGGAGATCGTATATTGGCATGGGTTATTACAACTGTTCAGTCCCTCAGGCCATTGTGAGGAATATGCTGGAGAACGCAGGATGGTAATGTACCATATTTTATCATTAAACACACACCTGTATTGTATATTTCATATTGTTCATTATTGTGCTGCCTGCAGGGATTCAAGACTCTGATGAAAGGGAAAATGGTCAGAATTATCTGAGGAACAGAACGAACAGTCATTAGAGCAAATTTATCAATAAAGCAGAAATGTTTATTCTAATACATAAATGTGGTTGTAGGTGCAGATTGCTTCCATCATTTGTAATTTCTTTTTAAGATCAATTCCCATTCCCCACAAGGAGCCAGACAACTGACAAACCTGAGCTACATAATAGATAAAAACATGCACAAATAATAAATCTGTTACCAGCTAGTGATGCCTTGGGCTGTAATCCTAACCTCACCTACTTGAGAGTAAGCCCCATTGACTTTAATAGGAATTACTTCTAATCAAAATGGTTAGGATTGCACTGCTGCTAGTCAATTAATTGCATGAGATTTAGTTGACTTCATTCATTTCAGCACAATCCTATGCAAGTCTACTGAGAAGTAAGACCCATTAGGTTCAATAAGGCCATTTCTTCCTGTTGGTGGGTGTAGGATTGCAGCCCTACTGCGTTTGTATACGTTTACCTATGAGTAAAGGCTAGTTTTAATGCAAAAAGCATACTTTCCCAAAAGCAGATAAGTTAGAAGAAGTCATCCTACATCTAAAAATATACTGACAGATTAATTGGTGGCACTTCCTACTCAATCAAAAAGTTTCTAACAAATTAATTTGTTGTTGCCCTAATAAATAATAGTAAAAGGTAAAGGTACCCCTGCCCGTACGGGCCAGTCGTGACCGACTCTAGGGTTGCGCGCTCATCTCGCTCAAGAGGCCGGGAGCCGGCGCTGTCCGAAGACACTTCCGGGTCACGTGGCCAGCGTGACGAAGCTGCTCTGGCGAGCCAGCACCAGTGCAGCACACAGAAACGCCGTTTACCTTCCCGCTGGAAAGCGGTCCCTATTTATCTACTTGCACTTAGGGGTGCTTTCGAACTGCTAGGTAGGCAGGAGCTGGGACCAAACGACGGGAGCTCACCCCGCCGCGGGGATTCGAACCGCCGACCTTTCGATTGGCAGGTCCTAGGCTCTGTGGTTTAACCCACAGCACCACCCGCGTCCCAAAATAATAAGTGGCCTATAAATCATAGAAAATAATTTTTCAAAATTAACCATCAAGTATAGTTCCTATAATTAAGTTGACCAACTGAGTTAGCTATAAATAAATTTGTGAAGCTTCTGAATTTTTTTCTGGTAAAACATCAAACTTCTAAATTTGCAAGAACCTTTTTTTCCAACTTCTACCATCAGTTTACTCAAAAGTTCTATGAGGTTATGCATACAGTAAAATATTCAAAAAGGTTCAAGGGCATGCTACTAACTGCTGTTAAGTTTTAAAAGATATACTTCAACTATTGAAATATATCAAAGCCTTAGAAGAGGGTAGAATGCGAATCCCCCAATGTACATTCCTGTAACTGTTAAATAAGGAAAACTTTTATGGGTGTGTAAAATTAGTCCTTGAAGAAGATGAGAACTGAAAGATGGGAGATACGAATAGAAAAGCCCGGAGGTTGTTTTTGTGTGTTATTGTTTTGAATATTATAAAAGACTAACAGGAAAGCACAGTGTGAGGCAAATACCATTCACTGACAGATTTGGCAAGCAAACATTTGAATTCTTCTAGCAAGAATGCAACTCAGTAGGAGTCTTTTTGTAAATAATTCCTGCTACTCTGCACAGATAGTTGCATACAATTGCTCAGTTTATTTGATAGTTGCATACAATTGCTCAGTTTGTTTGTAGGTAATACTGTGCATAAAAAATACAGTGGGCTTTTTCTCTCTTAAGGCCAAGTCTAGCTATTTAGCCCAGGTAAATACTGGCTGCAATCCATCTGCCCAATTATAGTATGCAGGAATTCTTTGCCTGACCAGACATTTCCCCACATTTCTGCACAGAAATTATGCTTTGTAAAATTCTTCCTACTCAAAGAGGGTCATAGGCAATTGCTTCAAATCCCCCAGTTCTGGCAACAGTCCTTAGCTATCGTTATCACGGGTAAGCAGTGCTCAAACATTATTTCTCTAGGCTCAGTACAGACTTACAACATCCTCACATGTTCTGCAGCTTGTAGATCTTATCTGCACCTCTGGCTTTCACCACCACCCCTGGAATATCACTATCCCTCCTTATGGTGCTGATTCCTCAGTCCTGCTACTGGTCACCTGCCACACCCTGTTCCTCCTGCCTGTGCACAGGGAGTAAGGAACTCTGGGACTTGTACTTTAGAGAAACAAATTCACATCTCTGTTTGACTCATCCGCAAGCATTTGACTTCATTTCCCACCCCCACCCCCTTCCTGGTAATATGCTTGCAGTGTAGATCAGACCTCCCTAGACAATTGGGACATGGTAAAGTGTACCAGGATTCCTTAGATTGTGTGGCATTTCTAGTTTTCTTAATCAAAGTACTGAGAATAGGATGCGTTTAAATAAATAAATAGTGTGGCTCACTAACCCACAATCGGCTGTTAGCAGTGTAATGTTGTGGGACAGTGTTAAGCTGCACACATTTTTGTGCTGATTCTTCCGGACTGTCTTCATGCTATCTGTCCGCTGTGGTGTTGCCCTGGAAACAGAACTAATTAATTCCAGTAACGTGACATGAACATAAATGAACGGACAAAGAATAGAAAGTATGTTTGGCTTCTTGGATGAGTTGACAATAAGTCTAGACTTAACCCTAGAAATCCACTTTATTTTTGTAATGACTGCCCGCCTGATTTGTACTTTATATATTTTCATACTGATGACAGTATTCTGAGATACTTAGAAAATGTGTGCAATTTCATGTACTTTGGTTCAATGTCTGGCAAGATGTGAATGATGCCAGAATGGGAGACCAGCAATAACAGCCAACTATCATGGTAATGAATATATAATCCTGAAGAGTGATTTGTGTGTGTTCAATAAGCGTACGCAATTAAAACAATGCAAATTCTGGGGATGGGAGAGGGACCAGTTTGCATGGTCAGTAATTAGTAATGTGCCGGATTGCTACTGTATTATGTGCAGCAACATGTGCAGAAATGCTACTTGCATGTTAGGAGGTTGAATTTCTCTCTTGGGGTTAGAAAAGTTTGTTTAAATATATCCTGAACAATATACAGTGATCAGTTTTCATGATGTTGAATAGGAGTGTTTTGTCTACCTGTTTTCATACTTTACTTGTGAGTAATATGATGCTGTTGCTATAGGAAGGTAGTATGTTGGTCAGGATCCAAAGTACTGCGCAACTAACTCCATGGAGGCTTGTTCCCGAGGAACCAGTTGCCTTGGTACATGGTAAACTATCTGTGAAACTTAAGGGATTTTCCATAGTCACATAGTGGTCTACCATTCGAAGGTTTCTCAAAGGTAGCTGAGGCTTTGGTTTTTTTTAGATGTTTAATCAAGGTTTGCAAACATATCCATTTATAGCTTCGGTCCAGGCTACCTGAAAGATCATATCTCCCTATATGAAACTGCCCAGGTGTTAAGATTCTCAGGTGAGCACCTTCTCTTGGTCCCATCAACACCAGAAGCTCAGCTAGTGGCGACACGAGACAGAGCCTTTTCTGTGGCTGCTCGCATATGGTGTAATCCCTTCCCAAGAGAGTTAGATTGGCTGCCTCTTGGTTATCCTTCTGCCAGTAGGCTAAGACCTTCCTCTTCAGACCGGCCTTTGAAAACTAAGTTGCAGACAATGCTGACTGCTGGGCTGCTGTTAGGGAAAACGGTGTTTTAATGGCTGCCTCTAACTGTGCTTTATATATTTAAACCATTGTTTTTAACTAGTTTGTTTTTATTACTTCGTATTTTATAATGTTATTTTTAAATGCTGTAAGCCACCTTGAATCCCAGCTTGAGAGAGAGAGATGGGATATAAATGCATATAGTGATGTTAATTATATTAAATGAATAACTAAATAAATAAAACAGCTAGCACACAAAAAAAGCTTCATGGCACACCTGTCCGCACATCCCTGTGATCGTCCTTTGTGGCTTAATGGGGAACAAACTGCCACCCTGCCTGGTTGCATGCAGGAGATTCTAACTCACTGCAAGTGCCTTGGTGAATTGTTTAACCGTAGTTTAGATGATAGAAGTTTTCATTTGGCTTACTCATGCCTTAAAATGAATTCAGAAGCTTATCCACATACTGGACTGAATGGGAACAGCTTCAGAGCCCGTAAATTTCTCACGGATCTTTGACTTCTCTTCTTTGAAGTCGAAACTTCACTGTGTACTTATCAGAGGCTGAGCAGAGTAAAAACAAAAACAAAACTGTTCCCCCCCCAAAAAAAGTTGTTATATAACTTATCAAAGCTAAAACCAAACACTCCTCCTTGCTGGAAAAATAAGAATCTGTAGCAGGGCTAGCCAAGGTCATACCCTCTAGATGTTGTTGGACTTGTACTGTAAGCATCCTTGACCATTGGCTATGCTGGCAGGGACTGAAGGGAATGCCATCAATATTCTTTTCTTCCTATTGCTTCTTAGCAAACTGGAGGGCAGCACGTTGGCTACTCCTTATCTTTTTTTTTAAAATATAATTTTTATTAACCGGCCAATCAAATCAAATTAAATCACATCACATAAATTCCGAATTACAAAGCCAAATTTTAAATTTTGTTGTCGAGGGGACCCATATTTCAAGATCCGAAGGGGGATTCTGATCATCTTCTTGCTACTGCTTTAATGTCCAAATCAGTCCACATCAGTCCAAACAGAGTTCATAATTCTATCCAGTCTTATCTTGCTGTTTCCACATCACATCTTGTTCATATATTTTCTCTTTTTCTTTATGATCTCTTCTGATAGTCTCCTTAAGCCGATAAACACCAATAATAATCCTGTGTGAATTTTTCCGTTCTTCCAATCCTCAAATCGAGATGGTTTCCATATATCATCGCCTTCATAGATAACATCGCTCTTTCCATCGTTAATTACAGAACTGTCGTTCTTAAGTCCCTCTGAGGAGTTTCACCCACAATATAAAAACAGCTCTATTTCTCTATTTCTCCTCCCAGACTTAAGTCCTCCGACAGAACTTCCCAATATGGCGACGGCATTTTTAACTGCGTCATTCCAAAGCCCTTATACATTCCACGCTCTTCTTAAAACATGCTTTGGTTCGAAAGTTTATCTCCACACAGCCTTAAATCCACAGCTTAAGTCCTTAAAACGACATTTCTGACTTGTGAGGGGAGGGGATTCTTGTTTAATCACATAAGGAAAGAAAGGAAAGTTTTTTCCCCCCTCCCCCATCAGTCATCAGTCCCTTTACCATACCGAGTCTTGGCGTATCTTCTCATAATCTATACTTGTTCCTCCGACTCGTCTTGTTTTATCAGTGATCTCTTCTGTTAGCAGTCTTTACCCCCCCCTTCCTTGAAATATGTGCATTCGCTTCATCCAAATTGTTTCTTTTGAAGTTCTTGCAGCTAGTGGCGCGGATCAGAGACGGCGTCCAGAAGCGCCGAAATCCCGCAGGAGGGCTTTGGGCCTAGTGCCCCCATCCCCACAAATTCGGGGGTGGTATGGGACACAGCAGGCAAGGGCAGTCCCCCCCACCATCCTGGGGGGGGTAGGGAGGCTAATTACTCCCATCATAGCCTCCAAATTACCTCGTGTGGGTCGGAGAGATGTTATTGTCAGCCATCTTCTGATGTGCCCCCTAGTGGCCCCGCCCCTGGTGGCCCTTATCTTTGAACTACATTTAGCCTTTCATAGCTAAAGTCACTACTTCATAAGTTACTCCTTTTGGGTTATAACCTGGCCTTTGAGTTGACAACTGTGTTCCCTACGATTCAAGTAAGGTTCCCTGCCTTGCTTTAGACACAACCATTTTTCTTTCTATATGGGCTCAGCTACATTAGGCAAAAAACAATGTTTTGAATGCATTATAAACACGCAACAGCAGATGGTGGCAGAGAGCAAAAGAAATTTTCTATGTGATTTTTACAGTTTTCTTCCTTTTATTATAACAATTTCATTTCTGACTTATTTATAGCGTGTTTTTTCCTGTGTGTAGATCCACCCTTTATCACTTGCAATACGTTTTACTTAATACGTTTTAGCACAGGAGTGGGGAACCTTTTTGGCTCCACGGGCCAGACTTTTATCAGGATCAAACTTGACGGGTGGGCAGGGCCACTTCCCTGTCAATTAAACGATGTCATTATGACATCACTAGATCAGTAGGTGACTTGTCCCACCCGTCAGTCAAAATTCCTAGCGCTGGATTCCCAGACCCCAACAGCCAGTGGGCTGGCTGGTTTTGGGGGACCATAGCACAAGCAAAGTTGTTGGCCTTGGAAGTGGTGGTGGGGAAACAAAACTGGCCTATAAAAGGCTTTCTTTGATTGTGTGTGCCTGTTCTCTACATCCCAAGCAGGGCTTAATTTCTAAATTAAGTTCTCAGCAGGAAACAGGCATACACAGTCAAAAGCAGGTTTCTTTGTCTCTGTCTCTGTTCTCCCCCCGCCCTGCAAGAACCGCATCTAAAGTTTAGCATGGAATTAAACACGCAAAATGAAGATTTTACTCAGTGTTACAGTAGCACATAGCAACACCAGCTGTGATCATTCTGTGTCATGGTTTCTGAAACCAGAATCTTTTACAACACTCAGTATTTTAGTATCGACTGATCAGTTAGTGAAGAGTAACTGAAGTTACAGCATAATCAAGTTAACAGATTAAGTGCAGCTTGACTCTGAATTTTGATACCTCTAGACTAGCATATTTGGGGTGGTAGATAACTGTTTGATAATTTACGAGAATGCTTTCTATTCAGCAGCAAATAGTCACATTCTAAAAGTTAAGCCCAATTTATTTATTTTTCTTATGGTGCATTCTCTGTTTGCAACATACATATCAGCCAGATTCAAATGGTATTAAAACAGACAGTTAAAATATATTGGAGATTATGACCTTTTTGGAAACATGGTTCAGAAGGGTCAGAAGTTTGATATCTGAAATATTTTGTTTTTAATAGGGTTACCCAGTACACCCCTTACCAGCCAGAGGTATCTCAAGGAAGGCTGGAGAGTCTATTAAATTATCAAACAATGGTGTGTGACCTCACAGGAATGGACGTGTCGAATGCATCTTTGCTAGATGAAGGAACTGCTGCAGCCGAAGCTATGCAGTTGTGCCACAGGTAACAGACGGAAACAAAAATAATTGCAATAGCATTTTTGTTTTATAAAGGGCCCCGCAGTTAGGTTCAATACAGTAGTTATATTAAACAGAATGAGCGCTGCCCCCTGGCCTGTAATCGGAAATGTTAATCACAAAGAAAGGAAAAGGGATACTAAAAGAGAAAATACATACCAAACTTGAATAAATATCAATTGGGTGATTTGGAGGGTACTTAACCATGAGGCCAAGGGACCATAAAGTCAGTGATCCTGTTTTCACAGTGACCAACCAAGAGGGTTTAGGAAAACCCACAAAAAGGGTGATAACTTTCCATTGCTGTTCCTCTCAAGCAACTGACAAAAAATGTGAAGCAATATTTAGTTATCAGGTCTCATGGCTCTCTGTGAATGTACCTAATAATCTTCTAACAATAACGGAGTCTTTTGCCTCACAATTTTCTTATGTGGATCTTGGTAACTAAGTGGCAGGCTTGAGTTTTTATTGGTTTCGTGATTGATGGATACTTCCTGCCAGCCCTTCCTGAACTATTGGCCAGATACCCAAGCCAATCAGGAGTAATGATGTAGGCTGTAGAAACTTGTTTGCCTGCAATAAAAATGGTATGAAACATATTTTAAATGCTTACATTGTGTGTTTGTGTGTCTCTCCCCCCCCCCCAACAGGCACAATAAGCGGAGGAAGTTTTATGTCGACATCCGATGCCATCCTCAGACGATAGCAGTGGTGCAAACCAGAGCAAAGTAATGTTTACTTCTGTTGCATTATTTCCTTCAAATCAATATGTAGGTATCTCATTGGATCCAGACTTTGCTCCCAGCGGGAACATCCCTTGAATCGAGTTACATTCTTCCTGTGCAGGAGAGGGAGAGGAGATTTGCCAATTTCCGCTCCCGCCTTAGCTCCCAGCACCTCCTCTCACCCTGTTCCAGGGGACTGGGGGGCCATCAACCATCGTGGGAGGTATTGCTGGGTTCTGCAGGGGGAGCAAGGACTCAGCAAAAGTCAGCTTTCTCCCCCCCCCCCCTTCACCAGCAGGATCCCTCCACTGGATTAAAACCTTTCTGTGGACAGGAGCCTTCCCATTTGTGGAAGGGTAAAGTCAGGATCCAATCCGTAAATGATGTTGAAAACCCATTTACAAGCAGGAAATGGCTTACTCTTTTCCTGTATATTTCTCTCGCTTTCCAGTTACACCGGCATTATTGTTGAGTTGAAGTTGCCTCATGAAATGGACTTCAGTGGCAAGGATGTCAGCGGCGTTTTGTTCCAGTACCCAGATACCGAGGGGAAGGTGGAAGACTTCACTGCATTTGTTGATCAAGCCCATCAGAACGGGGTAAAACGAAGCAGTGATAACCTTTTCCTGACATATTTTGTATGTTTAACCATTTAGATTTATTATAACTGTAGTTGCAGAACACTCTTCGGAAATGAACCTCTCTGTGCAGACGTAGGTCTCCCTTGCCTTATTTGACTTCAATAGAGGCCAAAGATCTGCATGCAGAGTTTGTAGGAGTAAATCTGCTTCTCTCAACAAATAAATGGTTGAGCTGTTTCAGAATGAACCAATGATCTGATTTGATACAAGGTTTCTTCCTAATGCTGCATATAGTGATTAAATCTACATCATAATACTCTTAATTGTAGATGAGGTACCGGGAACAGGTAATTTATATACCCCAGCACAGTTGCATTAAACATGAAATTAAGGCATTACTGGTTCTTTCATTGTTGTTTTCTTTGAGACGTACTAGAATCACTTTGATTAAACCTTAGTTAATTGTCATTGGTATTACATAACATAGGCCATGGTTCATTTGTTCTGACAATGATGCTGATCTCTTTTCTTGTTTCAGACTCTAGTCTGCTGTGCTACTGACCTGCTAGCTCTGTGCATCTTGAGACCTCCAGGAGAGTTTGGTGTTGATGTTGCTCTGGGCAACTCCCAGAGGTTTGGGGTGCCTCTTTGTTATGGTGGGCCACATGCAGCCTTTTTTGCTGTCAAGGAGAACCTGGTGCGAATGATGCCTGGAAGAATGGTAGGAGTTACAAGGTAGGCTAACTTGAAGCCGAAAGCTTCAATCCTAGTCATGGGACTTGTGCTGAAGACATCTCGGGCGATTGTGCAAAACTCCATCCTTCTGATGACACATTTCCCTTGCCATGAAGTGATTTGAGCTTTTTGTCAAATATGAGACACACATCTTCTTGGGTAGAATATGATTTATTTATTTATTTATTTTATTTACATATGCACTAATATATAAACATAATTTCCTCCCCTCAAATCACTTTCCACACTTACTGCGCATAGAGCTTCACTGTCCACATGGAGCTTCCATGCTTTCAAAGTATTCCTTATTAAATTTTCTGTATACATCCCTTTACATATGCAAAGATGCCATCTCTGTTCAGCTGGAACTTTACTTCCACAATTGTGTGTCCCTACTGGAACACCTTCAAGAGCCTAAATTGGAGGAGTGTGTCCAAGAAACTAATATATAAGGTTTAGGTCAAGGGCACACACTGTAGATTTCATAGCTTGTATCAGTCAAGCTTGTGGTTCCCCTTGCTCACAGTCTGTCAGGCTTTGTGAAACTGGTCCTTACATCTTGTTTCATGGAATTGTCATTTGCACTATTGGGCTTTGCACTCAATTGTTCCATGTGATTTCAAGTGAATAGAGGGTGCCTTGACCGACAGATTGGTTCAGGAACAGTTTGGCATTTTTAAATGCCTTTTTAATTATTTTGCTCAAGCATCCTAGCCTTACATTACCTTCTTGAGTATACTGGTCACCTTTTATTAAGAAAAGCAGAGCCGCTCTATGTTGAGAGAGTAGCCATTTTTCTTTTTATGGCTCAAGGGATGCTAATGGAAAAGAAGTGTATCGACTTGCATTGCAAACCAGAGAACAGCATATAAGAAGGGATAAGGCTACAAGCAACATATGCACTGCGCAGGTGAGCTTTTCTTCAGTCGTTCAGTCATTTAAAAAAAGTAGTAGATTTATAAACTTTTTAAATTTTGTGTTCACGCTATTTGAATATGGGGATAGTAAAATATGTGGGTATTTTGGGGCAGTATCCAGCTGCTTTTGCTGGCAAAGGTGTGAATGAACAGGAGGAGAAAGGAATCATTTTTTTATGTAAACACTGCACCTGCTTTCCTCTGAAACCCTTTGTGCCATATCCCACAATTTTCCAAAGGATACCGGAATCCTTTGGAGCACATTTGGAAATGCACAAGGAGAAGCGACAGATACCACCACTCTGCTCCCTTTTGCAGAAACCTCATTGGGTTCAAATAAATTTTCCAGTGAAGAGGAACACGGTTAGATACAACTTTCTCTTTAATGTGGCCTTTTTTGCAAATTTACATTCAAGAGATCTGAATGATTATTTTATTGTTTTAAAATGTCAGGAATGTAATTGTAACTTTTCATTGTGTGGGTTGATTTGAACTCGATTACAAATAGAATGTTTTAAATATTAGTGGGTTATTTTTTCCTAACATACTTCAAGCCCCCCACCCCCACCCCCCGGAAAAAACCTTACACTAACCTGCTTGTGAACTGACTTATTTTCCCCCAATTTTGTGCCTTTTAGGCACTTCTGGCTAATATGGCTGCTATGTTCGGAGTCTACCATGGCGCTAACGGACTAAAGCACATTGCTAGGAGGGTGCATAATGCCACTCTCATCTTAGCGGAAGGTGAGTTAAAATTAATCTAATGGCTGCATGATGGAGACTCTTCAAAGATTTGAATATTCTGTGCAACAACTGAAATCTGTTTTATGTACTTATTTGTATACTGGTCTTCATTCCAGGGTAGTAAACAACAAGTGCAAATAAAACATTTTATGTAATAAAACACTAAACTTGTGTAATAAAACTTGATTATTAACCAGAAAAAATGTAGACATCATAAGGGAGACCCTTTCACTTTGAAACAGCTCTATGGTAAATATCTGATAAAATAGGCACTCAAGGAAGAGCTTTAGCAGAATAAACTGAAACGCTGAATTAGGAGTAAGATAAATTGGGAGATTGCATATCTGAGGAACCAGATGAGGTGGGGAAATAGGCAACAGTGCAGTTTATAGTGATTCATAAGACAGATTTGGCTACCCCCACCTGCCAACTCTGAACAAATTTAGGCAAGTCTGTTATAACACCAGTAGAAATCCATAATCCCAGCATATTGTTGTTGAAAACCGTTATCAACCAAAATACTGCATATTATATGCAGAACCTTATAGAAATGTGAGCAGCCAGTGGAGCGAAGAGTTCACATGTTATTTCTGCTAGGTCTGAAGAGAGCTGGTCATAAACTGCAACATGACCTATTTTTTGATACCTTGAAAATCCAGTGTGGATGTGGCGTCCAAGAAGTCTTGCTCCGAGCAGCCCAGAGGCAGATAAACCTCCGGATTTACAATGATGGTACAGTAAGTGATGGCTAAATTTATTCTTGGATGTGTTCCTTTCAATGTCACATTGGGGCTGGTTGTCTAAAAGCTTTCCTATGATATCATTAAGCACTAGTGTGGTGGAGAAAAATCGAGGCTGCACTTCGGTGGTACCTAACTTTGCATAGGCTGACTAAGACATACAATCAGATATGCATTGTTGGAGATGTAAAAGATCAAAGGCAGATTTGATGCAAATCTTCTGGGATTCGCATAAAAATGTAAACAATTTTGAACAGGACTGACTGTGCTTTCCCCAGGAAGCCCCAAACAATCCTGTCTACGTTGTGTGTCACTCTGAAGTTGGTCTTGATCTTACTGCCAAAGTGAAACTTTGCATAGCTCATCTCTGGAAAACAAGAACCCTCTGATAGTCACAGAAGAACTGGGGAAAATTGGGAGCCTGCCTAGGATAGAAAGTCAACATACAATAGTAACACTATACAGAGGAACCTTGGGTTGTGGATGTAATCCGTGACGGAGGCACATCTGCAACCCACAGCATTCGCATCCTGAAGCGCCGCATCTGTGCAGGCGCCAGCGTGTTTTGGCGCTTCTGCGCATGCGTGAGCGGCGAAACCCGGAAGTAACCCGTTCTGGTACTTCTGGGTTTCCCGTGGTCCGCAACCTGAAAACACGTAACCTGAAGCTTCCATAACATGATGTGTTAGAATTATCCAGACAGATTTATTGAGAGATAAATCAATTGTAGAGAGAGGGAGTGTTGCATACCCTTTTCTTTTTTGGGTCTGATTCTGCTTCACATTTTCTGAGTTCACTTTCATTAGAGGGGAAAAATGTAAGGGGCAGATTCCATTTACTGGTGCCACTAGCAGAAGCCTATGCAAGGACTTCCACTAACACAGGGAGATTTTCTTCCTTCCCTTCCCCATCCTCCAGATTGGCTTGGGGAGGTCAAGATAACCCCATAGTACATGGGTTGAGGTGAAGGTCAGTCATTCCATTAGGCAATCAGAAATGCTAATACTGATAACACCTTCTCCTTAGCACTACATTGAATTCCTCCCCTAAATTTTAAATAACTGATACATAGTGGAAGTTTGTTGAAATTACTAAGCACAGTTTTGTAAAACATGATGCGCTTCTATAGTTAAGGCTAGAAGAATTGCAGTATACAGTATTAAACCTATGGAGCTACTGAAAATGCAAAAAGATTATTGTAAGCTTCCACCAGTATCATTTGAACCTGATGAAAAAATTTTTTACTTTTCCCCTTCTGTTGTAGTAATAGGGACCTTCACATCACGTTGGTGAAATGTCAACAGTTGTTACACTACTTTAATGTTTTGTTTTGTGCTCTTCGAAAGTACACTGTTTTTTCAGTACTAAACTTTGCTTCCTCCCTTCCAACTGTCAATAGCTTGGAGTATCTCTAGATGAAACTGTAACTGAGAAAGACCTGGATGACTTGCTATGGATCTTTGGTTGTGAATCTTCCGCTGTAAGTAGATCACAGATCAGAGTGCTTAACGTTTAATTGGTAGACTTTGTCATGTATTCTACTCAATGTTGATCCAGATCAAAACTCCAGCATATAGTTAGCAGAGTAAAGACTTAAGCACGTTGCAGGAGTCCTAAATAATAGACCAGAGGCAATTGTGTTTCATCCAGCAGAGCTTTACTGCCACTGAAGGCAAATGAGGATAATGGTCACAAATCCAATACATTCAGGATTGGCCCTGTCCATAAGAAATCCAATTGCAGCAGACTTAACTTAAACTTACAATAATTTATAAGAAGATTAAACCTTAACACTAAGCATACTATGTACAGAAAACCACACCAGAGGGAAGAGAAAGTAAAACTCAGGCTCCTCCTGGCCTTACTATTATAGTCAGCATGACCTTGACAGAAAGAGATCACAGAACCAGCTTAAGCCAGCTGTACTCAGCTTCTCTGAAGGAATAACCCAAACATCGTGAACCTTCTGCTTATTTCTTTCACACAGAGAAGCTTCCAGAACCCTCTTGAATTAATTAGAATAGGAAAGATCTCCTCACATCAGATCAATACTTTCTGTACTAAGAAATGCAAAATGCCAATATTAAATTTTGAGTCCATAAATGGACAGCTGCCTTGGTGATTTAATTCTCCACTTCCACCTCTTGCTAAGGAGGTTTGAGTATTGTTTTGTGAGATAATGAGGGATCTGAGTTCAATTTAATCAACTTGTACTGCACCAAAATTCTGCATTACACAAGATATGGTAGGAAATCTTAGCTTTCAGCAATGAGAAGCGTGGGCCAGTAAAGAAAATTCTTCTACCTCCCCCAATTTATTTATTTAAAAAAACTCCTCTAATGACTTTGATTTATGGGAACTAATTGTTATTTCCACCTTCTGAAAGACTAGAAGTGTATACCCAGATATTTCTAATTCTTATGTGGTGTATATACTTCAGATTAAGAGAAAACTTTTTAAGAAAACATCCTTGCAGACAAAATGCTCATGGCAGTCTTCTTTTAAGAGCGATTTGCCTTGCTTTTGAATTAGGCATAACAGGGTTTGCCTGTATCCAGGGAGCTGGAGAAAGATTTGCCTTTACATAAATACCATGAAAGCAGAAGTGCTGAAACAAGGACAGTTTTTTCCCTACTACCTGACAGAATAAATTCTTTTTGAGAGATAACGAGTAACATCTTAAGAACCCCCCTGTCTATCTTGTTTTGAAAGGAACTGGTTGCTGAGAGCATGGACGGAGAAACAAGAGGTATTTTTGGTACTGCGTTTAAGAGAACATCAAAATTCCTAACACATCAGGTATTCAACAGGTTTGTGAAATTAATTAATTTCCCCTTGATATCATCTGAAAAAAGAAGTCTACGGGATTATAATTGTGAGAGAGAAATTTGGTTTAGTATTTCAAAACATTGCTGCGATGTAAGCCATGGGGCAGTGGCGACAGCTTGTCTCCACAACTGCGGATGCCTAGGACTGCCGCCATCACCAGGGGGCGCTCTCTGTCATCATGCGCCCCCCCCCCCCCCAGCATGCTGAGATCACTTGCACACGTAGTGGGGTTTGGTGACTTAGCGTGTTTACGCTGGGAGGGGGGCGTGTTGATATAGAGACTGCATTTTGTTGGTACCCGTCCCCCTCATTTAAAATATTGTGGGATCCAGGGCCCTGGGGATTTGATGCTTATGACCCGGGGCAAGTTAAGGATTGAGTTACCTAGCTTACATTTTTATCATTCATATTTACAATGCAGCCTAAATAACTGTGGGCAGAAATGCCTCAATCTAGCAATCCCATATCTATCACTTGATAGCATGGGCATATTGATCATGGGACAGTCATGGTTCTACTAAGTAGCACACCATGACCTGGTTTGCACTTCAGAGTGAGTCCAAGTTTGGTTTACTGTTACCGTGTGAACAGGCTGGCTCCCATTTTGCACCCACTTGGGTTTTTCCAGGCTAAACCAAGGTTTGGTTTAGCATATCCGAATCCAGGATCAATGTGGAAGTCTCTCCTGCTTAACCGAAACATACAGCCGTAGGGCAAACCTTAGCTATAGACCATGAATAAGGAGGAGAGACCTTAACCACTAAACCAAACGTTTTAACCAATTAGTGCTTATTATATTTGCACTGTTTGCATTATGTAGAAAAAGTAAATTTAACTTCAGTTTTTGAGATAAATAGAAAAGTTGAAGGGGGGTAGGAAAGGTCCAGTGGTTTTCATTGTTTTATGTATTTCATGGCTTGTGTGGTTAACTGGTTTGCTAACGTATGTTTTTGTGTCTCCAGCTATCACTCTGAAACAAATATTGTCCGGTATATGAAGAGATTAGAAAACAAAGATATTTCCTTAGTTCACAGCATGATTCCTTTGGTAGGTATTAATTTGAAAAGGAAAAAAATGGCAGTTGCTGGTGTCCTTGCTTGAAATATACTGACTACATTTTATTTTCTTCTGCAAGATTCTTGTTTTTGATTTTGTTTTAATGTTTTTACTTACTGACTACATTTTCTGCTCCTCAGGGATCCTGTACAATGAAGTTGAATAGTTCATCAGAACTTACAGTAAGCTTTTTCATTTTTATTTTCTGAGAGATGTGTAGCTAATCAAGCAATAATAGCCCTTCACCCAGAATTCCATGTGAACATTAATTAAAGATTGAGGGTAGATTTAAATAAGTTTTCTTCTCCTAGGAGTATTTTGTGTCTTGGTGAGATCCTTGTGGAAGTGCTCTTGTGAATGGTCCCAGCAATCTTGGGCATATGGTAGTTTTTGAAATAAAAATTGAAATCACAGGACCCACTTGCTATGATGCGCCCACTATGAATCATTGTAGATAAACGAGAAAGTGTTGTGGAATCCACTTTAAGATAACGTGGACACAGAATCCTATTTAAATTCAAAAGGGTGGAGACGTATTTGATAATATTTGCCTTAAATATTTGCTCTATTTCAGGCTTCCTCAACCTCGGCCCTCCAGATGTTTTTTTGGCCTACAACTCCCATGATCCCTAGCTAGCAGGACCAGTGGTCAGGGATGATGGGAATTGTAGTCTCAAAACATCTGGAGGGCCGAGGTTGAGGAAGCCTGCTCTATTTCATACAGCTTTCTAGATTATTTATATTCAGAACTGTTCAGCAAAATGAATCAGTTCTGTAATGCAGAGAAGAAACAGTATACTGATGACTTTTAATGGCATTTGATTTGTATTTTTTAAAAATGTAGTTTTTTTCTAGTTCATAATTATGTTTTCTAGCTGGTAATAATGTTCAACCTATTATTACATTGTGGAAACCTAAGTGTCATATATCATAAGTATTCTATATAATTGGTGTACAAAAATTCTTCAACCCAAAAGTATTCACTTTCCTTTCCGTTTTTGTGTTTTTCTTTTCTGCAGCCGATTACGTGGAAAGAATTTGCCAATATCCACCCCTTTGTGCCTCTAGATCAGGCTCAAGGATACCAGCAGCTTTTCAGGGAGCTTGAGAAGGATCTGTGTGAGATAACAGGCTATGACAGAATTTCTTTTCAACCAAACAGGTAGGAACAATCTTGCTTGAACCAGTGTTTTTCAGGCACACTTGCCGTACTTCCTGCTTTTCCTAAGGGCTGTTTCACACATCCATTTCCCTACCCAGATATTCCTCCTAGCACACCTACTGCATGTTGCACCATCACATGTGACAAATGGCATGTGTGCATGTGGTACAATAGACAGCTCAGGAATGAAAGGTTTGAGCTGATGTAGTGAAAACAATTACATTTTGGGTGTCTACATGGATAGGCAGAGCTTTTGGTTCCAGTAGCAACTATCTGCTTTCTGACGGTGCATATGATTTGGAGAACTTCTGTGAAATGACAGCAGTTTGGTCACTTCCCCTCAATGACAGAGTTTCCCCCACTGCAGAAGCCCTGAGACAGAAGTAGCCCTACTGGAAGATTTGCTCACTGTTGTTAAATATGTTAAAGGCCAGGTCAGGAATGGCCAACTGTAATGAATAGCATTGCTACAATATGCTGGTTAACTGAATATCCTTTTTTCCCCCTATCTCTGTTTGTTTTTGTTTTTTTTAACTTTTTAAATTCAAAGTTAAAACAAAACATATTATCCAGAAACATATCATCTTTATTTTTCCCCCCATTTTTTCTCCCTCCCCCCACCCTCCCACACAAAACCCATCCACCCCCACCCCCAGGCTTCCGTCAGTTCCAGTCTTTGATTTCTCTAAGAACGCTGTTTTCTGCATGTTACACAGTTGTATAGATCCTCAAACTATTTAGCTGATTATTATCAATAAAAAGTTTGTGAATGTTTATTCAAAACCAGCCAAGGAGTCCAGTTCGCTTTGTTGCGTCTTCAAATACTTTGCAAAGGGTTCCCATTCATCTTTAAAGTCACAGTTATCCTTGTCCTGTAGCTAATATGTCAGTTTTGCCAGTTCTGCATAGTCCATCAATTTTTCTTGCCATGATTCTTTAGTTGGGGCTTCTTCAGTCTTCCATCCTTGTGCTATTAGAACTCTCGCGGCTGTTGTCGCATACATGAAGATGTTTTTCAGCTTTTTGGGCAGATCTTTCGCTACAATCCGTAACAAAAATGCTTCAGGTTTTTTAACAAATGTTAAATATGTTAAAGGCCAGGTCAGGAATGGCCAACTCTAATGAACAGCATTGCTACAATATACTGGTTAACTGAATATCCTGGCGTCTTTCCCTTTTCTTGACTTCTTCAGGAAAGCAAAAAGGCCATACTGTAGCATGAACTGCTTAGAGATGAGAATCTGTTCATCTCGAATGACTTAACTTGTGTCATGCACCAATAAGAGATTATATTTCACATCTGTTTTCTGTGTGTATATATTTCAGCTAGACAGGATATGGGTGCGCAGCCCAAATTGTAGACATGAACGATACTTGTTCCTGGTGGATGATTAAACTGACTTGATTAACTAAATTTTCAAAAACTGGATGCTGAGCCGAGCTGCTCAGATGCATATATTATAATAAGCTTTGTGGTCTTGCAGTGGAGCTCAAGGCGAATATGCTGGACTTGCTGCAATCAAGTCTTATTTAAATTCAAAAGGAGAATGGCACAGAAGTGTAAGTGAAAAAGATGAACTTTGTTTAACTCCTGAACTGACAATCCTGCATGCTACTATTCATGCTTAGGGGTGGCACTTGTTTATCAATGCATGGCTGTACTGAATGTATGATTTGGGGCCTGTTTGCATGGGCAAGAGCTCCTCTGTTTACCTTTGCATCCACTCTCCTTTTTATTGAGAGACTAACTACATTGCAAACGTCTTTCCCTTTCGTGCACAAGTAGCCATTCTGTCAGGATTCCATAAATACCACCAGTAAGTGCCACAGATCACTGTTGAACCACTTGACTTTTAATCAGTAGTTCTATTATGCAGAACTGCATAATAAACGGTAAACTTACCGTTTTCACTTTACAAGGGAACAGATAGAGAGAAGGGGCTGGAATAAACGATATTTTGTGTTCCACGTTGAAGCAGTTCCGTAAACACCTGGGATACCTAAAGCCCTTATTGTTAGAGTTAGAGACATTACTTACCAGGCGTCTATAAATATTCTGGTCAGTTGTGAGTGGGTGAGTGGGTATCTTTTATTTTAGGAAGAACGTTTGTGGTGCCTGCCTCTGCTGAGCTCATTCTGGTTTTTGCAGTTTATTTATTATTTATTTAATAAAATTAATGCACTGCTTGATTGTAAAAAAAGCAAAACCCTCAAAGCGGCTTATAAAAAGATAAAACAAGAAAAAACACAACCCTACTTTAAAGCCTACAAATGTTAAATTACTAAAACAATAAAATTACCTTGACTTCCTGGGTTAGGAACCTCTCTGCATTTGATTTCTCTCCCCTCCCCCGCCCCCAGCTCACTATGACTATGGGAGCTATTTTCTCCTTGCCATGACAGGAACAGGGGTTCAGTGCAGCAATACTTCTGGGCTTCAGAATCCTCTCTGTTTCTGAAGTTCGGTCCTGCGCCAAAGCCAGCCAAAATTCATGTACCCCAACCAACAACTCGCAGTATAGCAGCAAAGAGTGAAACATAATCCATACCCAAAGCATTGCACAGGTTTATTGAAAGTGGTTGTTGGTTTGTTTTTGTTCCTCAGTTATCTGCCCATCAATGAAAGTTGTTGCTGCAGTACAGTATATTCTGTTGTATCTGGAGTGCAGCTAGGCAAACATTGTGTGGTTTTGCTGCAGAAATCCAGGAGCTAGCTCATTAGCAGCATGAAAGCAGAGTTGAGATTAGAAGAAAGGGCATGCCAGGGGCTGGCTCTGGATACTGTGATTTTTCAAAACCTCACTGGGGCAGCCAGAAGGCTTTTGTGCTGGGATTAGAGGAGTGTTGTTAATTGAAATTCATAGCTAGGATACTTTGAACATGCAGAGGTATTAGCATCAATATCCTTGCTTTTCAACAAACAATCTATTATTAGGGCTTCATTCAAAAATTCCGCCTCTTGCTTCCCCACCCAGCCCTATGCACTCAATATAAAAAACTAAATAGCAGATAAACATTTGCTGTTTACTCTGTATAGTTGACTCAGAACCATGAAGCAAGGAATAAATTTTTAAAATAAAAAAATTGTCCAGTAGCACCTTAGAGTCCAACTTAGTTCTGCGTATAAGCTTTCGTGTGCATGCACACTTCTTCAGCTTATACCCGGAACTAACTTAGTTGGTCTCTTAGGTCTCCTGGACAATTTTTTAATTATTATTTTTTTGTCTGCATCAGACCAACACGGCTACCTACCTGAATCTATGAAGCAAGGAGACGTCTGTTTTCTTCTTCCCACAGTCAATGAATTAGCAACATACTATTTGATTCAGCTTTTGCTGCAGAATAGGCATCTTTTTAGATCTGATGACTCCCCCATTCAGAAATATTTATCATCCATAATTTATTGCAGTTTCTTTTCCTCTCACTTTCTGTGGGGTTGCGAAGCACCACTGTCTAAAGTGCTGCCGTTTTTCATTTACTAACTTGCACGTAGTAATAAAGCAGCGCCAGCCAGACTAACTCAGATGGCATTTCCGGGGGGGGGGGTGCCCCTGGCACGCACAGCTTCCTGGAGGGGCAGAATTTCTCCCACATTCTGAATTCTCCCTCTTTCCCCTTCATGTGATCAAACTGAACACCTGAAGAGAGTTCAGAGGGCTGCAAAATGTACCTTTAGTTGGCTTTTTGCAAGGTTGACGCTCTCTTAACTTTCCCCCCCGTTAAGGTTTGTCTCATTCCTAAATCTGCCCATGGCACTAACCCAGCCAGTGCTCAGATGGCAGGGATGAAGATTCAGCCAGTAGAAGTGGATAAAAATGGAAGCATCGATATTGTTCATCTTAAGGCTATGGTGAGTTGGTTGCCCTTCTTTTGAATGCATTACGGTATTATAAGCTTCGGCTAAAAACTCTTTAATTTTCAATGGGCATATAAAATTACATAGAAGAGGAAGCTGTGCCTGTCTCTCTTTTTTTTGACATAATCTTATGCAAAACTTAAATGTGTAGCTTCAGTTGTTAACATATGTGATAGCCTATCTTATTTTGAGAGTCAGTTCTATAGTGTATCCATTTTTCATGGTTATTTTCCTTCTTATTTGCTACAATTTGAGTGGAAACCAGATAACATGAAAGAGCAGATGATAAGCAACTGCAGCAATAGAGTGTTCGCTGCAATAGAGCATTCTCTGAAGGGAAGACTGTAAATCGAGGTCACCAACCTGTTGCTTCCAGTGGTGGCCCAGGTTCTGTGTTCTCATTTTTCAATGAAAGCGAGTCTCTAGCCTGCTTGCCTGCATAGAAATAAAGTTATGGAACAAAATGTCCAAATACCTTCTAAGCAATTTCTGTGGCTACCCCTGCTATAAACGCTCTGATTTCCTTGATCTCTCCCTGACATTTTTTTTGTCTATTTTTCCTCCTTTCTGAAGGTGGATAAACACAAGGAAAACCTGGCAGCTATCATGATCACATACCCATCGACCAATGGTGTCTTTGAAGAGGATATCAGTGATGTCTGTGACTTGATTCACAAACATGGAGCCCAGGTTTACCTGGATGGAGCAAACATGAATGCTCAGGTGGGAAACCGGTTTATAGGCTCCTTCCGTTAATGCAGACCCCTGACTGAATTTGCGAATCATGCTTAAAAATAAACGTTAAAAGTGAGATTTTGTACCACTTTAATAATGAATAATAATTGACTGGACGTAATTAACCGCACTATGAATATTGTTATTTTAAAAAATCAAGAATCTTGTCTCTGACCTTTCCATAAAATCTAAAACTACATTTTACAAGTTTTGTTTTAGGTAAAAAAAATAAAATACTAAAATTTAGTTACAGCTTTACATATACTTAAATATAAGGTAGAGCTATATGCTAATCTTTGTTTTGTTGACTTTTTTTAGCAACAGCAAACTTCTGTTTTTAAAAGAAACTTAATTCTTTTCATCAGCAGACTTGATTATGAAAAACTAATCTCATTTGTTTTTCCCTCTAATCCCTTCTCTTTCGTTTTTGAAACTTTGTGCTCTCCTTCCTTTGATAGGTTGGTCTGTGCCGTCCTGGAGACTATGGGTCAGATGTCTCTCATTTAAATCTCCACAAAACCTTCTGCATTCCTCATGGGGGAGGAGGGCCTGGAATGGGACCAATTGGAGTGTACGTATCTGGCTCTCATAGCAAGATTTATAATTTATATTTTAAGTAGTCCAGTGCTATAGATATGGAATGTGGCAGTACATAGCCTCACTAATGATGACTGTCTATGGATAGAAAGATGGAAAGCTTGATTCCTTATGAGCCTTTGATGTTTTATTTAAGGATTATTTTGTTGATTTAAAGAACCTTTATTTTACGTTGGAAATATTGGTGGGATTACATTAAGTGGAACATTGCCACTGTATATTGGACTAAAGTTAAGATGCCTTCATAAAAGTCTTAAGCTAGTTTTAACACGATAGTGATGGTGCAGTGGGAGAGAGTTTTATTTCTAAATTCTTTCTTCTTCTTCTTCTTCTTCTTCTTCTTCTTCTTCTTCTTCTTCTTCTTCTTCTTCTTCTTCTTGGTTCCATTTTAGGAAGAAGCATCTGGCTCCTTTCCTGCCCAGCCACCCTGTCATTGCATTGCAGCATGATAAGGATTCCAGCCCACTGGGAACCATCAGTGCTGCTCCTTGGGGGTCCAGTGCTATATTGCCTATTTCCTGGGCTTATATCAAGGTATAACTGGGACGCGGGTGGTGCTGTGGTCTAAACCACTGAGCCTCTCAGGCTTGCCGATCAGAAGGTCGGCAGTTTGAGTCCCCACGACGGGGTGAGCTCCTGTTGCTCTGTCCCAGCTCCTGCCAACCTAGCAGTTCAAAAGCACAGCAGTGGAAGTAGATAAATAGGTACCGCTGCATTGAACGGCGTTTCCATGCACTCTGGTTTCCGTCACTGGTGGAACCGTAATGGTTGCACCAGAAGCGGTTTAGTCCTGCTGGCACATGACCCTGAAAGCTGTCTGTGGACAAACGCCGGCTCCCTCAGCCTGAAAGTGAGATGAGCGCCGCAACCCCATAGTCGCCTTTGACTAGACTTAACTGTCCAGGGGTCCTCTACCTTTTTTACCTATAAAGGTATACTTTGAAACACGAGTAGTCTAGGGACTATCCATGGTGCTGAAAATAAGGACCTGGGGATCTGGATGACTCTGCAGATTAGCTTAATTCTCTAAGAAGAGATTAGTGGAAGTGTTGGCCAAGTGGAAGGGCCCTTTCACACCCTCTCTGCTGCCCACTGCAGCTCCCAGTGAAGTCTCTCCAGGGGTTGCTACTCCATGACACAGAACATGGTGCAAGGAAAGGATCAGAGAGGGGAGGATCAGGGGCACATTATGCACACGGAGCACCCCTCATGCAAGGTGCTCTACCTGATTTTCATTGGTCTTCTTATTCTTATTTCAGCTCCCTGCACCACACCCCTCATGCTCTTCTGGAAGGTTTCCTGCTTCTCCAGAGTGGCGTTTTGGGGGCTGCAGGGGGCGATATTTTAGAGGATAGGTTGGGAAAGGTCCATTGCATAAGCAACCTCTCGTTTGTGAGACTCTAGATTCAAGCCAATGCATTTATTTCCCCAGCTCATCGGACCCTGGAAACTTCACAGTGGGAATGAGGGTGTGCTAATCATGTTTGGCTAACTACAGTTTCAGAGTTGCCCATTTAAGTTCATTCTGGAAATAACCTGTGCTAGGAGAGGAGCCCAAGTTAAAGGATAGAGCAAATGCGTTGATGCAGAAGGTCCCAGAATTAGTACCTTGCATCTCCAACTGAAAGAATCGGGTGATGGGGAAGAGAGCTGCAGGAGAGTTGCTGCAGGTCAGGGTAGACAATCTTAGGCTAGAGGGACCCATGGCCTGCACTGGGAGAAGGCAGCTTCATATGGCTTTTCAAAACTGATTGGGATAGTTTTGAACCAATTGGATAGCTCCGTTGGTTAGAGCATGGTGCTGATAATGCCAAGGTTGCAGGTTCGATCCCCATAAGGGACAGAAGCATATTCCTGCATTGCAGGGAGTTGGACTTGGTGTTCCTTAGGGTCCCTTCTATGAAACCATTTTATATCGATGGTACTTAGCACTGCCAGCCATCAGCACCACACTGCTGACACGGGCAAACAATTTTTGTCAAGATTGATTCATTCCCATATATCTTTCAGATATAGCTGTATGGATAATGGCAGAGGCTCCCTTTATTTTTCTAGCATCTGATACATCTGAGGAAGTGTGCATAGCAGGCTCTGTGAATAATTGTTTAACCTACATGTTCTTATTGTTGGCTCTTTGTCCCTTCAGATGATGGGAGGAAAAGGTCTCAAGCATGCATCAGAGATTGCAATATTAAATGCTAACTACATGGCAAAGAGACTAGAGAAGCACTACAAAGTCCTTTTTAAAGGAGCCAGAGGCAAGTATTTCAGCCTAACATGAAGTTTTCCATAGTCCCAGGAGACAGTGGTGTACACCAAAAATGAGGAGTGGAGGGTTATTGGCTTGCTTTGTTTTTGGTTTCATTTGTGTTTTTATTTGTATTTTTATGCCCTGAGATCTTTGGATGAAGGGTGGCATACAAAATAAATAAATTTAAACCACAGTTTGACCAGGAGGCAAAATAAATAGTGTTGCAAGAGTAACTTTTCTCTTTGGGAAAATCCATCCACACAAATAAGGTGAATAATTCCAGTGTGCAGACTAATTAATCCATAACACAGAAAGTGCAATAAAAATAGGAAACCCCAAAAATATGGAATGGTCTATCAAATATAAATCTCAAAATAAACAAGGCGTACAAAGCTATTAGACTTAAAAAAGAGAGTTGATAATTGATTGTATTTCTCTGAAGAAGGATCAGTTGGGTTCAAAATGTGTTGGATTAGCAAGCATCCTTTTTTATGCTACTCTGATGGGTCTTTGCTCCTGCCATCAGACTGATCCATGGCAACAGTGGAGACCATCCCCTCCCTGCAGTTGAAAGAACTGCATAATTCTGTCCCTTCATTTCAGGAAAGATCCATCCAGCAGGATAGCTGATCATATTGGCGCTTACACAACCTTGTGCTGTACTAAGCTTTTGTGTTACCTCCTCTCTGTCCTTTCCATTGTCACTGGCCTTGTTTGAAGGTCACGATAAACTGTTTTATCATTATGAAGACAGCCTGGACAAGTCTCAGACTCATGTACTCTTCCCTACTCCCTTCCTGCAGAGTGACCGCAAGGAATTTGGAAGCAAAACCATCTGATCTCCTTCAGCACACACGGGGGCGGGCAGGAAGCTCAATACGCTAAAAGCTTGTGAATATAACTACAAACAAATGTTTATTTGCAAAGAGGTTGCTGAATTAGTCTGTTGCAACAAGAACAACCAAGTCTTATGGTACCTTAAAGGCTGACAATTCTGGGACCGTCTTTTGTGAATGAGAGTCCACTACATCAAATGTGTGGAGCATGAACCTTGGTTGTTAAATGTAATAAAGCCTGGAGTTCAGCAGCAGTGAAATGCAAAACTATTGTTTTGAGTTGTCACAACTAATACTATGCAAAAATAGCCATCATTGCATCTAAACCAGGCTGGGGAGTCATCCTGTTGCACCCACTATCCCAGCCTCCTGACAAAGAGTATTGGCCCACTAGCAATCTAAATAATATGGGCTGAAAGGCGTTTGTGGATGAATTCATCCTCCTAAGAGGATATTCTCAAAAGCTGTAGGAGCAGCTGTGGACTTGTCTGCTTCTCCTCAATAATATATGTGCGTGCCCCCTCCCTACAAATTGTTAGAGCTGTGTTGTGTTCTCTCTCTCTCACTGCACTGTGCTTTAATCAGGGGTGCTTTTTCCCTGTCAAGGATCAAATTCAGTCAGGGTAATCTGTTGGAGAGGGCAAATGCCAGCAGTGGGTGTAGCTAAAAATGAAGTGTTCTGGATTAACTCAGAATTTTTAAAACCCCCACTCTGCTTCAGTTTTCAGTTCAGAATTCCCAGTCTTATGCTCAAAGGTAACCCCCACTGGGTACTCAATCAGACGGCATTTATTTTCTGGGGTGCCACAGAGCACTATTTGGTACCCAGCACTCCTTAGCGTCCGTAGGAAGCTGTTGGGGGTGGTCATTATGGGATATGGAGCAAACTGTCATCAGTATGCTGGTGACACACAGCGGTTCCTCCAAAATAAACTTATTTTAAACCCTGGCAAGACAAAGAGCTTGGAAGTTGATGTACAGAAATAACGCACCTGGGTTATAGATACTGAAAGCTACTTTGTGGTCACATTTTATTTTTCTACAAATATAAATCTTAGAATAAAAATTTCATACGCAGGTTATGTAGCTCATGAATTTATTTTGGACACCCGACCTTTCAAGAAGACAGCAAATATTGACGCTGTGGATGTCGCTAAACGGCTTCAGGATTATGGTGAGTTGTCAAATGGGCAACGTTCTTTTATCACAATTAAAATGTAGGATTCAATCCTGTGGTGGTAAGAATTATGAAAGCTGTTTAACCGGCTCATCCAGCACCCTGTGGGCTCCTGCCATCAGGCAAAATTGAGAGCCACTTGTTTTTTACCATTTACCCTGCCATTGGACATGTCTGAATTCTCTCCTGGTTTGGTGGGGAGTCAGGCGATCGGGAGAACATGATTATGGATGTCCACAAATTTGACATTTGGGTTTATGCAACTGCTGCAAGCTGAGAATACATAAGGAGAGAGACGACTGTGTTTCAAATAACTGGTCCCCCCCCCCCCAAGTTGGTCAGTAACTGGGCTTTGTAAATGGCCTTGCTGTATGTAGCGAGGAAAAATATGTAATACCAAAGAGTGTTCCTTGAACTCTGAAAACATGTTGTTTAGACTTTGCTTAGGGTCCTGGTCTGTTGGAAAGGTGGTACAATAAAAGAATGTTGTGTTTGCTAGGATTCCACGCTCCAACGATGTCCTGGCCAGTGGCAGGTACTCTGATGATTGAACCAACAGAGTCTGAAGACAAGGCAGAGCTAGACAGATTTTGTGATGCAATGATCAACATTCGACAAGAAATTGCCGATATAGAGGAAGGAAGAATGGATTCTCGAGTTAACCCGTTAAAGGTGAGAGCAGGGTTTATTTATTTGTAGCTGTTGCTCTTCATCAAGATTGTTTTGAAATAAATTGTCTACGATTGATGCTGTAGTCCCCAGGACTCTGCAGTTTAGTACAGAAAAAGGCAAAAAGCCAGCATTTATTCTATTTCTAGCTGTTGTGTCTCATGGTATAGACCCTGTACTCCTCCTATTGCAATATATTATAGGCATGTGGCTCCGCTTGATTTTTAACAACATCTGCTAGAAAACCTCAGATTCACTGTTACCCGTTCAGAGAGCTAGTCTTGGTCACATCTTATTGAAACCAATAGGACTCAGATTTATTGTTTTTTGTTGGTTATTATTTCAGTGGAACTTAGCAGATCTTTCTCTTAGCTGAGGCTATTACTACTGTTTGAGTATTTATATTATTACTCAATTGAATTACCGTATTTTTCGCTCGATAACACGCACCCGACCATAACACGCATGTAGTTTTTAGAGGAGGAAAACAAGAAAAAAAATATTCTACACGAAACAGTGGATGTATGATTTTTGTGGTTCATGCTGTGGCCACAGACATGTGATCTGATGGTGAGTTTGGGGTAGCCCAATGCAAAAATCCTGAGGATCCATGTGGATCTGTGCTTTGTAACCACGTTTTAAGTGGGGAGGGAAGGAAAAGCACTCAAGGGACAAGGAGCACGCGTGGAGCAAGCTCTGCTTCTCTCCCTCCTCCCCCCCCCCTTAGCGAGCTGAAAATCTTTCCTGCTATTTCCAGCAAAGCGGGAGGAGATACAGAGAGCCTGCTTGCTTTAAAGGAGCCAACCGGACAGGAGCCCTCCCCTCCCGCTTTGCTCCTTTAAAGAAGCAGGCACTCTGTCCCTCTCTCCTCCCCATTCAGCGGCTCTTCTCCTGCTGGAAACCACGGAGGAGGGAAGCATTCGCCCCGTAACACGCACAGACATTTCCCCTTACTTTCTAGGAGGAAAAAAATGCGTGTAATGGAGCGAAAACTACGGTATATTATTATTTTGTATATTTTAACTTAGATGTCACCACATACCTTGACCTGCATTGCTGCTCCTAACTGGGACCGTCCTTACTCCAGAGAAGTAGCTGTTTTTCCACTGGTAAGTAATGAGTTAACATGGGAAGCTTTCTTCATTCTCATTTGAGCAGCCAGTTTTATTAGACAGCATTACTACTGGAAAATGTTAGGAACCTTGCAAGCCAACCTTAAAAAGAAAGGTACATCAGATGTGCCAAAAAGAGATGGCATTAAGGCAAGGATTAAGCTGCCTCTTCCTTCCTGCTATAGCCTTCATAATTATCTGCCATCTCAGCTGATGCTGCTTTGAAAGAGGTCCTGTAAGTTAAATGCAAAGGCAGCTTGGAGCCAGAAAACGTTATCCCCTAACTGGAATTTGGTGGGGATAACATAAGTTAAAATAGAGTGGCTCATAACATTCTGACAAAAAAAACCATACAAAGACAAGACAAAGCATAAAGACCTTGAACTATTGGTTGTTTATGGCTCATATTATGATGGAACCCTGAACTTATGTAGCAGTTAGTGGATAACCACCTCACATTTTATAATGCTTAAATTATTCTGAGGGATCTTTCCATTGGTCCCAGAAAGAAATCATTCCTTACAGCAGGCAGCAGAACCCTGATCCCAAACACATTAGTTATGTTGAATTCAAAGTGTATCCTTTGTCACTTCTGCCATTTGGCAAACACCTTTTGAAACTTGGGGGCATCAAAGCAGTTTGAGATACTCCACGGGGCTAAAATTAGCAAGCGACTCAAACTCCTTTCATGAGCCGAAAGGTGGAACTAATTTCACCCAACTTCTAAAACTTCAGGCTTTGAAGGATAAACCAGTGCACCACAACTCCTATAGTACCTAATGAAGCTGGCTATTGTCTCTTGTACATGCTGCAGTATGCGCGTTACTCTTTAATGTACCATAGAATATTGTCTGCTAATTGTCGGTAATTTAAAAATTACCTACTGGGTATGTTTCTCCCACTTTAGCCATTTGTAAGACCTGAAAATAAATTCTGGCCCACAATTGCTCGAATCGACGACATCTATGGAGATCAACATCTGGTTTGTACCTGCCCGCCGATGGAAGTCTACGAGTCTCCTTTTGCTGAACAGAAGAGAGCATCATCTTAGGGTCAGTCTCCCCTCACCTTACCCTGTTCCTTTTTAGGTGACCAGGCTCGACCTCCCTTGCTACGCTTCAGGAAGGATGGGCTCTTCTGCCCAGTGAACCATTTTTTTATACGGTGTATATTTTTGTAATCTCCATACTGTTGATTAAATTTCTGTGCAGCTATGTAAATATACTTTAGGTGGAAACAAACTGACTTGATGCAGTGCCTCAGTTTCCACAGCAGTTCATGCTGAAGTGGCCTTGATTTAACACTCTTTGATCAATTCAGGACCAAGGCTGCTTTCCTGTGTTGAGGAGCGCTAAACATAGAGCGGTATGTGTAAAAATAGAACCCTTTTTTTTGTTAAACTGGGCCCTGACAATACTTCTGTGATAGAGAGCAATCCCAGTTTATTTTGAATAACGCCTATACTGTGGGATTTTTTGGGGGACTCAGGCTGTTTGGTGGCTAAAATTATAGTCATTATTCACTTTGTATGAACTGAAAGACAGAGACCACAATATGCTGAAACAAAGGAAAGTAAGCTCCTCTGTACCTCACTTTGTATTAGATTGTGGCTATATACTTTTGTAGTTTGTATTAATTAAATTTATATATTGCTTCTAGTGTTGATAATGTCATTTAAGGAACTCGTTTTTTCTTTTTTAAACTCCCTGTGGTAGCATTCCAATAAAATCTAGAAGTTGTAATAGCTTTTGAAACCCGATTTCAAAGTCTGATTAAAAACAAGATTTTCTGAAAGTGTGTGGTATTTTGTTATGTGCTTTTGTGAACTATTTATAGTGGGTTGTGTTCTATGCTTGCATGAACTGGAAGGGGTGCTTCTACAATGCATTGTGTTCTGCCCAAGATACCAGGTAAGGCTTGGGGTAGTGAGTTTGTGAATTTTCCCCCCTTGAGATACCATTGTGCAAAAACCCAGTGAGTTAGGCTTTGTGCCAACAAACAAAAAAATGCAGAAGGCCAATTTCTCCACAAAACTAAGGTCTTTTAAAAATGTTTTGTATAATATAGCTTTCTAATGCAAATTGCCCAAAGATATTAAACCCGAGACCAAACACCTTGTTATCAAAAGTTTTCAAATGTACATTCAGCCATCTTCCAGGAAACACTGTCTTATGGCTGCAAAATACAAACTAACACTTTATGAATCATAAAATATTTAATAAGGTATATTGGGGAAGAGGAATATACTGTATATAAAATTTCAGATCACAATATGAAGCGATTTGAGCCCTCTCCAAGCTAGCACTGCTCTCAATGCTGTGTAAGATGTATTGCCACTGATACAAGACCTACTAAAAGCATACAGTTTTACCTAATACAAAAGTGGCTTGTTTCATATGAAATAGTTTTTACACAACTAGAGTGTTTTGAATACCCTCTTTAAGTGCAAAAAACACAAATCACTTTACATTAACAGCAACAATGCATTCATATTGTTCTCAGTCATTAGTAGTCAACTTGCATAAGATACAAGAGCACAATGACGCTCACAAAAATAGACTAAAAGCCTGTTCTTGCAAAAGAAATTAAGAAAAACAGCATAATGGCAGGAAATGCACACGCACAAAAAGATTATGCACACCACAGAATTTGATGTTCTGTAATTAAAAACTGGCTTAAGTGCTGTTTTCTTGTTGTAAAATCGAACTGCATGGACCAGGCAAACTAATATTCAGGAGGCAGTGTGTAGCTGAACTTCATCTGACGCGCTCTTAAATTCCCCACAATTTGTTTTCCTCCATCTGAGGTAGTTACAAAAAACAATCTGAAGCATCCGCTGTTGTGGCCAGTCAGAGCCAAGGCTTGTATCCCCCCCCCCTTGTTGTCATCTGTCCAAAACTACCTTCAGTGTTGAAAGTCAGCTGAGAATGTGAAGTTCTCACTACACAAAAAAGATTGCAAAATGGGAAAGAAGGTTGAGTTAGCCGCTCCACAATGTGACAGTCATATGAACTGCGCTCAAGCCAGCTGGTCCACTTTTGAATTTTCCTGGTTTCTTCTGTTTGTACAGTCTGTAAGTCATTAAGAGAAGTATACTGAGAACTGAACTCGTATCATCGTCCTTTGCTGTAACCAGGGAAGAACTGGTCAAGTAGTGTCTGCAGTATTTTGTTAGGAACCATGGTGTAGCCCTTTCCAAGGTCGTGTCGGCAAGCAGGGCAGGTGAAGACTTCAGCTCTAAAGGAGCGCTGTAAACAGCTCTATGTTACAGAACGATAAGGAGTATGTTTAGGACACAACTTAAAATATGGTTCACAAGAAACTGAAATATCAGCTAAATGCCAAAAATAGACCTCTGGGCTTTCTGTGTTTACAGAAAGCCTTTTCCTGAGATAACATAAATTGACAAAAACTTAACAGGGCTACCTGAATATGCTAAATAAATATGCCAGTTATGTTACGAGGGATTGGTACTGTGCTATTTTTCTGCATAAAGGTAGTCCATTATTTTTCTAGCAGTAGTCTGTCATATGTTATAAATGAATTCTGTTTAAACATTTGCAAAACCAGTAGCACTACTGTATGTTGAGCCCTAATTTGTTGTGCAGCCTGGTTCAGACAGAATAGTCAATCACAGTTTTATGCAACCAAGGAGAGTATCGGAAGTATTCACTTGGAAGTTTTTAAACTAACCATAGTTCCCTGTGCCGTCATACACAAAAGTGTGTTGTGCAAAGAACGGTCTAGATCACAACCTTCAGTAAAACTAAACTAACTTGTACACAAATGCTGGTGAATGGCTCTACATTTGTTACACGCAAAGCTATGTTCTCTCATGATTTTTTAAAAAGCCTACAAGTACTTTCTATACAGCCTGGAGCTATGGCACATGGAACAACATTCCCAGGTGCCCTATCCTTGTCAGACAAAAATCTTGGCTACTACAAGCACTCAAATACCAGGTGTTCAGTAGTGGTCTTTTTGTAAATGTTTAACAATGAAGTCTAGGTTAGTGAGTGGGGTCAGGATGTGGAATTGTGTGATCTCCCCGCCTTCCCATAATGTGTGAAAATTCTCTTTCACCTGCTTTGGGGTTTAGTGTTTGCTGCATTCATCCTTTACCAGCCCTGCTTAAAATGAATCCCAGTACTCTCCTAAACTCACTTTGGCAGCCCTAATTAACAATGGAGTTTTAACATTAGTTTAGGCCAGGCATAGGCAAACTCAGCCCTCCAGATGTTTTGGGACTACAACTCCCATCATCCCTGACCATTGGTCCTGTTGGAGTTGTAGTCCCAAAACATCTGGAGGGCTGTTTTCCTCTGCCTGGTTTAGGCACACACCTGGATGGGAAGGAGAACTAGTCCATCAGGAGACAAGGCACAGGTACTGGGAGTACATTTCCCTTACGCACTCGTTCATTGGGAAGTGTGATCTGGGCCTGTTTACATATACAATTGTTTTATATTTGTTTTCATTATATTGTGAAGCGAAATTGGAAGCAATTCATAAATGATGTTGGTGGTTTTGTCATCTTCCCATAGAGCTCAAAGATGAGGGAAATGTACCCTCTGTTGGATTAAAAATGCACTTCTCTTTGTTCCTTCTAGCATTCTGTAGTTTAAACGGATTTTGTGAATGTGACCCCTACCAACATTTAAGAGTTGTTTATATGCTCCCCAAAAAACCAAGTCAAAATTATGAACATTAGGACAAATATTACAAGGCACAATTCTGCCAAAGTCATCTTGATTTCAATGGAAGAGATAAGAATGTGCTTAAATCTTTGCCCATGGGGACTCTGAAATAGATCCAGCCTATGTACGGGAAAAGTAACTGATATCCTTTACCTACTTCGTTCGGTCAAAATGAAAAATAACTCATCTCGTTTTTAGTTGCAATGTAAAACTGTGCCAGTTCAGGAGTGGGCAGACTTCGGACTTGTGTGGTCTACTTTGTCCTCCTTTCTCTAAGCTACCACTTTTCAGGGCTGCAGCTGGTGAACTTCGAAATTCCAGGTGGACATATGCTGAAAAGTGTCTCATTCTTTAATTATAAGTATCTTAGTCCAGGAATTTGTTTTCTGTATTCCAACCCCCAACATTTCTTCAGTAGCCAATATGCAGAAAAAAGCTGCTGCTACTGTTAAACAGCCAGAAATCACTGATGATCTAATGCTAATTACTCAAGGATCTACCAGTATACCCCGATCTACTTTCTGCCAACCCCTGGTCTTGTACCTCTTTCAAGGAAGGAACAGAGGGAGTTCAAAATGCTGGTAACTTGCTTTCCAATAGAACCAGGGCCAATGGTTCCAAGATCAAGAGGAAACATCACTACGGTACTACTTACTTTACAGACATTGTGGAGGCACTCTGTGGTCACCGGTTGGTATACCAGCTCCTGGCAGCAGACACACATAAAAGATTGTTCCAGTTTCTTCAAAAAGTTCTATGGCAAGATAAGAGAAAAGTAAGTTACACTGACAATGAAATTCTAGGCTGCGTGCATCAAGCAAATCCTTCATCTTATATTAGTTGTTTAAAATAAATCACCTCTTCATAAAAAAGTCTTATTCCTGTAAAGTAACTCCCACATTCTACAAAGAGCAGAATGTTATGTGGTTAAACTAAGCACAAACAATACCTTCTACTTCAATAAATGTGTTATACATATTGATCCCTTGTCACTGCAAGAAAGGTTAAAATGCAGAATGTGAGTTACTCTAAGAAAACATACTGGTCCTTCCTTAAGAGAAGCGAGAACTTCATCCCACAGCTTCTGGTTTGGTGAATCTTCTTGAATCAACCACTGCTGTTGCTGAGTGAGCTGGAAAGCTTCTCCTTTGCCGCCGTCTCCTTTCCCTCCATCTTCCATCTTCATGACTTTGGCCACATTTGTAGGTTCCTCAATTCCTTCTGAAAAATAATGAAAAAGCATTATAATCCTGGGGTGGCCTAGTGAGGAAATGATTAAAAATTCTTCCCATTCAGCTGTATTCTGGAAAATGCAATGATATATATATGTCTATCAAAGCAAACTAGATTTATTTTAGACTGTACAATGTTCACTTAATTTTTTTCTTCAGCTTCATATTTGGCACCTACATTCTGGCAAAATATCTACCCTATCCCCCCCCCCTTACAATGTACTTTTTCTGAGGCCAAACTCAAGCAGGTCCCATTAAGACAAATTTTGGCTGCTATGAACCATTGTGTTAGGCAGTGAACACCAGCTGTCCCAATTTGAAGTCAATGTGTCTGAAAGATGGGGCTGCAGCAAGCAGCTTTTCTTTCAGAGGCTGCACGGTTTCATGTGGGACTGCTTTCAGGTGCTCCACATAAAAATCGAAGCAAGACTACAGCACTCCCTGTCACACAAACATAGATCATAGACCCATAGGAACCCAGGTGTGCATCCTTATGATGCCAAAATGGTACCATCCACACAAAAGATGGAGGCATCTGCAGGTTTGGGGGAGCCCCAGGTTCTATAGGGGGGAAATATTCAGAAAAAACTCTGAACTCCTACATAGTCCAACAAGGAATGGGTCTTCTCAGAGGGAACAGAATGCTGACTGATTATTTGAAGGTGGTGGGGAGAGAGACAGAAAACCAGCTGCAGTATTATGGAGAGGGAGTGGCTGTCTGGGAACCTAACAGTAGAACACTACAACATTTTTTTCCAGCTTCTAGCTTTTATTATTATTAATTCGATTTATACACCGCCCTTCATATCTCAGGGTGGTTCATAGACTAAAATACAAGCTAAAAACACAAGTAAATAATTAAAACAAAACAGCAAAACAATAACACAACACCCTTGCCACAGACACATTTAAAAGGCTGTAGGATAATCAGCCAAAGGCCTGACGGAAGAGGAATGTTTTTCCTGGCACCTAAAAATATATAATGAAGGTGCCAGGCAAACATCCCCAGGGGAGAGCATTCCACAAATGGGGAGCCACCACAGAGAAGGCCCGTTCTCATGTTGCCACCCTCTGAACCCTTTTCTGGCAAATTTATATTTTGGAAGATGACCTGGTGTTCCATCTAGTGTTAACTTGCAGCATGAGATGTTCAGACTGCTGACATGACCACTCCTAAATGCCTTCTTTCTCTGAACAGAGCTCAACCACCTCCTTGGCTCACCAATAAACTGATGCCAATGAAGTAGATGGAGGAATAAGCCATGATGCTTAGCCACTAGCCCTTACTCCTTTGAAAACAGAGAGCCTAGTAAGTTAATTCCCCTTCCTCCTGCTACCATACCATCATCAATCAGTCTTTTCTGATTTCCGTTGCTCTGTTCTGTTGGCTCCTGTTTCGTAGGTTGCTTTTTTACTTTATCCTTCTTTTCTTTACTCGCCATAGCTTCCAAATAGCCTTCCGGATACTGCAAAAGAGCATCAGCTCTGAAAAGTATCTTAAACAGCATTCACGTTAAAACAACAATGTCCATAATGACATCATTTTTAAAAGCAAACGGACTTAAAATTAGGGCACAGAATATAAGGAGCAGGCACCTGTGCAAATGACTCACAAAAAAGATCTGCCACAAGGGCATAAGCTGGACCTTGCTCTTTGATTCCTACCCTGGGACAAAAAACAGACTGATAGACCTCTGGGCTGTAGCTAACTCTTTTGCTTTTGACTTTTATTAGAGGAATGGCAGCTGTTTACCATTTCTTAAATTTTATCAACCTGTCTAGGAATCCAAATGTGAACAAATGATATGAACATGACTACACACTTGATCACATGCAATATGAAATAAGGTATGGGCCTATTTCAGGCTTCTAAAACCTGTTCAATAAATATTAGAGAAGAAAGTATAAATCATCTTGTTTTAACTAGCTACCTTAACATCTTCAAAGCTGATCTTAATGAAGCTGGCTACCAGAGATTTTCAGGAGAGTGCGGAGTTTCTCTAACATAGATGTTGGAACAGTTACGTTTCAAAAAAACTTTTTAGAACTACGGTAACTTGATGTTCTAACCTGTACACTCAAGCCCAATTTCTTTGACCTTTCCATTCCTTCTGAGGTCCATGGGGCAGGTTCAGCATCATCTCTTCTCAGAAGATAGCGCCAAACTAAGAATCCACATTTTCCAATTTCAGGCCAGTATTTCACCACCTAAATGATAAAAGTCCCTATCACTGTTATGTTTTATCTTCCACAGTCTGAAGGCCTGTCCGATTAAATCCTCCCACTCCCCCCATTTATTATAATAAGTTTAATAAATTTCAGCTCTATGTATTCATCAGTTTTAAGATAAAATGGTGCTTTCTGAAAATGCAAGTTGATGCATAATCTGCACTATCCTGTATGAGACTTCCTGAGACAGCAATGGAGTTGTAAAGATAAAACATGCCTAATGTGCATCAACAGCTTAACTGCTATATGTGCCCTGTGGGCCAATAAGAGGACAAATTTTTCAGGAAGATTTCCTGACTCCCTGGAGAGGCTTTCCAGGGAATACAAGGAGGTGCAGAAGTTGAGGCAGGGGGAAGAGACAGGAAAGCCAGTTGTGCAACCCAAGATTTGTTGTTGTTTAGTCGTCTTAGTCGTGTTCAACTCTCCATGACCCCGTCAACCAGAGCATAGCTTGGAAACTCCCACTTTCTTCTCAAAGCTTCTCCTTTTTTATGTCCATGGAGTTTTCTTGGCAAAATACTGGAGTGGTTTGCCAGTTCGTTCTCCAGGTGGATCACATTTAGTCTAAACTCTCAGCTATGACCTGTCCATCTTGGGTGGCCCTGCACAGCATAGTTCATAACTTCTTGGGGTTATTTAAGCCCCTTCACCACGACAGTTACAACATAAAGCGTGCAACAGGCTGAATGGTAATGTTTGCAACGAATTTCTTTACTGGTTACTTCCTAATATACGAATCAAGTCCAGGATGTACACCATATACAATCCCTAAGCAAGGTAGTGTTCCATGAAGGGGCAACCCAAGATAATTTCCCCTAAAACTCAAAAGGCTTTGCTCTTTTAAATGCAAGAAACGTTAAATTAGGAAAATACGCACTTTATAAATGCCATCGTATCTGTTGCCTTCTTCAGGGGCATATTTGCTGATCCTTCGGCCCTTTGAGCTACGAACCACTCGGACTGGCTTGCCAGCTCTCCAGTTTTTAGACTCGGCTCCATTTTTATCATCCAGGGGGGCATCACAATTTAGCGCTAGTGCCCTGAAAATAAAAACAACAAAAAAAGAGATAATGCTTCCTCAAATATTAAGAGCACAAGCAAGTATCTTACTCAGCTATTTGAATTTAATTTTCCATGGCAGGCAGAAGATAAAGCGTTTTATTCAACCTGAAGTTAAGAATTATTGATATAATGCCGACACAACAGGATTTCCCCCTGCATGCACCCGGAGGGTTTGGGGTGTGTGCAAAACAGATATAAGGGACACACCAGGGCAAGAAGGAAAACATTCCATTGCACGAGAAAAAAATTGTTGTGCTGATGGAACTGCTTAATGCTACACTGAATATAATCCAAAAGCAGATACAAGTAACATATACAGACTAAGTTAAATTACTCTCTAAGGCAGGGGTTGTCAATCTGGTCCCTACCACCCACTAGTGGGTGTTTCAGGATTCTAGGTGGGCGGTAGGGGGTTCTACGGCACAAATATAATCCTCCTTCCATTGAGCACTGGTGGGCGGGAAGGAAATTTTACCATCAAGAAAGATGCATTAGTGGCGGTAGGTATAAAAAGGTTGACTACCCCTGCTCTAAGGCATATGAAAACATTCCCATGCAAACCAAATACTTTCCCATGTAAATTTCATTATTAATAGTCAATGAACATTTTAAAAAAATCTAGAATCTGCTTGCTCCCATCACTGCTTGCTCCCAAGTAAATATGCTTAGGATTTGATTCTGATTTGTTTTAGTATTTATATGCCACTTTGTCAACAATAAAGCTGAGCTCATAGTGGCTCACAAATGTAACTAAGAATTAAAAAGTAACATTTAAACCAACAAAATCATATTAAAATAGCATACAGGGGGTGAGCATTTTGTGCATGCTCAATTGACGCATGATCCATTGACGCATGGGTCCTTTTTGGACCCGGAAGAGGGCAAAATGGGGGCGGAACAGAATGGGGCATAACAGGGTGGCCTTATGAGTGCTCCATCGATGCACACGAGGGCCAGAAACGCAACCCCTGCACCAAATTGGGAGTTGCCTGTATTAGTAAAGAAAAATAAATAAGCAATTAATGCAATCCAATTTTAAAAAGATGGAGGAATATGTCTGTCTCAAAAAACAATGGAGTGCATTTCTGGGGGTGAAGTCAAACCACTGGAGAATCGCAGAATATCTAGATTAATAATCAAATTTCAGCAAATAAACAGGTTCACTGGAGTGTTTTCTCTATTCTAGAGGGGGAAAATGTATGAATAGTTCATGACAACATTCAGCGCATAGTTGCGGGAGAGACAACTTATTTTCTCCTTTTAATGTAAGAATGTGGCACAGCTTACCTGTTCATGTGTGTCAAAGTTTGATCAAATGAATGTTCTCCAATCCTTTTATTGCCGGACAGATCTCTTCCACCACTCCCAGTGTAAGTAAATTCATCACCTCGATCCTATATGAGGAGATTAATTACTCTTTAAAATGTCAGGACTGCAAAAATTCAAATATACTAGTAAAAAATTAATTGTTGTTAACAAAGTTAACAATTGCCTCACATATAAAAACAGGTCAGCGTTTGATCTGCTGATGCCACAGATTTTTAGGTCATATCTTCATCAGTATATGAGTATGGGAAGTATACATATATATTACAACACATAATATTGGCTGCTATAAACAACTTTTTAGTAGCACAGATTTAAGTTTGTTTGTCTGGAAAAGAGGTTGACGAGGTACACAGATGAGGAGATTGTTCTCCATAAAGTGTTTTCCCCAACCCAAAGTTAGAGTCTGTCAATGATTTTATTGTTCTAAAAAGGATTCTTCAATTATGATACATTATAAGACAGTTTAGCACATTCATTTGTCTTCGCCAACCTGGCTCTTGCTGGGCTTGCTTGGAATTGTAGCACAATACATCTGGAGGGCACTAAGTTGGCAAATGCTGCCTTCTATCATCTCCTCTCCAAAACAGAAATCAACAGATCACAAGGGTCTGTTGGACTCACCCTGAATGATGTTTGGCAAGTTATTCTGACATACCCTGTTCAACTGCAGTCGTACCTTGGCACTCATACGTTTTGGCTCCCAAACGCCGCAAACCCAGAAGTGAGTATTCTGGTTTATGAACGTTCTTTGGAACCCGAACGTCTGGCGCGGCTTACACAGCTCCCGATTGGCTGCAGGAGCTTCCTGCAGCCAATCAGAAGCTGCGTCATTGTTTCCAAACGTTTTGGAAGTGGAACAGACTTGTACTCCCTCAATGGTTTGCTACCTTTCCTCAGACATTTTAAGGACTCTGTAACCACATAAGGTAATAATATCCCATTGGTGTTTTTCCACTGAGGAGGAAGACAATTTTCAGACATTCTTCCCCTGCCCCCATAGCTCTCCAATCTGCTCTCAAGGGTCCCTCAAACCTCCAGATCAGATTTTGGAGAAGGGGGAATTACTGAAAATAGTCTCCTTCCCCATTCCACTGAAGGATGCCTCCTATCAGTGGAAGACCCCCTAATGGATACCACACATAAACTTGGGGGGGGGGAATCAAAGCACAAGACAAATTCGTTCAGCAACTGGGATGAATACAGCAGTTTGCTAAGTATTAATGGGTTAGTTGCTATCAATTGTTCAGGAAAAAATGTAATTTTTCATATATAAAGAGCATTCCCACATTCTCCTAGTAAAAGCATACACTAACTAAACACTAAGGTTTTCTCTCACCACAATGCAATAACTGCAAATGAACTGGAACAAACCTACTGCAACAGAATTTCAAGTATACTCTATTAACATCACAAAAATTTTGGGAACTGAAAAGCAAAGCAAGGGAGGAGGATCTATCTTTTCCTTTTCTCTTGAGTTGTCAATAATGTGCGCATGCAAAACAGACTATAAAAATTACTAAATAAATATTGAAATGTGTTGGCTAATACAATTTTAAAACGCAGTCAACAGAAAGAAAATAAGTCAGGCTGTGAGTAGACCTCCTGACACTTTTGTGGACCCCAAATTGGGCTGATTTGCCCTATGCCACCCTGGAAGCAACACATCCACCCCAAAGCAATTCCTATGTAAATATAAAGTTAGAACAGGGTTTTTAAAAGGTCAGGGGATGAGTGCACCAGCACTGCACAGGATCGCATCTTTAAGGGGACAGAACTGGAAGGAGAGGCCTGCCGGTGACAGGAAAAGCGAGACCTGACAAGGGCACCCCTGCCATAGACCTTCTCTAGCAAACATGCAGCCACCTGGCACTTCTCTCCTTTTCACAGTGCAGTGGCCTCCTCCTTGCTGATGCCTGTCTCTCCTTCCTGCCTGACACTCTACCCCTCAACCTGACCTATAGAGATCAGGAGCTGAATCCATTGCAGCAACCTACATCTTTAGTTCACATCTTATGAACTAAAAAATGATTAATGAATTATGAAGCATACATGAATGATTTATAATGTTTTATAAGTAATCGATAACAGCATTAAGGGCTATTAATTATTATTATGCTACTAGATACATCAATTTAATCCACCTCATAATGAAGATGAAGTGGAACGATAACAGATCACTAGACAAAGGTGAGAAACTTAGCTGAGGAAGGGATTTTTCAAGTGCAATCTTAGGCTTGTCTACTCAGAAGAAAGTCATCTTGAGTTCAATGGGACTCAGTTTCATCTTTAATATTTGTTGCATATTCATTTGTCTGTGCCACATTCATTCATTCATTCACATATGGTGTGTGTTTGTGGGTGTGTTACAGTATTCATAGCAGACCCAGCAAATTCAAGGTACTTAAGTTACCCCAATTGACGTCATAATTTTTAACAGACCTATTCTAAGTATGACATAGCTGATCATCACCCATATAGGTTTGGTCTTCTAAGGCTGCTTTACTTATCTAATAGTAAGTCCTACTGAACTCAACAGGACTTTTTCTGAGTAGAAATATGAAGAACACTACAAAACCCATTTGTCATATTATCATAAGATAACAAAGTCTGTAAGTTTAACAGATTTCCAAGTACTTACAAATTCCTATAACAGGCCATAGTAAAGTAAGGGGCAAAGAGAGAGGATAGAAATAATATTTAAGACCAATATAGATGCAATGCTAGCATGGCCATGTACTTGTGCTTAAGGGTGGAGATGAAACCACAGAATGGACCAAGCAGCCCCTTCTCTCACATGCAAATTCCCTTTGATCTCTCTTTCCTTGGTTTAGGATTATGGGTGTTGCCTGGCTAATGTTAACCTATTTGTGCTTGGAATCTAACTTCAGAACCTACTGCAGGTAAGGAGAACTTGTGAAACAGGAGAAGAGGATTCCGAGAAAGGGGATTTCAACCCCTTAAACTTAGTTAATAGTGCTGGTTCTACTATACTATAAGTCCAAGTGAAAAAGATTATTCCACAATTATTCATCTTTAGGTTTCTATCATCTTTTCCTGAGGCACTGCCAAGATCTACTGTTCACTCAACCAAATCAGGTCACTTGTCAGATATAGAAACGATACAGGACTGCAACTCTGGCACAGAAGTTTCTGGATCAATACAAATATGTATTTGGCAAACCTGACTTATAGGCAGTATAGTGAAAAGGGAGACTTAAACACTTCTATAATAAAATCTAACTGTAAGATAAAAATATCAGTGCACAAAAGTGTACATAATTTGAGTGGTACTTTAGCCCATTGAGCTTCTGAAACACATCACTTGCTAACCCATCATCATCACCACCACCAAGAAAAAAGAACGAAAAGAAAAGTCAACAGACTCAGAAGTCATGGTATGCTACCAAGCTATGCTTATGCATCTAGCTTTGTTAGGATATTAGGACCACATGCCTTGACCTTCGCAGTTCTTTCCAGTGATAATTTATCAGCATCAAGTATGTTCTCATGGGATTTCTTCAAACCAAACGCCCTTGATATCTTATATATCGCAGCAGTAAAAAGAACTGAATAAGTGTTTGGCAAAGAATACATAATATTATGATGCTACTGAGAAGGTTCATTTCATTTTCTTTACTAATGGCTCTTAAAAACAACTCTTAACACATTGCTTACTGCTTTATCGTTCACCTGAAGCATGCTTCAGAATTCCTCCTGATGGTACAGAGCTGAAGAAGAGGGTGTAAACATTACTCTGATTGTAGAAAACAGCTTATGCCTAAACAAACCATAGCTAGATTCATGAAATCAAAAAGAGACAAATATTGTTTCATCACACAGAACAGCTTGCAGTTTAATTTCCCAGTATCTGCTTTCAGGGGCTAGACACTGGCCTGGTTGCCAGGAACAGTAAACCATAGTTAAAAGCAAACTATGGTTTAATGTGAATGGGTCGCCATGGTGTTCCACTCCTTTGCTATGGTGCGACAGACAGAATAAGCCAGTCTGGCTTGTTGTGTCGTCTGAAGGCAGGCTTGTGATTTGTCGATGGCAGAAGTGGAGGAACACTGCTAATTCACATAAAATAGTTTGTTTTAAGAGATACTATGCCACAAATATCTTACTCTTTACAGGTAAATATTGCTATTTATGTTTTTTAATCTGCAGCCTCCTAAACCTAATTCTCACTGAGGCGTCAATCTGTGTCTTGTCTGAAACATTGTACAGTGGTACCTCGCAAGACGAATGCCTCGCAAGACAAAAAACTCGCTAGACGAAAGGGTTTTTTGTTTTTTGAGCTACTTCGCAAGACGATTTCCCCTATGGGCTTGCTTCGCAAGATGGAAACGTCTTGCAAGTTTGTTTCCTTTTTCTTAACACCATTAATACAGTTGCGACTTGACTTCGAGGAGCAACTCATAGAACGCGGTGTGGTAGCCTTTTTTGAGGTTTTTAAAGACTTTGGTGATTTTTGAAGCTTTTCCAAAACTTTCCCGACACCGTGCTTCGCAAGACGAAAAAAAACGCAAGGCGACAAAACTCGCGGAACAAATTAATTTCGTCTTGCGAGGCACCACTGTATGTTTCTCTGTACAAAAAATTATCCACATGTAGATGGGTACCATATCAGGTAGAAGTGAGTTCTCAGATGTGCTAGTTTTCTTCATGTTTTCTACAGGTTTTTGTTTTTGTACAGAGCAACTTTAAATCATGTGAAACCCATCTTGGAGTCTGAAGTGGTATGAACCAGGCATAGGTTATCATCTCTGTCAGATTAGGCCTAGAAGGAATACTCTTCTGGGTCCCAGAATATGGGCAGGATGCTGAAGCCAAGCAAGTCTGGTTCTGGACAATACCTGAATGGCAGACTGCCTCAGAACCCCATGTACAAGCACCACCTTGATTTCCATCTTGGAAGTAAGGCACAATATAGATGTAATAAATAAAACAATGCTGGGAAAAACCAGGATTGCCACCACTGGAAAAATGTAATATAATAAAAACATTGATATAAATGTCAGTAAGCTTCATCTGAAACAGAATACACTCCACATGCAACCTTTTTCCTAAGTGCATGTGTCATTGCGTTACCAGATGCAACTGAGGCAAAAATCACAATTTTCTATGACTGAATTTTTGTAAAAAGTAAATCCCAACATTATGAATAGCTAAACACTATATAGTAGCAAACATCAAATCAAAGTGTATGTTGCTGTGGGAGAGAAGGGTCAACAATTTCAATGGAGTTTGAGTCTAACTATCTGTGCTTGGAATCTGCTAGTGAAATACTAAAATAATTCTTAAGCAAAGAGACCCTCCTTCTGAAGATTCTAAAGAACAGCATCTGTATTTTTGGTCTGAGCATTATGGAAAGAAACCTGAGCTGAGCTAGTATTTGCAGCTTTGATCTTCACATGTGTAGGCTCAGGAAGACATCAATGGACATTGCTTCCCAGTAGATTCTGAAGTTTTACTATTAGGAGGAGACCCTCTGGGAAACTAAATAAACCTGCTGGACCTCGACCTGAGTGTGGATAGTACAGTTGAAATGGGACCTAGCTGTGGGCAGCCTAAGGAAGGTACCATTCACCTTTGGTTGGTCTGCCCATAAAAAGCAAACCTAGAGTGAGAGAATTGGATCCACTGTTTCCAGGATCTCTTCTCATTGTTAGAAGTTTGTGAGTGAGCTGTGTTTCTTTGCACCCTGGGTGAGAACCCAGAGGCTGGGAGGGAAACTGTATCCAAAGGGAAATAAACTGATATTGAGATAAATTAGTAACTATGCATTAATATAATAAATTTTATATGTATGTAACTGTGTATTTTGGTAATATTTTGTTTTAAGTTGTCTGTTGTTGCTTCGGGGTTTTTTGTACTCTGCTTAGAGAATTTTTTTAATAGACTAAGCAATATAGTAATTAAAAAATCAGATCAAAACAAAAAATACACAAATAATTAAAACACACAATTAATGGCGGAGTTTGGATATGAATTCTGTGAGTTGTTTATGGCTGCAGCTCATATACTAGTTGGTAAACTGTGGAAGAAATGGAATGTGAGCTTGTACCATCCAGATAAACACTGCAAAGAACTGAATAATGGAAGATAGTAATGAACTCTCCCAGCACACCAGGTCTGGAACAACAATGTACATGAAGGACTACACCCGTGAAATGGATTACTTAATGAAGGTGCTGTTTGTATGGTGGAAAAATGGCCAGCTGGAAGAATGGTTTAACGGCAAGTGAAGGACGTCGACTGGGCTTTAAAAAAGAAATGATGTGCCTATGCAAGGATGATGATCTTATGTTCAGAACCGGAGCGGGAAACTTTATTTTAAGAAACTGTATTAAATTAATTTGGTTTGATTTGTAATAATTTGGAAAATTAATAAAAAAAATTGGGGGGATTTTCATTTCTGATGAGGCCCCCAAAATAGGTAGCTATTAGAGGTAAAACCCTCTATTTTGAAAACATGTTTATTTGTTTTTTTTCAATTTACATCCCACTCTTTGTTGCAAGACGCAATGGCAGAGTGTATCAAACATATGGTGTTCAACTATCAGTGAATTTACACTATACAGATCATTATGACTACTTTACTGAAGAAAACTGAACAAAAAGGCTGTTTTTCAGCTGCTACAAGAAGCTATACACTGTTGGCATCAGTCTATTTATTTTCCATTTGGAACCACCAGCATGGCCTCTCCAGCAGAGCATCTTAGGCAGTGGCATTTCCGTACATAAACAAGTCCCAAACTGTTAAGGGCTTTTATAGGTAAAAAATGATACACTTAATCTGACTTGCTGGCAAATAGCCTTGAAATCAAGGCTGCCTATTTGATGCAAGTATAGACCTGCTCCTGCACAGAATCCTGTAGGGGAGAAGGTGGGGTGAATTTTAGATGGAGAGAAAAGGAAACAAAGGAATGAAGCAAGTCATTTGAGCACATAATTCCTAAATAACTGTTGCCAATGACTGCTTTGAGCCCTTCTTCTGTCCCCCAAGACTAGGTTAGGGGTGGGGGAGAGAGAAGGATTTGAGTGTTTCTCCTTTCATCCCCCCACCCAACCAATTAGGCTTCCAGGATGCTCACAAACTGGGTCTCTACTAACACATATATAAATGATAGACATGTTGGTTCATACACAACCAGAAATACACCTATTTTAAAATGTTTGTTGCAATATTACAAGTGCCGTTAAATATTGTCAAGTTTTCTCTAGATATGGTATTTAATAAAGAAATTAAATCAACTCTCAGTGCACATAAACAAATCTGGATATAAAACTTACTACTTCATCTTCAAATCCTCCAGCCAGCACAAGGGAATAAGCTCCATCATTACTCCGTCCATGAATTCCACCAACATGAGGTCTATGAACACCTGCTTCACTCACCTTGGTGATAAAACAAGTAAACGTAGTTTGAAACAAGTTCTTACAGTGATGGAACAATGTAGTTTGCATTCACCTTTTTCTCTGAACTGCGGCTTTCCATAACAGATAAGCCGCTTTTGTAAATATAGTCTCAAAATTCTTAGGTTGAAATTTGGAAACTGCCTCCAATACAGTGTGAACCACCACTGGCTTATAGCAGACTCTTTAGATAATGGCTGATGGCATCACAAACTGTTTTAAGTATTGAAAATGCAATTGGGATGAAGTTGTATAATTTGCTTACTAGTGGGGATGACACAAGGAAAGAAGAAGGCTTAAGGTTACAAAAGTAAGAGCATGTAACCTACATCAGGAAAAGACAAAATGTAGACTGAGACTTACTGGTAGGTTTTTGGATGCTTTCTAGAAAGAGTCTTGACTCCCAATTATTTAACAATGGTAATGACAAGTCTTTTCCCACCTCTTACAGTGTTATTCTTAACATCTTTTTTCAGAAGTAGCCTGTTCCATGTCTCCAGTTGGCGGTCCTCAGGTATTTATTAAAAGAACAAAATAGACTGCACAAGCCTGATCTGCCCATCCCTGATTTATTTAATACCTGAACTCTGAACTTCCAGGTTGCTCCAACAGGAACTCCAGGTATGGGTCCATAGTGGTTAGAAGGAACAATAGTGCATTCCTTAGTACGACCAACACAAGCCATACCCTGCAAACACAAGAGACAAGAAGGTGATGTATTCCAGTCTGTATATGTATTGCAATTCAAACTGCTTTTACATACAGAACTGTTTTTAAGTGTTTTTATTATAAAATTACTTCAATATATTTTACAGGAAGCAACCAACCAACCAACCAACCAAATAAATAAATAAATAAATGATTTAGCAAAGTGATTGTGGAGCTTTCTGATGAGATGCCCATTTTAGCTGTGTTCAACCCTAGCCTATCACTTGAAACCAAAAGGACAATGGTATGCATACATTATTCTGGTGTGAACAAAACCTACGTCAGTGCATTATCACTTTGAAATGGGGGAAGGGGCATATTTGAAAGGTCTCATGGTTATGATCTTATAGTCAGATTCACAAGAGAATAGACAATCCTTCAGGTATCACATTTCCAAGCCATATAGGATGATTTACAGGTCAACTGAATTATGTCCCAATACAGACTTAAAGAAAGAAGTGGCTTGAAAAACTGACATTTTCTGTTGTTTTCCATGTTCTGTGGAATGCCTTACACTCTGCCATACGTGAAGCAGCATTCATTGGTTGCTTCAGATGTCTTTTGCGGACTTACATTTTTGCACACATTTTCCCAGAACCGTAAGACTGGATCCTGTTTTGCATGTTGAAGTTCTCTGAATTTTTCTTTTATTGGCTTTTATGTGTTTTTATATTGCTGACTTCTTGGTTTTAGGTTGTATTGTTGTTGTTTCTTAATGATATACTGCTTTTTAGACTGTATACTGTTTTAGAGATTTCTGAAATATTACGTGATTTATAAATTATTTTAAATAAATAAATGCAACTGTTTCTAAATACGCTTTACCTTGCCCCAATCTCGCTGGCTGTCCGTGTAGGCAGATGGCATCTTTGCCTTCTTTTTACTCTGCTTGAGCTTTTCCCCAGCTTTTACGACTTCATTAGAATCATTTTTACAGGAAGGACAGTACCTAAAAACAATGGAATGGTTTAAAATTAACACCCCTGCCTGAAAAATAAACCAAAGGTATTTGTTTTTTGTATTATAAACAGCATATTAAAATGATGAGTGGACTAAAAAAATCCCACATCTTCATCATTGCCCCTTGTTTTGTTGCTGCTCCTTTGTTCTAATGCTGCTGCCTTTTTGAGTATTTGAAGTATGGATATAGGCTGCAATTATTCAAAAATCAGTACAGAAATAACCACAATTGTATATTCCCCAATATTTTGTCATTCCAAGGCCAAGTCACTCTCACAAGAGGTTCCTGAGCTCACCGCTGTAAAGCACAGAACAAGTTAGGGACAAACCAACACTGTTATAAAACTGAAATTCTATTCTTCATACAATCCCACATACTGAACATTTAAAAATTAAATAGTGTTGCATTATTTACCAGTCTTCATCTTCTGGTATCTTGCTTAAAGGTGGGTTCAGGCAGTATATATGGTAGGCCATATTGCACTCATCACAAAGAAGTTGCATGTGGGCATCCTGTTTCCCTCCACACAAATAACAAGAGCAAAATCGGCATTCTTTATCAGGATCCGCTCTGCAATGCTTGCATTCTGGACCACTCTTTCCTGCAATGAAAAATGGCATAAAACGAGCTTTCCTTTCAGTGAGGGGCCTTAAAGTACATTCCACAGAAAACTGATTAAAACAACAAGCTATACTTATGATCAAGTGAGTGGTGACTATAGATAGCAGTTGGGGACTGAGTTATGAACAAGTTAAACAAGAGCAACACTGCAGGAAATGTTGAACTTCTTATGGTAGATGCATCCTCAGACAGGTAAAAGTGGGGAAACCATTAGCCCAAGAAGCCTCTAGGTCTGGACAGCTGGGTGGTCAGGTTTGATTGCCCTGCAGAAAACCAATCTGATAAGGGTTTGAGCTCTGCCACAAGACATATAGGCATGATTGTCTACAAAGTGGAGAGTACAGAGGAACTTGAGGCACCACATTAGTAAGACGTAAGATTTCACCATGTTAACAGTGTCCCAAAGTGTTGTGGAGGCAAAAAATAAATGCAACTTGGGTTGGCTAATTGTGATTGTCTACTCACCATATCCCCGTATGACATCTATGTATGGGAAGACAGAAATCCTCCACTGACAAAACTGTGCAATAATGACAGCCATACATTCTATGAATTCTCTGGAGACTGTGGCTAACTCAAATGGGGAACTCTGAAGCAGAATAGGAAATGGTGATGCTTGGGGGTTTGGTAGTTAGGTGAAAGTAAACTTCAGTTACTCCTGTGCATTCATTTCAATGGCTCTGTTCCAAATAGAACCAACACTGAATGCGAGCCTTGGTCTTTAATTGTTTTAAGGGACTCTAGAATATATATTTGATTACTTTTGCTTTTACTGGGTCATACTATAAATAAAGAACCTTGCACTTAATCAGATGAATCAAAGTTTCAGCTCAAGAACTAGTTGCAAAATGGCAATTTTTATTTGCTACTTGTATCCCTTTTAACTATGGATGTAGATTCCGCATAGAGAGGCTCCAGTAAAAGGGAACTGGCTAACAGTTGAGTCGTTAGTAAAGGAAGTTGGCTGATTAGTCAGGGTTGAATTATACTCCTGAACTGAATAAAGGCTATTTCGTCTCAATTTGATTTCAAGGTTAGCTAGGTGTGGGCATTCATCCAATAACTGAGACAGGTGTTTTTGTCTAATAAACAACAACAACAAAGATAACCACAACATAAATCTATTTCCATGAACTGACAAAGTCTGCATATCTACCCACATAACGATTCTGGAAACAAAGTGTTATTACTTCCACAATTTGAAAAAGCTCTTTGACAACTTTTATAAGTGACAGTTTTGAAAATACTGTATAAAGAACAGAAAATTGTATAAATAATAGAATATGCCTACTTTTGAACTCTCCATCTGCAAATGTCAGTGGATACGCTCCTGGCTTTTCAATCTTGTATATTTCCTCTATAAAAAGGAGTTTGCAATCATTTATGACATCTTCTGGACCACTGAAAATTAAAGCATAAAAGTTTTGAGCTCAGTTTCTCCAATTCCAATTATAGCATTGGCCAATTGAAAACAGATAACTGCTACTTCAAACCACCCATGTCAGTTGAAATTTTATAAATACACTCTGAGTTTTACTATCATTTATCATGATCTTCTATTTAGCACTATTTTCATTTGAATCACCATTTATTAAATGCTATTTATTAGAGCTTTGGCTTTATGAAGACAACACCAGGAAAAAAAGAAAATCTCTCACTGGAGACTATTGGAAGAACTTGAGAAGACTAAGCACTTCTTTATTATACTGAGGGTTATGTTCCGGGGATAGCGCCGAAAGCTGAAATTGCATGTAGTCAAAACACATTGGGTTCAATGACAGGTGAAACTGCCAAAGTCTTTTCCCCTGGATGCCCACCCCCTTTTTTATTTTTAATTGCCAAGATGAATGCACACAAGTTAAATGTGCCTACGTTGTGGGCTTGTTGTGTTCAAAAAGATGCTCAGCTTGTCTATTAATGCACAAATGGAAAGAGAGTGCTTAAAGACTACTGCTTTTCAGTGTCGTCAGTTTTTGTGCTTGTTCTCACTCCTCCTTCTGGTAATAGGGCAGACGCCTTGATTTTCAGTTTACTGGCATTTGTTTAAGTTTCCCCTGCCACCATTGTGAGGATGGAAAATCTGCCAAAATGTTTCATACCACAGGCTTATTGAGCACTGCTGCAATAAGCAGAATGGGAGGGGAAGAAAAACCAAAGAAGCAATGATTTGCCTTGGCTCTGGAAACAGTCTTGTTACAGGGGAAAAGAACTGTTCAATCGTCAAGGAGAAAAGGAGGAGGGGCATCTACGCTGGCAGCCATCCACACTGAACAGAACACTGCCGTGTTTCAAAATCCAGAAAATTCTTGTGCGATGGGGCAGTTTCTCTTTCTTGGCTGCAATTTTGTCTTGCTCATTTCAGAAGCCAAGCCTGCTTTACGCTTCAGGAAGGCAGACATACTAAACAAAAAGAAAATGGCTTACATTTGAGAGGGAAACGGACAAGAGTGAAAAATTCCTTCTGCGCACTTTCTTTGTATCCTTGTAGAGCAAGGCTGGCAATTTCAAAGCGCAACCCAGCAGACATTTTACTTGTGGTTAACTATGCTTGAAGCACAGAATACAGACTTGAGACAGTCTAATACAATCACCCTTTATTTCTTACGTCTTTGCATTTCCTCCTCATTTCACCATTTTTGAAAAAATAAAAATCTGAAATAAACTTTATTCTACACACAGATGTGCTCAAAATTAAATTACTGAATCAAGGAACAGGTGGTAAGTACCATTAAACCTATCAAATAAAGATGACAACAAGTATTCTGAACAGCAGTCAGAAATAATAAAAATACTGAATCTAAGACAGTTAAGAGAATTATGAGTTTTTAATCCTCTGGCAGGAGATCCATATTTAGACCAATTCTCACTACAAGAAACTAATTAATTTGGCAGTTGCCATAGTTACTGTGAAAAAGCCTTCTCAAGGTCAGTAGGAAAACATCAGAGGCCAGAAGGTTGAAGATTTAAGGGCAGAAAGTTGAAATACAGGGAATGTAAGATCAGTCCCTCTTGAAAGAATATTTCTGTCAGTATTATGACAGATATGAAATTAATTTCAGTTATATTTAACTTTACAGTAAAAGGAAACACATTGTTAAGTAAAATAGACTATCTTCACACCAAAATTATGTAGGTGGGTGCTGGTATTCGGCAAAATATGATTGAATAATAGGAACAGACTAACGTTCTAGTTATTTTATCCCTATTGTTCCCGATTTTTTCCTTATTTACTAAATATTCATTATCACATTATCACACATTATCTTTGATTTAACACCGAATTAACTAGAAATGAACCAAAAGCACTTAAGTGCTAATTCTAAATTCTGGGGGTACTCAAGCGTACACAGTACTGGCACCTTTTCTTTCTAGAAAAAAAAGCAGTGGTTAAAAGTGTGGCACTTACTGCAACAACTTCATGGTCAGTACAACACCTCTTTTCTAGGAAAAAAAGCACTGTTCAGAACTGAAGTGTATTCTGTTGAGTTCTCTGAAATTAGTTGTTCATTGAGAGGCAGGTTACACAAAGTCCCAACCAACCCATTTTTATACACACGGTAGAAGATGCAAGCAAGAAGATATACACCAAGCAACATTATTAAGTAAATCTGAAAAAATAAAATGCTGTGACTGGAATGGCACCTTCCAGATCACTTTATTAATAGTGTGTTATTTTGAAAAACAGTTATGCAAATATAACTGCAACCTGCAAATAAAATATTGTATTTCATCATCATAATTGCAAGTATGTGGAAAATTTTAATTTACAAAAGATCACTGTTGAAATATGAGAAACATACAAATTTGCAGTATGTCTAAGATGAATCTCCATTATAAAGGTTCCTCAAAGACAAAATTAACCAATAAAAGCTTACCCCAGCAAAATTTTGGCATAAACTTCTTTGTTAGTCCTTGAAATCTCTCTCAGAGAGGTTATTTCTGCATCAAACCAGAATCCCCTCTCTTCCGGACTCTCTACATTGTAGTTAACCATCACCAAATCACCCACACATAATTCATTCCACTTCAAAATAGTTCTTGCTCGTGGTCGTAGATTACGGACGGACATTTCTACGATGCCACTCTCTGGATACCTTAAAGAAATAAACAAACCAAAAGTTAGGAGAGAATCAGCCACATCACAGATTAAAGGAAATACACCAGCTACAGTTTAAGTTGGATCTAACTGTGCAATTTCATTTGCTGAAAGGTTTTGAACCCAGCAGATACCTCTGCCAATGGAAGAGGAGGAGATTCCCACTTCAAGCTTCTATGTCATCTTCAGTACTGTTCTGGATGTACTCCCAACCCACCAGAGGAAATGGAGGGGTGGGTGCAGGCCTGGCATGGGTCCCAGTTTGGCCTACCAGGCATTTACCCCAAACCATACACATTCACCCCATACCTAACACCTCAGGAGACGTGTGGATGGAGACATGGCTGCTAATACACAATTGGGAGCCTTCAAGTGCATTCCCAGTTATGCTCTGACAAGGCAAGAATGCTCTTGCCACCAATCAGCTAGGACTGGCTGCATTACCAAGGGGACTCCCCTTGGGAAATGCCTTGAGTTGCCTTGGGGAAATCCATGGCCAGCCAACCAATGCAGAAAGCAGAGCTTGAAGTGTTTATCAGCTGATAGGAACTCACTTCAAGCGCCCTAGAATTGGCTGCACTACTGAATTCCCCATGGGGAACTCTGAAGCCAGTCAATCCTCGAAGGGACTTGCCAAGAGTCCTGCTTAGAGCTTTGAAGCACTAACAATCAACTGATTGGTGGCACTTCGAAGCACCGTGCAGGGCTCTTTGCAAGCCCCGTGCACTGACCATTTTCAGGACTTCAAAGCACCCCATCACCTGATGCCATTGTGATGCCCACTTGACAAATGTGGTGTGTGAAAGTTATAGAAGATAAAGATCTGGCCCACCAAGCAGACTCAGTTCCACACCCCTAGTATAAAAGATGTGTCTCCAAAAAAAACTATGTATCACATTTCAAGTGGTTAAAGTAGAAGTTATTTAAAACGTAAACTAGCCTCATTTCCTTAGTATTGCAGTTAAACAGGAAGACAAGATCCAGCGATCGGAAGTGCAAAATTATATGAGGAGCACCAAGCTCTTATGGCAATTTAAGAAACTGTAGCAGTAGTAATGTAAGACCAAAAGGCAGGATCAAATCCAAAAAATCACCTTCACCCACCAGCCCAGCAGTGAAATTTAGCAAGGGCTTCTTGCAAAGCCTCAGTGGGGGGAGGGGAGACCTCGCCCCTTACTCTCACTTGAGGGGAAGCCCTTGCAGAGCCTCACCACTCCTATCCTATTGTGGGGGTGGCAGTGCATTTTGCCTCAGGCACCAAAACATCTAGGGCTGTCCCATGACCCTGGCAATGAAGTTCACCATAAAAATCACAAACGTAAAATAGAAAGAAAAAAAAGAGTTCATTAGTTCTGCAAAGAAGAATTTCATTTTTTCCTGTTCTACTAGCATGGTGAAAGGTATGCAACACATCATTTACACAGTCATATCTTAAAAGTACAGTAAGCCCACAACTTACGTGCATTTAACTTATGCACATGGCCAAAAAATAATAAAATAATTAAAAGGGGGCATAATTTTGGGGGGGGGGGAGGGTGAAGACATGCAGTCCCACCTGCCATTGAACCCAATGCGTTTCAACATGATTTTGGCTTTAGGCATGATCCCAAGTATGTAACTCCCCATGTTGCAGGTTTACTATACAAATTATTATTTGTAAAGAATCCACAAAAATGCTTGTTTTAAAAACTTAAAGTGCTGATCAGCATCTACAGCCACACAATAAACGAAACTAATTTACAGAGGGGGGAAATTGTGTAAACTTGGTTTGGCATATACTGCAAATCTCAGGGTGGGGTAGAGGGAGGATTGTACAAATGTAAACATTTTCAATAGTCTGAAGCCTTATTTGAAGTTAAAGAACAAGCAATATGTTTGTGTGCACATTCCTAACCACTCCACCTCCACACACTTAGGTTAATAAGTAATAGCTTGGGTTTTGGTAAACCATTATTTTTGCCATTATAGTCAATTCCACAAACTATGTTTGAACCATAGAATCATAGAATTGTAGAGTTGGAAGGAACCCTGAGGATCATCAAGTCCAAACACCTGCAATACAGGAATCATTTGTCCCTCCAAACCAGGATTGGAAAACATACATAAAAACACAAGTCTGCAATCTTGTCTTGTAGGGCACACACAAACCATAGTTTTTGGTATGCCTGTAACATACCCAAACCAGGAATTTATTCATGAAGCCAAAAGTGTAAAGAAAAGGAGCACACAAGCACAGAACTTATTTTCAATCCATGGTTTGAAGAATGAAAAATGGTACATTTTAACCAAGCCAGTAAGTTATGAAACTTCCAGGAATTGAGACTGTAGTAATTGGAGAGAATAGCATATTCATTGGAGTCTTCAGTCTGAGAAATGAAGATTCAAAAATGGGAAAGCTTGAGTGATTGTACTATAGAAGACATGGCTGGTGTGAGAGCTAGGGATTCATGAGGGTGTGTACTAGGGCACAAGTAGCTAGGTTATGTTGGCACTAGAGTTGATGAGTGTGGTATGAAGTTGGAAGGTTAATGGAAGCTGGGTGAAAGATGTGATGGCTGGTATATATGAGAACTGAAGTGATCTGAAGAGGAAAGGACCACCAGGGAGAGAGGCAAGAGTAGGAACCAGTTATCAGGTCTGTGAAGTGCCACTACTACTGTTTTTATGCCTGTTTTGTAGACATGATCCTCTTGGTTTACTTTAACAGAGGACATCTGACTACGAGAGTTAATCTAAGCTTTCTCTGACCATCAAACACTGATTTGTGAGCAAGGCTATATATCAGAAGGCAGACTTATGGTGCAACCATTCTGCTTGTCTACTCAGCAGTAAGCCCTATTATTAGCTATGAGTCTTACTCTCAAGTATGGCTTATGCTGAAATCCTACACATACCCCAATCCCATTGAACTCAACAGGGCATACTATTGAGCAGACATGCATATGACTGGGCTGCAAAATTCTTGTGGTGGTTAAAAAAAGGCAGCATATTATGGAGGAATTGTCATTGTATGTTTAAAGTGTATTATTATTAAAAGAAATTATGCAAGAGGGGATACATTTACCATTCAACTTAATTCAAGAACAAATATGGGTTTTTGTACAATTTGAAAATTTTACTCAGGGGAAAGAGATACACAGAGATTTGCACAGCAAAAGACATAAGAGAGCTAAGGAAACAGCGACTGTGGCCAGGAGCAAAAAAACATGGTGCCCCCCAGATGTTGTTGGACTCCCAGCCCCACTCAGCTGCAGTCAGCATGGCCAATGGTCAGGGAGAACAGAAGCGGTGGTCCAGTAACATCTGGCAGGGGTCACATTTGTGACCCCTCCTATAGCTATGGGGAAGGACACGGAGTTGTGCAGATTACAGACCTCTAGACACCCTAGCTTCAGCCATATTCTCTCTGGTTTCTAAGAGGAATAATCTACTATATCACTCCTCTATTGTTCCAATTCTCTACAGCTTGGAGATAGGAAATTCATTTCTTTGTCTGTTAGGAAGAGATGCAGAAAATAAAAAGCCACCTGCACACCTTCAATGCAAACAGTATTACACATTCAGTTTCAAATATTTCCAGAACATCTGCCTATAAACAATGGGTGATATCCAACTAAGTCACCCTCAGAGGGGACCCACTGAAGTCAAATCCCTTTATTTCAATAGGTTTACTAATCCACCACTAAATGGAGCATTTTAACTATAGCAGAGCAGTGCAGCATTCACAGCTATATGATTTAAACTGTAGCAGTATAATACAGCACTGCAGTACACGAAATAGAGCAAAATCAGACAAAGAAACAAAAGGAGATTCTGATTTCATTTTCACCAAGATGAAGGAATTTTGTTAAAAATAGAGAGCCAAAAATGAAGCAAGCCCATTATTTTCTAATTAGTATATTGCCCTTATATAGTTTAATCGTTACAATCTTAGCATAATCTTAAACTAACAATGCGCTTTTCAGTTACATATATATTGTAGACCTATACATATACCAGCTTTGCAATGTTAACTTAAGTAATAGCTGCAATTCACATTCTATTGAAAATAATAGGGTCTTTCTCATTTATTTTGATAGACTGTGAGTGCACCTGATGCATCTGAAATAATAACTCGTGTCTTTAATAACTTTAGTTTCTACAAGAATCAAGATTTTACTATAAAAGTATCTCTAATAAAATATTAATATTGGGGGGGGGATCCAACAAATGTAAGAGCAAGTCTTTAAAAAATAAAATGCTCAATAGATGATTGACTCTGTGAAAGCTTAACCCTACCAAACCTGCTTCTAATTTTAAATATTAATGCTAGCATAGCAGAACTCTCACGTGATCTTCCATCTCTATGGAAACCTTTCTTAGCAATTGGTTGCCCATGAAGAAAGACTCCCAGTTTTCCTTGACCACAGGCTGTATTTATACATTACTAGAATGTGGCTCAGATAAAAGTATTAACCCTATGTGAACATACAACAAATCTATCCTAAATTTAAGGTCTATTATAAAACCATTTCATCCTTTCTTGACCCCCTTCTAATTTACATCTAAAACAAGTCCATTTAATTGATTCATGGAATCCACAACTGACTCATATCTGTTCACAGTTCACTTTATTTCCCTTCCCTCAAGCTAGACTGATCATTTTGGACCAAAATATTAAACAAGGACAGTCTTATCAAGCAAGCACAATCTGACAAGGGAAGTTTGTGCTTTGAAACAGGCTTGCATGTTCAAGCTTCCCATCTGGAAGTGCTCCTACATAGGCAATAGTGTTATTCAAAGCGGGGGGGGGGGGGGGGGAGAAATGCCACCTCTAACACACAGGTTGTTGTAAGTCCCATTGAAAAGATGGTGGGTGTTGTCAGTTTTAACAATGAAGCTCATGTGTCAGAGAAGGGGATGTCCTAATTCACAGCACACACAAATACGGTTGATTAGCAATGTCAAAGCTGAAAGTGCAAACCATCTGCCTTGTGCACCATTTCATTCAGGAAGCCCACTGCTGTGCATCAGGATCTTTCCCCAGATGGCAATGCCTCCAAATGCAAACTCTTACCAGAACACAACAATTTAAAGATGAATAATATTTCTGCATATCTTAAAATTTGAATAACATCTAACAGATAATAAAACTTTATATCTATATTCACACACACACACACACACACTATAGGTTACTATCACAACCACTGCTTATTAAAAGCAAATAACTAGAAAAAAACTATTCCATGAAAGAAAATATGGCCTACCATATATACTACCTGAACCCACATTTACGCAACATACCAGAAGAAGCTCCTTTGATTTCTCTTACCACCTGACCTTCTAGGGGTGAGAGCTTTATCTTTCAAGCAGGTATAGTGGCTGAAGGAGGTGTGTGTTGTGATGCTCTGTGTGCCCTGAACTATGTGCTATAAGAAAGGCAAAAGGACAGAGCTAGCAGAACATCACTGGCAGAGGAAGCCTTCCCCACCACCACCACCACAATGACAGACTCATTTCTGAGGGTGAGGGGCTATAGCTCCCTTTGGGATGACATTGCTTGCAGGAAGGCACAAGGGCACCTCCTTAACATTTGCTGAACAGGAGGCTGTGGGGTTTGCTTCATACGGGCTAGTGACTTAATGGTGATCGGCTGGGTTTCTGTTTTGTCTATGCCTATAAGAATGCTGTATCACATTCCTGGGAAGAGAAAGAGATCGTTTGAGAGAGTAGGGAGGATTCCAAGAATGCAGAATGTGACAGCTAGACTACTTACTAGACTTAATGGTCTAAACCAGGCACCCCCAACCTGCGGCCCTCCAGATGTTTTCGCCTACAACTCCCATGATTCCTAGCTAACAGGACCAGTGGTCAGGGATGATGGGAATTGTAGTCCAAAACATCTGGAGGGCCGAAGGTTGGGGGTTCCTGGTCTAAACAGAAAACTTCAGCTCCAGCCCACTTGCATAGACTGCCAGTCCCACCCCCCAGCAGAATTCTAAGTGCTGATTTTGACCCATAAAAGACTGCATGGTTTAGGATTCTGAAACTACCATGGACTACCTTCCTTCATGTGAACCTACACAGATGTTGAACAACATACAAGGCCCTTCTCTGTGTGTCCCTTCCAGATGTTGAAAGGGGAGAACCTGCCTTTACTGTGGTAGCCCTGACTGTGAAAAGCCTCACTGATACTTACTTTGTCATCTTTCTAACATCAGGGAAAATACAGTTTTATTCTCTTGGGCATTGAATGATCGGGCCTTTGGTGGCTGTAGATATTCATCGTGTGTTCAGGGAGTGAGTGTTTTCTGTGTTTTCAGTGATTTTTTGATTTTTCTTTCAGATGAACACTTTTCGCATTGTTTTATTGACTTTATTTTGTATATTATATTATCATTATTTAAAATGATTTATTATATGATTTATTATATCTGCCTTACACCACTGAATCTGAAATTTCACTGTAGATTCTTTGAGTAATCACCACGTATATTTACACAAATGCCTCTAAGTACAATGGCAGCCTTCATGAATGTAAAAAAAGTGATTTGATATGAATGATACCTTTCTCCCTGTGTTAACAAAGTGACTATGGAATGTAGTTCCTCATTGTTGCACAATTTCCTACTGGAAACCAACTGCTTGCAGAAATCAAGACCATAATCCATCCACAATCACAGTAAGCTACAATGAGGGTGATAAATTAGGATATACCCTTGATTTGGTGGGAAAGCTGAAAGCTAAAACTCAGTATTGAAAAGGAACCGGTCTGTTTGCAAACTGGAGGTGTGTTGCCGTTCAACGGAAATACAGAAATTTAGATCTATACGCAAAATCCAAACTATCTGTGAGGCAGGGAAGAATATATGCAAACATGGATCATCTGGAATTTCTTGGGACTTTCTTATAAAGAAGTTGACACCACAAAATTCAAGGTTCTGTCAAAGTCTTCTGTTCTTCTCTGGCATGTTAAAGTATAGAAAAGTAGAGCTTAGATGACTCTGAGATACTTGAACCTCAATTGCTCCACTTTCCTCTTTATCAACTTCTTCCTAAAGAGGGAGGATACAGGGAGAGTACAGACAATATCTGTTGGGGGTTTACTGAAGGCTGAACAAGATGGTGAGGTGAAGAGAAACAGCAGCCAAAGGGTTCATTTATATAGCCATCCAATTGTCCTTGTACTAGCTGAAAACTCTGGTTGAGAGCACCAATAATTCTGATGCAGTGCATCAGTGTAGAATTTCCTGGTGCATATTCTCCAGTAGAAGACATAGAAGACGATAGTTTCCAGAGAGCAATGCCATGAATGGTATTAGATGAATAGGTAGACTGGGGTGAGATTTCAAGAAACCAAGCTGTAATTTTGGCCCCCTTGAGTCCTTCTAAGCTACCATCCTTCTAGATACTAAAACAAACTTCACTAAGGGACAGGTGCTCTGTGCTGGCCATACTCTATGGAAGCAGTGAAGTAGAGTAAGACTTGGCTTATTGGCAAACAGCAATAGTACTCACCACATCCTTTGAATCCCAATCATCATTGTAACATGTAGTGTTTGTTCCTTAGTAAAGTGAAGTGCATCAGCCTGAAACACATGAGCCAGATTTTTCTTGTCATCTGGAGTGTGATCAAGATAAAGCATGGGGTTGTCCCATTGAAAGCATTGGTACCTAGCCTTCACAAAGGTAAGAAAATTGTAGACTAATTTTCTATCCAGAAAACCTAGCTTCCCTCCATGTTGGTATGCCTCAGCAAGTGAGTTGATAGCCAAGTGGTTAAAACGAAAGCAGCAGCCCCTTCACTAAAACTGCTTTCCAAGTACTATGAAATGAACAAGAGCTTGTTTCAGGATTTTTTAGCTATTAAAAGTATAGCTAGTAACATTCACCTGAGGAAGTGTGTATTTCAATCCCAGATATTGGGCCATTCTCTGCACTTATTTCATATGAAAGCGATCTTCATACAAAGAGGTAGGATTGGGATCCCTACAACATGCTCCACTGAAGGCTCCAAGGTTCAGTCTGACAATGTTGAGTATGAGCTATTAAGACGCTAGTATGACCAAGAGTTGTGGCTCATGAAAGTGAGCATGTCTGTGCCCAGAAAGATCATGGAAATATGGCCAGAAAGAGATTGTCGAGGATCCTTCAACAGAGATAAGGATAGCTGTAACTATCAGCATTGCATCACAGGAACCAAAACAGCTTCTTAGTCCAGTCTCTCTGTCATTCTTATGAGAAATATGGCTCCGCTTAGCAATTACAGTCGCTGCTGAAGAAATACAACTTGTGCCGTTAATGATGATTGTGCAACCCATACAGCACATAGGCGACAATTATTCACACAATTAATATTCTTGTCCAAAAACAATTTTTCACCCTTTATCAGATTTGTGAGAATAAGACAACTACTTACAAAGTGCCATGAAAACTTAGAAGCTATCTAAAATAAAGTGAACTTGCAGTGTCAGATTTTACTAAGTTCTTACAACTTCTTGACTCAGTTTTTGTTTTTCCTTGTTTTTTAGGTAAGTTCAAGAAGACGGTAGGTAAGCAATTACAGCTAAGCTGTGTTTATTCTGGCTTTTGACACTGCTAATGGAAAGCTGCGTATTGTCCAACCCAATCCACCCTGTCTAATAGATTCTACTAGTAACAGCACACATGCAATCACATACAAAACTTAAACCAACACTGAAGCCAGTTAAGAAGCACTTAGCACAGGAATGCTAGAAACCAAGGCTCCATCCCTAATTGTTAGGTGAAGACAATAAATCAGCATGGTGCTACTTCCTTTTCTTGGAGGCACGGGGGATCAGAGGCTGGCAAACCTAAGAGTGTTTTCAGTACCTGTTTCCGAACAACTTGGAAGCCACTTATGAGGAACACTTCAAAACTGAACCCTTCAAAAACAGTGCAAAACACAGTGCAATGGAGGAGTCTGATCTGTGTCCACGGTTCCCAGCATAGAAATAGGGACCAATCTTGGTTCACGGATCCACAGGGTTATCAGCAAAAGTAGGTGCCAGCACTACCCCCCATACCCAAAGCCCTAATGAAGTACAAGCAAGACAAGCATCCCCTCAGTGCTCCTCAAAGAAGCAAATCAAGCAATATGTCAAACCAGTACAAGGACTTTCACTCTACAAGTGTGGCATTTTAAATAAAACATATGTTATGTTATAGGCTCAGTGAAAACTGAAGCAAAAGAGCCCCAAGCAACAAAAATAAGATATTCACCTACACTAGGCTTGCATCTGCACATCAAGCCAAATCAGTTTACGGCACTACGCATGAGCAGGAATGAGCTGCAGTCTGAGATTGATTAGCTCCCCTCTTTCCACACGGCCAAGATTTCACTTCCACTTTTGATTAAGAACAAATTATTACATCATCCAGATGCATAACCAAAATTAATCTTAACAATGATGGGTTAAAACAAGCCATCAGGGAGACAGGAACTTGTTCCTACATGAGCAGATCTTACTAAACTAAGGTTTGACATGATGTGCAAAAGCAGCCCATTCAGTCTATGCAAAATGTACCATCTGAAGATGAACTTCACGGGCAATACCTGAAAAAATAGTTTCTTAACCAGCTTAAGAAAGTGGCACCTGAATAGACCCTTTGTCCACACAAAGGGTTTATTCTGAGGCTACTTCCTTAATCGATTAAGAAATATGAATTAGACTCAAGTTACACACATGCATCTTGGCCTACTCCCTTACAAAACAGAAAGTACTGTACTAAAGCCGATGTTCATTATCAAATGAAGAGCCCAGTATTTCATTTTCAATTATGAATGTACAAATAGCTGATATTGTTAGGTACCCTATAACATCTGTATTAGGTTAACTGCAGAAAGATAACACTGGCCATATAAGATTAAAAACAACAGAATTGAGATCTCAGCACAGGCAGCAGGTCCCCTACCTACTGCTAATACTAGAATACAGTGGTACCTTGGCTTAAGTACTTAATTCGTTCCGGAGGTCCGTACTTAACCTGAAACTGTTCATACCTGAAGCACCACTTTAGCTAATGGGGCCTCCTGCTGCCGCCGTGCTGCCGGAGCCCAATTTCTGTTCTTATCCTGAAGCAAAGTTCTTAACCTGAAGCACTATTTCTAGGTTAGCGGAGTGTGTAACCTGATGCGTATGTAACCTGAAGCGTATGTAACCCGAGGTATCACTGTATTATTATATGCTTGTATTTTTACAATACAACAACCGTAACACATTGTAATTTTATGTTGTGAACCACCCTGAGATCTACGGATAAAGGGCAGTATACAAACTTTAATAACAACAACAACAGTAATATATTAAATATTTCTTTCTCCTTCTTGACAACACAAAACATGCCTTCATGCAAAATATGTAAAAGAAACAAATTAATCATCTCACAACAATATCCTTTTATCTACAGGAGTCAGATCCTGTTCAGGCTGAAGATGTGCATTGGATTTTGACAGAAACATGACCAAGGCCACGCAGTTACTGAGTCATTTTGAATCAGGATAACCAGGGATCAAGGAGTGGAAGCAAACTATCCCCACCCCTCTCTCCCTGTCACTTTCTCTCTCTCTCTCTCTCTCTCTCTCTCACACACACACACACACACACACACACAGAGTGCCAATTAAAACACATACTTCCAGTTGGCCAAAGGTCACTGTGTGTATATTTAGTGAGTTGTGGCTAAGGGATTTGGTGTTTGTCCTACTCTGGAAGATGGGTTGAGACCCCATTACTATGCTCTTCACATCAATAAGCAGTTAACAGTGAGCTCATCTGTCTCTCCAAAATACTTCCTACAGGAAAAGCTAACAGGGTTTAAGTAAATAATGTACTGACAAAACTGTATTCCTATATATTTCTTCACTTATTAATAGTAAACCTATTCAGTTTTGTTTAGTAATTCCAGATAATTTTTTAAGAGTTATGCTCTGACTGTATATACAAACTACTATAAAATACTGTTGCAAGGCTAATTTATGTATTCACATCCTGCGAAAGTCTGGGTTTCTCAAAGGAACTACAGTTAGTATTTCAGCCAAACTCCCAAAATAAATCCTGCTGCTCCCAGGAAATGCATTATATCAAACAGAAATGTTTTGTGGTTTGTAAAATCCTGTTTCTTTTGAACTTGGAATGTGAACTTGTTTTCTTAAGGATTTCAATTTCTTGTGAAAATTCTTATCTTATACCAACCATATAAATGCACATGGTGTCCTCATAATAATATCAGCAGCACTTACTCATCATACTTGATATGATAAACAGTATCTTCATCAGTGTCCATATAATCTGAGTAAGATGTAGAAGGTGCATTGTCCAAATTATTTGCATTTTCTCTAGAGTGATCTTGGTTTAAGTTTCCATTAGTCCTTTTGTAATTACTGCCACTCTTTCCTTGTGCTTTTCCATTTTTATGTCCTTTTGTTGCTTGAGTTACATTTTGTATATGAGCTTCAAACCAGGATCCAATAGTAACATCTCGGGCATCCACAAGTTCATTTATCTAAAAATAAATTTGACATTTAGTGAATGTTATGCCGAAAAAGTACAGAATTAATAATGCTGTGGATCCCCAACTACAATGCAACTGCATTAGTTAAATTCACTCTACCTTCACATTCTTAAAACTAAACAAAATATTCTACATTTTGTCAGAAAATCATTTCAACACAAATAAACTACAGATGTGAACAGAGCAGCTCTTGTTTTAAATTACTATTCTCTCCTTCACATAACTATTCACAATCACTAAGGTTACAGAAGCTTCCTAACCTTTGTTTATTCCTGCTTTTCCTGTATTTTACTGCTTTCTTCATTTTCTCTAGACATTTCCTTCTCCACAATAATAATGAAATCCTTTAACTCTGAAAACTGTTCTTTGCTCATCCATTTACAAACCATCCTCCAATGAAATAATTCAGCTTTGCCAATGAAAAGGTGATTTTGTGCTTATTATTTTTGCATATACTCTAACAGTACACAACGTAACCTTTCCAAATTATCTCTTATGAAACAATAAATGCAGTTATTCATTTGTTGTGCAGAATTCAAATGTATTGTTCCTAGGAAGCACTTCTGAGGAGTGAAAATCACATCACAGAACTCAATGTGTTAGCTCTTGGAAATGTGTTTTTTCTCCAAACTAGCACTTTTACTACAATACTTTGGGCATTGGGTTAGCAATGGTTGCAAGAAAAAGGCCACAGGAATTAATCAACCAGTAACTCTGTGGTCACTGCTGATGCATAAAACAACTCCCTCCATGCCTATGCTATTTTGTGATTTATTTGTTTTTTAAATGCTTAGTGTAATGCACCTACAATTCTTTAGGGCTGCGTTTCCCACTAACATGCTTTTTAAAGCTACCACAATCCCTCCTGCCCTTAACAACAAAACCCAGCACTTTATGGACTATTTCACTTCTTCCTTTTTTCACTAAAAACAAAAGCCCAACATACTTTCCTTGATGGCCAAGAACTTCTCCTCTCTCCAATGAAAAAGAACACATCACCTACATTCTTTAAGATACATTTTATTTCATCTGCTAAAACACCTATACTTTTCCTAATGATGTCAATGCTCACAACCCACTGCACATTTGCATGTATTTATATCTAACTGCTTATTTACATATTTATATCCAATTATATTTATATAAAATTCAGCAAACAGAACTGAATATAGAATAGTGCCCAGCGTCACCTTAGTGCAACCAATAGGAAGTCAAAAAGCACTCTCCCAGTGCTACTCTCTGGACTCTGTCCCCTAGGTAGAGCTGTAACCGCTGTAGAACTGTAAGTACAGAAATACAGTGCCCCCAATTCCCAATTGGTTCAGGAGGACACCATGGAGGAGTGCAGATGGCAGCTTGCCTCTGCCTTGCATAAGGGAACCTGCCAAAATCAGGAGTAGCCAACATGGCTTCCTTTCAGATGTTTTGGAATACAACTACCTAGCCAGTATGCTCAATGGTCAGGGGTGATGGCAGCGCTTACCCCTTGACTAAAGTATATTTAGTTTTCTCTCTGCTTTGGCAAATAAAATCTACTGCAACTACAGTAGCATTATTTTTTTCATATTAACTGGAATGTTACATTTAGCTGTGCACATCAAACAGACTATAACTACAGTTTAAACGGCCAACCCATATCTATTTATATGATCCTTCACTACACTGAAAGCCACCAACTCTGATGACAGTTTTGCTTCACTATTCTAAAGAGGGAAATAGGAAACAGTCATTTTGAAAATTGAGTGGTCTAAACCTTGAGTTCCCATCTTGATGCTCACAGGTACCATGGCACCCTCAGACAACCCTCTTGGTGCCCAGCAAGACTCCCTTCTTTTGGAAGCGAGGGACAACAGCAACACTTTTTATTGTTTGGTTGGAGCATACCAGCTTTTCCGGGGCAGAGGGTTGCTTTTTTGACTGATTTGTTTTGGGTGTCTGCACATCACTAGTTTTTCTTCTGTGGGTTCTTTTGGTGCCCACAAAGCTTTGTTAGTTTTCCAAATGAGCCTATGGGCCCATAAAGTACCCATGATTTAAGCTTAGTCTCACTTCAACAAAAGGCCTACAGAAAAAACCAGTGAGGAACAAAGTTGATGAAAGGAGAGGATTGGAGGAAAACTTGAGGGAGGCAGTACTGCTAGAAAGGAGGAAGCTGACAGGATAACTGAACTATTGATCCAAGAGGACAGAGAAGGCATCAAGACCATGAAAGGTCTTAATGACTCAAACCCAGCAGAATAATACTTAACTACACATAGCTAAACTAAGTTTTCATTAGCAGTCTTGTGGCTTCCTGTTAAAGCCACACTACCACCAAGAACAGAATTTCCATGTCTGCATGCTCCTGTACCATGTTCCTTCTGAGTATGGTTACAGCTGTCCCAGTGTCCAGTTTCCTTAACCCCACTGTTGCAGGGACAGAAAAACAGGTAAGTGAGCGAGTTGGGATCTTAAGGGGTGGCTCTAGCCCACAAGCCAGAAACTAGATCACGGAACCTCAAATTAAAGGAGAAAACAGGGCTATTTTGGCATAGCTCTCAGTATATTTATGGCCTTAGGTGAGCCATTACGTTCAACGTGTGAGCCCTGGTAACAGGCGCCCAGGAACTGAACGATTAACAAAGCCTGAATTCCAGCTGCAGCAGTATGTAGTTCAGTATCAGCAAATTTCTATGGTAACTGAATATTAAATGAGGCATGTGAAAAGGCTTGTACATTTTCAGCCCAATCAAACCAGTACATAAGCTCACTTGCACTACAGTCTGTAAAATTGTGTAAGAAAACTCAATTTGCATGCTTCTGAAACAGAAGAGAAATGATATAACATTATCAAAAATAAGGTGCAGTCATAATATAAAAAGAATGTTACACTATAAAGCACCTTTGTTGTGCTCCACATTGCTTCCAGGAGTGTGGTACCAAGAAAACAAAATAAATGCTAAATATGCTAATCCCAGGTCTTTTGGACACTTAAAAACATGTAATGTATACAACTAATGCTGTTCAGCATTAAAAAAGAAAAATAAAAATATTTAAAATGGACAGAATCTGAACCCAGACCAGGAACATAGTCACAAATGACTGGCAAAGCTTTTCACCCAAAAATAAGACTCTATAATTCTGCCAGTAAAGTTCACTAAATTATCACAAAAAAATCAATCAAAAATGTTAAAGAGGGGTATTAGCCTGTCAGAATAACACAGAACTCCATGATATATTTGAAGAAACAGAAACTGATACAGTGGTGCCCCGCAAGACGAATGCCTCGCAAGACGGAAAAACCGCTAGACGAAAGGGTTTTCCGTTTTGAAGTTGCTTCGCAGGACGAATTCCCCTATGGGCTTGCTTCGCAAGACGAAAATGTCTTGCGAGTCTTGAGATTTTTTTCGCTTTTCCCCTTTATCTAATCTGCTAAGCCTTTAATAGCCTTTAATAGCCTTTTAGCAGCTAATCCCCTAAGCCTTTAAGCCTTTAATAGCCGCTAAACAGCTGATAGCGCTAATAGCGCTAATCCGTCAATGGGCTTGCTTCGCAAGACGAAAAAACCGCTAGACGAAGACTCTTGCGGAACGGATTAATTTCGTCTTGCGAGGCACCACTGTATTGGTAACTCAGAAAATAAGACTGATTAAATTTCATGCAGTATTCATTGAGTCTTGGTTTACTCACCCTTTTCACAGCTTGCTTATGAAAATATCATATTTTTTTGTCTATAATATGCCCCCATGTATAAGACGCCCCCTATTTTGGGGGACTCAGATTTAAGAAAATGAGGGAAGATGGCCCAGAGTATAAGATGCCCCCTAATTTTTGACATTATTTTTTAGGGAAAAAACCTAGTCTTCTATATGGAAAAATACAGTAAATACTTTATATCTACTTGACACTTTGGGAGCACTTAAGGAAACATAGGGTACCATTCAAGAGTCATCCTGCACAGAGTAGCCCCACTGATATTAATACATATGAATAACTTAGATTCATTAATGTCAATGAGTCTTCCCTGAGTGCTGAACACAACTCAGGATAATTTTCAGAATACACAGTAATTTTCTTACTATAATGTTGGTGGTGTCAGAGGCTTAGTGCTGTCCAGCTGGCCATAGATAAGACTCCGGGCTCCCAGCCAGTTCCAAACAATTGATTTATTTGACAAAGTTCAAACGTACATCTCCAGCGTTTCCATTAACCTCCTTCCCCTTGTGCGCAGTTGCTCCTCCTTTTCCGCACCCAGCATGCAAGTCTGCGAAAACTCCTCCCCTTACTTCCTCTGTGTACAGCATGACTTGTCCCAGGCTCATCCTCCTCCCCCTCTACGTCAGACTGACTGTCAGACGACAAGCTGCTGATAATCTCTTTAGGCTCTCTATAACTGCTGGTTTCTGTCCTTTCATCTTTTCCCGTTTGCCTCTCCCTGACAGGTGGTTTCTCCTGTTTTTATTGTTTTCTGCCTGCTCTTCATAAACTGGAAAAATGAAAGAGATGCTAAATTCCTTACAGTTCAGTAGCTTAGCTTCATTTGTAATAAAACATTTAAAAAGTAGATATTCAATTTGGAATTGACTGAATAAACACTATTTTAAGGTATCAAACATGATAATTGAACGACAAACCAAGATATACATAATACGTTTTATGTTTCTAAAAATGAAAGGAGGACTAAAAAAGGTACTGCATGTTTTTCCATTTTCCCAAAAAATCATTTTGCCTGGGGAAAAAACCTAGAAAAATGAATATTTTCCATGGCTTCAAAATTCCTAGATACCAGCTTTTTAATGACTTTAAGGGAAGAGGGCACTTCCAAGTTTTATCCCATCAAATAACTTGAAAATAAATTCTAGATTCAATGAATCCATTGAGTTTTAGGCTTTATTACATCTGAAATTTCCTAAAACCATTACAGTGAATTTGTGCTTACAGCAGAGGAGTTTCATGTAGACCAGTGGCAGGAAAGCTATGGTGCACATCAGGCTCATGAAGCCATTTGAACTGTCAAACCAGCCCCTGGAAATTGAAGATAAGTTCAACTCCAAAAGTGGGGAGGAAATCTTATTCCTCCAGCAAGGATACTGTTGCTCCTAGAGTCCCAGGGGCAGTGTTTTCCCACCACCAGCTATTTTTAGGGCTAGTCTCTTTTTCACTCTCACCATTAACTTGTATGGAGTAGAGTAGTGATGGACAAACTTGGTCCTCCAGCTGTTTTGGGACTACAATTCCCATCATCCCTGACCACTGATCCTGTTAGGGATGATGGGAGTTGTAGTCCCAAAACAGCTGGAGGGCCAGGTTTGGCCATCACTGGAGTAGAGGATGATTCCTTAAAATGGCTTGGGGGTGGGGTGGGGATTTATCCCCCTGGAAAGAGGGGCAACTAAATTTAGACAGAAATCCAATATACAAACCTCAAACTTTACTTAACATTTTTTACTTCACAATAGTCATGAGAGTAAAATTTATATGTACAATTATACAGTCCAAAATTTACAAAAATACAAATACCTTGTATCGTCCAATGCCAGGATCAATAAGAAACGAACGTGCTGATGTAGATGGCTGATTAGATGATCCACTGTTTGCTCCTTGCTTGGCTTTGTTCTTACAGTTCACAACTCCACAAGAACTGGGATTTCCATCTTCATTCGTTGATGGAGAAGCAGGAGCATCAGAATCTGAGCGTATCAAAAGCTGAACTATATCATTCAGTCCCACATTATAATCAAATAAGGTGTGTCCATCTTCAAGCTATCCAAAACAAAACCCAGGGAGGAAAGCAATCAGCAGATGTTACTTCAAAAGTTTGTATCTTAAAATATAAAGAATTGCATCAATATATAACCTGGAGATAGATATAGATTGATATAAAATAAATATAAATAAATAAATACTTCACACTAGCTAAATCAAACTATACTGATAATTGGATCAGGACCAGTTGATACTGAGAAGTTACAGATTGAAACCATACTATTCATTTGGTCTTTAGAACAGTATTATTACTAACTTATGAAAAGCTTAACTACTTTGAACAAAAAGCTATACATATAAATATGTCAAGATCTGCTACCTTCTGTTTCATGACAAACGAATGTTGTGTAATAAAAAGGTTACGTTACGAACAGAAACTCATTATACACCCCTACATTTATGACCAGAAGAATATATTAAAAGTGTTTTCATTGTTTAGTTTTATCATTCACATTTCCTAATGTCATTGTAGTTTTTAAATCTAAAAAAGCAATGTTTTTCAAATTTAAACTTGATGGTTTGTATTCAACTTTATATTTTATTCCTACAGTCCCTCCGCTTTAGAGTACAATCCTGCAGATATAGATATATATATATGTGCAGTTAAGTCTTGTTCATGGTGCAAATACCAGGTCCACTAATTCTGGCCATACTTGTTGGTTTGGAGGAATACACAGATAATTCCTAGAGAACATGTAACAAATTTATATGAAAAATAAAACCAGAAGTGTGACAATGTATCGCTACTGGAAGGGTTTCCCTACACAAATACATAGGCCAGGATTCAAAGCACTTTCTGTACAAGTATAGTTCCCTTTGCCCATCTTCTTTTGCTCACCCAAACTCAGTCTCAAGTCTTTCAACTCCTTTTACAACTGTAGCTCAGAGTCTGAGGACCACCAATACATTTATTTATAAAGGTACGTAAATACAGCTTTCTTAAAAAAAAATAACAGGGTGATTTACAGCAATATTAAAGCATTAGAAACATTAAAAGTAGTACAAAACAATCATTAAAATAATGGGTTACTCAAGAAAATTGTAAACAATAGAATAGGCATGTTGCCATAAAAAAGTATTCAAGGGATGCCTATTATATGCACTTCCTCTTCTCTACCAAAATACAGTTGGACCAGACTCTTTTAAATGTAACAAGAAGTTTTGTTTTGTTTTTTATTTTACTGGAGGAAAGAAGTGACTAAACAAAGCAAAAATATTTTCAATAGGGATCAATTAACATTAAAACAAAACAGGTTAAGAGATCTCTGAAGTTTAGGAATTTCTGCTAATCTGGCTTTTCTAGAAATTAACTAAATTAGGACACTAGGACTAGAGGCTCTAGTACAATTAGGAATCACTTTATTTTAGTTTCTCTTTTAAAGTTCTTTGCTGCAATGAAGCACCGTGACAGTAAAGAAACAACAATAATTCGCATCTCTCAAAAAATGTTGAAGCAACTTGTTTCCTGGGCAATAAAAGAATGTTTTCAATTAGAAAAACGGGAGAGGGGGTGTTTAAAAATTAAGAGACAATCAGAGGATGAAATATTACTGCAAAACATTCTAAAATAGTAAAAATCTAACTGACTATAAAAGTTAGTGATCTAAAATTCAGGCCCATGAGCTTCTTTCAGGTGGTCGATTGTGAGGGGGGGAGGAGAGAGAGGAAGAGGGAGGGAGAGGGTAGGCGATAAGTGGTTTTCAATATTGTGATATATCACCAGCTAAACATCACAATATATCAATATATCACAGTATCTGCTTGCCTGCTGATGAAACTGAGTGTGTGATGATTGGCAATATTGTCATTTATCCATTTTAGACCCCTAGGTAGTAGCAGTTGCCAGAACATTATCCTGTTTGCCTCCGTATAGTTCCATCCTTATTTCCAACATTGTGGTATATTGCAATGTTTAGCTGGTAATAACATTGTTTAGGTGGTGATATTGTGAGGTTTAGCTGCTGGTAACATTGCAGTGTTTAGCTGGTGAATTATTACGATGTTAAAAAGCAGATATTGCCTAGCCCTTGCACACATTGTGATTTGTGATATATTGCCGTGTGTGTGTGTGTGTGTGTGTGCGCGCGCATGTGTGCATCTATCTCCTATGCATGTTCTGCATACTATGCATGGGAATCTGAATCCTGGGAATAAGAAACAATGAATACATTAGAACTTACTTACAAGTAGACATAGGAATGTAATGCACAAATTACTAGCTTGCCCAAGACTACCCAGGTACCTGTGGGTTCTTAGTCTCTTGTACAGTGTCACCCATCATTGTGAATATGAAACTTTGGATTGCCTACAAACTATTCAAGAGACTAAGAACCCACAGGTACATGTGCAGAGGACTATGTTTTTTGAACATATAATACAATCTGGTATAATACAATATCTAGTAATATTGATGAAACAAAATAAAACCATGATCAGTATTAATTATAGGTGTTTGTTTCAGGAGTGAGGAGACATAACATATGTGAAGTGGGGGCGGGGGAGAAGTGGAAATAGTACAATGATTATTAGGTACAATCCTAGGGAAATTACTTGCCAAGAATTTCGCAAACATAATATTTAGTTATTGTCACCAGTCAGAAAAATCCTAGTTAGTGGGAAGCCAGCAAAAGACCAAGATGCTTTAAGGGATTCATCTAGATTTCTGTAAATGCACCCTCCTCTTGCCTGGAAGACTGCACACCCACAGGACAAGATCCATGCTGCATCAAAGAAGCCCAAATAGGCAGATGAGGAGGCAGGGTTGAGGGGTGGGCATCCTGTCCCCAGCAAAGTCTGACCTATATCTTCACTACCACCAGTGAGACAAATAAGAAAGAGGTAGAGTGTAAGTCTGGTGAACTGAGACATATGTTGCCTCCCATCTGCTGGGCTTGTGCTTCTAGAATGCCACATGTTCTAAGGTGGACTGCACCTGAACCTGAGAATTATCCAGTGAGAGAAAATAGTGTCTATACTGACTAGATAAACCCCTGCTGAGTCTGACATACTAGGGCACGGATGGGTAAATTGTGGCCCTCCATATGCTGTTGGCATCCAATGGCCAGGGATGATCCGAGTTGGGAGTCCAACAACACCTGGAGGGCCACAGGTTCCTTACCGCTGGATGAGGAAGTGGAAAGGGTTAAAGAGGTCCAGTCCTTCCTTTAACCCCACCTCTACTTCCACAATTTAAGCTGCTGCTATGGGCACACCAAGGGAAATGCTGAACTTATGTTGCCAAACCTTTATTCAACTCAGCTGAGCAAAAAAAGTGTGTAACAAAAGCAGCCCTACCATCTTGGTTCAGGCACTATAACTGGTGTTTGAAGTTCGCCAGACACACCAGGCACATTTTGCACTTAGTTATCAACCACTTGCAACCAGTATGGCGCCTGACATCTCCACCATCAGGAGGTGCACGCCTGAGGATCCTTGGGTCTTGACTGTTTTCACAGATTAATACCAGATCCTGTGGAATTCTATCAGTTACATTTTATCTGCATAGTTGGAATGAATTCTGTAACCAAAATTCTTTTCCTGTGCAACATGAGCAGGAGCAGTCACCATTACAAAAAAGAGGCTGAACTAGGCCCATATATAAGTGGACTGTCCATAGATCAAATGACTTTTCTTCTTTAAGTTCTCAAAGTTCATAGCCTAGCTCAAGGTTGTCATCTGAACTAGCCAGATGTTTAACTGAGAATCAGGCAGTCCATCATTTGAAAAATAAGACTTTAGAGCCATCTTACCCCAAAATGGCAACAAGACTTTCCATTTTGGTGACTGTAATCTCAGTTTAAGGAGCCATTTGGCACCCACCTTATATATCTGAGTTTCTAACACTGAGGCATATTGTTTTGTTGTTTTTGTTTTAATTGTTTATTTTATTTTGTATTTTATTCTGTGAACCTCCCTGAGATTTTGTGAAGAAGGGCAGTATATAAATGTAATAAATAAATAAATAAATAAATAAAGCCTTGAGCCTGCACAGCAGCAGCCTCTACAAGGCTACTGAAGTCCTGGGGTCCTCCCAAAATACTGCAGACCAACTTGATCAGGGATGCTGCTGGGCCACAGGTTGGTCAACAGACCAGCAGCATCTCCAATCTATCTCTCTGACCCAACTCCAATTGCAGACTCTTTAAAGCCCATCCAAAAACCAAGATGTTTTCTGGTAAAGGAGGACAATAGCGGTTTTACTGGTGTAGTTAATACACCCTGACCCACATGCAGCAGGTTCAAATACATTATGTACCAGGTTCTATACATAATGCACCAGAATTTATACTCTCGTGCAGTATATATATTCAATGGCAATTCCTGGTTCTAGGTTCCTATACGACTCACATCCTTCTTTCATTCATACTTCACATTTTTATGTGTATATCTAAACATTGTTTCAATTTTGACAACAACCACACCATTTGAGTAACACTTGAGTAACTCATGAGTCACATCCTGGTATTCCATGTAAAAAAGTAATGGTTCTCTTCCACACTAGTCCTCACTTTAACAGCAGTGGGAACCAAGTACACAAAACAGCATATGCTCATATTCAGCCCTTGTATGTTCTCGTTCCAAAAGTCTAAGTTTTAATTACCTTGGGGCACACAGCATTTTATACTCTAAAACATCATGCAACCCCTTCCCTTTTTTTTAGCGCAGTGCTGGAATTCGTTATGGTTTTGTATCAAGCACTGTGCTACAGAAAAATACCTGAAGCTCAATCATGGCTTCATATCAAAATTTCAAGAAACCATCTTTTCATCCCCTAAATAACATGTTGGCCCTTTAAAGAGAACCCTCTCAACACCTCTCAGCATGCTAGATGTGGAAAGATACCCCTACAGATTCAGTCTGGAAGAAGCAAATGATCTCTCACCCAACGTGTGTGCAGAGGAAAGACTAAGAATGGTCCTCTGAAATAGCATACGTTCAAGATTACCAGGAACCCTGAGAGCGAAGGGCACTTCCAGTTCAATTAGAAGAACGAGAGGACAGAATGGAAGATAATTCATAACAAACAGCAGCATGCCTCCCCTTCACTGACAAGTCTAATCTTTCTGAATAGTGCAGAAAAGAAGCAAGTATATTAAACAAGAGAAAAATGTGCAGCTGCACAGCTATGGGAGCACAAAGATTTCCTGATCACTACAGATCAGGGGCAGCTTACAAATAAGATGGACCTATTATTATGAAGAATACAGCAAATATTCACTGGGCCTGAAGTACTTTGCAGAAATTTTTGTAGCAAAAAATTGGGGAAGCATGCTTCCTTTCCTCAACATTCCTGAAAGGAGAATAGAAATCCATTCAATTTCCATCTGTTGATCCTTAGACAAGGGTGGGAAGAACAATCTCCCAACAGTACCTTGTTTATTTAAGAAAGGCTTGCATTTCAATTAACCAGCAATGGATTCATCACACATATGTGGAACCCTATGCAAACTAGTAAAGTGCAGTTTTTTCACTACTCAAGTGATCTCCTAGAGCAGGGATGGGAAGCCAGCAGCACAAAAACCGTATCAATTTTAAGGCTCTCCAATGGCCTTCCAACCTCAATTATGCCTACCTGCTCACTGATGCAGTCTCACCCCCTCCTACTATTGCCTGCCACTGCTTGTTTGCCAGCGCTCAACACAACATATGCACCACCTTTGTGCATTCCAGAGAGAAATCATGTTCCTCTTCAGTCATCTGTGGAGTCTGGAAGCACTGGGGAGTGTACTGCAGCGCTCAAGAAATTCCAGTGAGAAGCAGAGGGATAATAAGATGAACTATGTGAACAGGGAGGTTGCAGGTGTTACAGAGTCAAAATCCTTGCAGTAAGGGGTAGCCTAGAGCAGGGGTAGGCAACCTAAGGCCTGGGGGCCAGATGCGGCCCAATCGCCTTCTCAATCCAGCCCGCAGACCGTCTGGGAATCAGCGTGTTTTTACATGAGTAGAATGTGTCCTTTTATTTAAAATGTATCTCTGGGTTATTTGTGGGGCATAGGAATTCGTTCATATTTTTTTTCAAAATATAGTCCGGCCCACCACATGGTCTGAGGGATGGTGGACCGGCCCATGGCTGAAAAAGGTTGCTGACCCCTGGCCTAGAGAGACAGGGATAGCATGGTGAGGGGGGGAATCCTAATTTTTTACAGTAGCATGCTCCCAGATGCAAGTGACTTAAGTCAGTGTTTCTTATCCTTCTGCACACTGAAAGCTTTAGCTACAAAGTGGTTTATAAATCTGTTGCTATTAACATGTGTTTGACCCACCACCAGCATGCAACTCCAAAAGATGTACCAGTAAGAAAATGTAGTTCTCAGGTTAAGAGTTTGCCCGTCTTATGAAAATATATTGAACTAAGAAAGAAAAACACTTTCCATCACCTAGAAATTCTTCCTTCCCTACATGATTTTAAGCTTTAGGATCAGTAGCACAGTCATTTAGCATATTGACTGAGCAAGCATGCTAAAAAGCTCGCAAGTTTCAAATGTGATCTTTCACACATTTCTCAAAAATCATGTTATGGCAAACCTGCAAATATCAATTTTAAGGCTCTCCAATGCCACTTGAAAGACAATTTACTTGTTTTCACTTCAGCAGTGCTATATCACTACATGCTTTATGCATTTAAGTTATTTCCAGACCAGTATCAGCAGCATTCTATAGTATCCTGCATTAGTTTTGTTATGGGGCATCCAATGTGCTCCTACATTTCTTATTCATTGTTATCTGTTTGTTTTGAACCCTCTGCTGCATCTTGCACAACGCTCTTTGAATCTCTGATCTCATCGGTCCTTTGAGGTCCGTTAGATCGGCCATAACATGTTCTAAAACAGAGAGGCAATTACACTCTTGCTTTACAGAATTTATGACAAACCAAATCCCAGCACAATATATTAACAGAAACACAGAGCTACCTAGCCATAACCAGAAAACATTAAAGGTACAATGGCTAGAAAGCACAGTAACTGTAGTCTGAAAGGGCTAAGGGAAAAGAAAAACATGCAGTTATAAGAATGAATTACAACAATAAATGGCACTGTAAACACTAACCCGTTTATCACAGCAAAGGTTTTTCTGGATCACTGGCCATGAAAGTTTATGCCATAACAAAAAGGTGCCAAAAGACTAATGTAACAACTTCTCTAGAAGAGGGAGTGAAGTTGTATGACCTGATTGCATACTCAATCTCTGTTATGCAGACGAACTATGCTTTACAGCATTTATCCACACTGGATCCAATGAGGTAAAACGATGTATACAGTATTCCAGAATTTGTTTCGACCACTTTTGCATTTCCCATCATGGTAGCCCAGGCTTGTCTACCTTTGTTAATTTGCTGTATATTTAAAGAGAGCCAGCTTCCAATGAAAGCCTTAAGTGCCTAGAGAGTACGAGGAACTCAAGCACTTCCTCAGAACTCTCTGCCCCTACACTGACAAAAACAAACTCCCAAAACAAAGGAAATGTATCACTCTAAGGATGCAGCCTGTGCCTACTTAACCGAAACAAGTCCCACTGAACTCGATGGGGCTTCCTTCCGATTAGATGATGCCTATGCAACTGAATCTCATTAACAGTTGGCACATCGGTTCCATACTCGTGGCTTTCGACTAAAGGGGGGTGTAGCTAGTGCCCCTATACAAAAAAGGATGGGAAGGAGGGGGTGGGAGAAGAGGAAGTGGAAAGGGAGGGAGAGGGAGAAGAGATGGCACTGAGCATAACTTTCCTCGACCAGGTGCCACTTCCCTGGGCATAGCAGCGGAGCGGGAGCCAACGAGCGTTTCTGGAGGCTGTTGAAGCGCCGGAAGTCGTGCAGCAGAGGCAACCGGCCTCATCCTTCCCCTTCCCCCGTAGCATCCCGGGCCCCCTGCGCGCACCCCTTGAGAGCAGAGACTCCGCTAGCGAAGCAGAGAGAGAGAGGCGGAGCCTTGCGAGCAGCGCCGTTGGAAACCGAGAGCGAGGAGGAGGAGGAGGAGGAGGAGGGGATGGTGGATGAAATTGCCGCCGCCGCCGCCCTTCGCACAAAGGCATCCTCGGGCTGCTTCCTGCATTTACCCCCTCAGGTGTGAGGAAGATGGTAAACAATAAGCCCAGAGGAGAGGATGCAACAGCTGCTGGGGTTCAAAATAATAATAATAATGCGAAGCACCACCCATCGCGCCTCCAAGAACCCAGGGAAGGGGGGAGTGTCCCGCCCGGCCGCCTCACCTGCTTGCCCCGGTAGAAGAGGCGCTGCCTGTCCGGGCTCACGCGGAAGCTCTCCTCGATCTTCTCGCGCAGGCTCTCGATCTTGGTGAGGCGGCTGAGGTCGTCGATGGTCTGGGTCTGCGCGCCGTCGATGGTGCGCACCTGGATCCACATGGCGCGCACCCAGAGGAGGACGAAAGAGGGGCGGGGGGCGCTTTTCCCGCCGGCTCGGAGCACCGGAGAGAGAAGCGGGGGGCGGCAGCGGGGTGGGAAGCTCCTTCCCTCAGACCCCGAGGACCACCGCCAGCCTCCTCAGCTGCCGGCCGCCGGCCTTCCTCGCCGCCTCCTTCCTCGCCCTGCCAGCCGCCCTCGCGGCCCCTTCCTTTCTCCCTTTCCGCAGCCGCACTCGGAATGGCGGCAAAAGGCCCTGTCAGGAGCTGCCCTGAGGGACCAGCAAAGGAAGGCTTCCCCCACCGTGTGGAACTAACGGGCGCCGGCGGCGGGAGCCATGTCCTAACCCCGAGGACTGTTTACCAGGCGCCGCTGCTCTCACATGGAGGTCACGGCGCGCCAACGCGGATCTCGCGAGACGAGCGCGCGCGGACCACCAGCAACCGCCGCTTTCCAACCGCCCGCCCTCACACACACATACACACACAAAACAACCCCCCCTCCTCCTCCCGGCCTTAAAGAGACAACAACGGCAGCAGTGGAGAGGCGGGGCTTGAGACGGGCTCTGTCCGTGTTCGCGCCACTCCGAGGGCTCGCGAGGCGAGGCCACGCCCCCTTTTCGCCTTCACCTCAAGGCGCTGAGGGGCGCGACGGTTTGGGGTCGCCTTCGCAAGCGGCGCTCGAGATTTTCCTCCTCTACACGTTTTGCCGTCTTTTTTTCGGATTTGGGAGGGGGAAACGACAGCCGCGTCCGTGTTTTTGTTTGGAAGCTGAACTGATGGGTTCGGTCAAGGCTGGTTCCCGAAGCTGAGGGAGCGGCCTCTTCTTGCCGCCCTAGGTAGACGGAACCCGGCAGCCTCCTCGTTTCTGTGAGGAGAAACACTCGAAAACGGATCGTGGTGAATCTGCATGTTGTTGTTTTGCCGAGAATCGGTCTCACGCAGTGGCGGATTTACATATAAGCTAAACAAGCTACAGCTTAGGGCCCCACTTTCTTGAGGCTCCCCCAAAATTTTAAAGGGGGAAAAAAACAGGATGTACATTTCCAAAATATAAGATTAAAAAAATAAAACATACCTACAGCAACATGGCTTTAGATACCTATTAGGTCCATAAACTACCATATATCATATATTCAACACAAAAAACAGCAACAATTTGTTGACAAAGGACAGATGGACATATAAAGGGCCCCCTTACTTTCAGTAGCTTAGGGCCTCATCAAACCTAAATCCAGCCCTGGTCTCGTGTGCCCAAGGCTGCACAGTTTAAAAATAATAATAGTTCATGCCTCTGGTATTTAATGTTTCTGCTGTCATGGCGCACAGAAAATGGATCTTGTGGATCCTGACACCGCATGGCGCACCAAAACCACCACCAAATCACCTCAGTGCCTGCAAGTCTGCATCACAATAATCACGAACCCAGCGCTTCGTGCCTATAGAGCAAAAACATACCTCTGGCTTTTTCGATAGAACCCAATGGCACATCATGTTCATGGTTTGAACTATGAAAACTATTCTATTTTATTTTTTTATTCAGTTGGGGTCCCCCATGTTCCCTCAAATCCACAGACAATCCACAGCTTGAATGCATCTACACAGACAGCCTCGTCTGTATAAAATATAGGGTGGGGGGATTGATCCTCTGAATTTCCACATGGATCCGCAGAATCCATGTCGCACGACCTTTCTGCACAGTTTGCACTACAAATATCACTTTCTAAGGTACAGTGATAGGCTCCAAGGAACACATCTCCAGGGATCCTTTGCATTTTTAAATAGGGTTACTCCCAAGCCTTGGATGCCAATGCAATGAATAGGTAATACATTTATAAGATTTTTAATAATTCATCCCACCTACATATTAATTACATGCACCCAAGGGCATAGCCAAATCAAGTAAATCAATAAAATACTTAACTAGCTGAGGTTCTGCCCACTCCCACCAACATAAATCCTGGCTATGCCCATGCATGCACCTTGTGCTTGCCAGTTCATAGATCTGTCAGTTTTTCACATTGCACCATTAATATGCCTACTAGTGTAACGCAAAATGAATGCAATTTAACCAAAGCAGTTGCTATAAGTCCATTCTAGCAGCCCAGGGTTGCCAAACTGGTGCATGGATCACCAGTAGTCTGCAAGTTTCAGGTGGCCTGTGGGTTTGCTGAAGATGTGAAATGGTTCCTCCAACACATTAAATACTTGCATTGATTTTTATTTTTATTGCTTCATTTATTTCTAATACTGTATTTTTATATTTTAATTAAAATAGTAATAAATATATATAAAAATACAATACAATATATACACAATAAAATACAAGGTATACTAAAATAAACTACAATATATAAATAAAATGCAATATACAAAATACCATATGCAATATATAGTCAGTTGTGAGATGCAACATCTTGTAGATACAGTACTCTTGTTCATCCTCTTGCCCCAGGATAGAAACTGAGCTATTCTCACCGCTGCCATGATAGTGTTGCTCAGCCCACTAGTAAGCATATGCACGTATATTTTTCCCCTCTTTAGGAAGTTTAGGAGGATCAGGGATAGGAAATAACTTAATGTAAAGCTATAATGTGTTGTGAATCAAATCCTTCATTAGTTTTACTGGAACATTTCCACCAAATCCTAAATTAAGTCGAAGGTGATAGTAATCTTCCATTAGTCTCAGCTGAGAATTAGTATTACATCTGTATCAAGATTTGTTGGGAAAGCTCATTTAAAATCAGTGGAGCATTTTCAAAGCATCCGACTTGACTAGGGATTTGATATATTTTTGAAAAACTTATTTAGAAGCAGCAGAGCATTTCCTCTCAATCCTGAGTTCCAGCAAATCTACAGGTCATCTTCTTTCCCTTCCATGCTTGATTTTTTTTACTCTAGAGTCTTGCAGCTAGTTTCATTATTTATCAAGTCTATAACTTTTTCTTTTACATTTTAAGATTGAATAACACAACTTATTGTTTATTACAGACTATACTCTTATCCAGTGTGAAGCAAGGTTCAGCTTCACTAGAGCTAATAAGCTTGAAAAAAGTCAATATTCAGGAAGAAGATTGTTTTATAATTTCCCAGTTTATGGCAACCTGCCCAGCACAAGCAAGATCTGCCTAAGCAATGTTACACATCTAGAAAAAGTTTTCTTGAACTGGTCTTTGACTGTAATAATAAATTATTATTATTAATAATAATAATAATTCCATGAGTATTTGTTAGGAACCTACCTAACAGTGTTGTTGCAAGGATAAAATGTAGGTCAGAAAAAGCCCATCACCTCCTTGAGCTCCTTGGAAGGCAAGGCAGGATAGAATTGTAATAAAAAATATTTTGTGGATCTTTATGCTATACAGTGGTACCTCGGGTTAAGTACTTAATTTGTTCCGGAGGTCCGTTCTTAACCTTAAACTGTTCTTAACCTGAAGCACCACTTTAGCTAATGGGGCCTCTAGCTGCTGCTGCACTGCCGGAGCACAATTTCTGTTCTCATCCTGAAGCAAAGTTCTTAACCCGAGGTACTATTTCTGGGTTAGTGGAGTCTGTAACCTGAAGCGTATGTAACCTGAAGCATATGTAACCCGAGGTACCATTGTACTGCTTTCCATATTCACACAGATACACAAAACCAGTTACTCAAAAAGGAGACACACTCCCCAGACCATCAAGCCTACACAGTATATAGTATATAGTATATAGGATAATATGAATGTTTTGGTCTAGAAAACATTACTACTGCTTAGGCATTTCCATCTTTTTTGTTGCCTGGTAGAGCAACTCCATGCATGGCAGACATTCTGCAAGCAAAGTCCAAACAATACAAGAAAACAGATGTTGCTACTCTGTAATATGATATTTCTTTCCCCCAATTACCCATCCATCCACAAAAGGTGGCAAAATGAGCCTCTGGTAAAAGTTAGTAGCAATGCACTTCAATCTGAAACCATGGGAAGAGGTCATCTGGATGGAGAGCTGGTCTGAGGTTTCCCACTACGCAAATGATGCCAAGCAGATGCAGGTAGGGCTGCAATGTTCTAAATCAGTGAGGTGCAGAAACAGGCTACATGAGAGTGAATAAACTCAGTCCAGAAGTCATGCTGTGGTGGGTGCTCTCAGTACCTAGACTAATGCCTCCAACTTGCCTTGATGGGGAGATTGTGTGTGTGTGTGTGTGTGTGTGTGTGTGTGTGCGTGCATGTGTGTCCATACATATGTAGATACCTTTGACTTTTGTGTCACACTACTTGGCGTAATCTTTGGCCCTGTGTACCATGGCATGCAGCCCTCGGAAGGTATCCCATGAGGGACTGAAAAAGGTTCCCCACCTCAGAACAAAGGAGAGAGCTCTTGCCCAGCGGTTGTGCTTCCATTACAAAACAGGCTAGAGATGCTCACATACTGTAACACCATCCCTATATTTATTTATTTTTGGCACAAGGTGAAGACCAAATGTTTTGAACAACTTTTTCTTTTTGCATATCTGACAGAAGAAAAACGTTTCAATGCTGCTTGTATTGTTTAGCATTGTGTTTTTAATACTGTATTTTATTCTTACAGTTTTTGTGAGTTGCCCAGGAAACTGGTGACTGGGTGGCCATGCAGATGTATTAATTCATTAATAAAGAAATAAATCAGTTTTAAGGATCGTTGTAGTTCTGCAGCTACTGTAACCAAGTAGTAGTAACTATCCTACTATAATGCTCCTCCCTCTAGAAAACCAACCTGATTCCATGAATTAGTTCATTTGCTCATGTGACCCAGTAGAGTAGAAGTGCATGGGGGTGAGTGGAATTGAACCACAGTAGCAGTTCCTTCTGTTTATGAATGCTTCAGCTTTTATGCCTGAACATATTTGATGTGTCTAAATCCAGATTCAGTGGTATGCTACTTCTTACCTAGGAGGTGTAGTATATAGCTGTAATAACTAGTGGTCATTTAATTTGCCAAATGATTTAAAGCTATCTAAGTTTGTTCCAAGGTTCCATAGTTTAACTAAGAGTTGCTTGAAGTACTTCTGTTTGTCTGTCCTGAATCTCAGCTTCATTCACTGCCCCAGGTTTTAATATTCTGAGGGCAGGAGGCAAACTTCTCTCTAACTTCTTCACACCATTTTTAATGTTATACACCTCTATCATGTCCTCTTACTTGGCTTCATTCTAAATGAAATATCGCCAAATGTTCTAACCTTTTTTCCATCGACAGCGGTATTTCTCCAGCCCTCTGATAATTTTGATTGTCTTTTTGTGTCTTTTCCATTTCTGCAATATACCTTTTGAGGTGCAGCAAACAAAACTTAATACAGTATTCCAAATGCGGTCTACCATAGAGTTGTGTTTATGCATTTCTGTACTGGGAGTTTTGGTTTTGATCCCTTTCCTAATGATCCCAAACATGAAAATTGCCCTTTTTTTTGCAGAAAGAGAAGTTGGCAGTGAAGATATAAATTGGTGGGTTTTGAACCTGTGCTGTTCCACAGGTCTGTGCTCAGAGATCTCTGAAAAGGCTCTATTTTTTATTTTATTTTAATTATTTTTTGCTGCCTGCTCCATGACGGCCCTTGCAGTAGAGGGTGCTGCGTTATCCCTGTAGCTGGCAGGCTGTGTGTTGTGAATGTTCTGCGACAGAGTGAAGAATCTCCATTGCTGTAGGTGCAGTAGCTCAGACCATGTGTGGCTAACACAGGACCGTTGTCAGAATGCTGCTCCATGATGGATACGCATGCCGGTGGTATTGCCACTGATGCTGGGGAAGTGGCTGGCAGTGTTGCTGCATTCTCTGTTCTTTGTCCTATTGTGATTTTCTCCTCAACTGGCTCTATCCATGCTGAGCTGATGTGGGGGAATTGGTGTGCTGTTCTTCGATTGGCGGGAGTTGGCAGTGTTGCCATGGATGCTGGTGGGATGGCTAGTAGGATTGATGTATTCCCTAGTGTTTGTACTACAGTCCCCCCCCCCCCCGCTTTTCTGCTGGGAGGGAATAGAACTTCCACTAAGCTATTCTGATATTACACAAGCATAAGCCGATTGCAGGCATGGCAAGGCTATAGGATTATGCAGCAAGTGAACCTTTGGCATAATGTAACTTCACTTAATGAAAATTCTAAAGACATGCTTGTGTGCACACCATATGATTAAAACCACCCCTGGGAACTGTAGTTTACCCTTTACAGAGCTACAATTCCCAGCACCCTTAACAGTTTGCAGGATCCTTTGTGGGGAGGGTGCTTTAAATGTATGGTGTGCATGCAGCCATATACACAGACGGCGGATTTTCATTGATGTACCTTTTTAATCTTTTGAAATGAATGTAGAAACAGCACACACATGTAGTTCACAAATGCAGGATAATAATAGCAATTCTTTAAATTCCTGTAGAAGAAAAGCAATTCAGGGTTTGGAAGGCATTGAGATTCTTAGGATGTAACATATATAAAGTGAAAGTTACACAGTGTGCAAATACTGCTCACAACACCCTGGCAACTAACAGTTGTCAACTCACCAAAATATTTTGTGATATACAGGTGTTGGTGGCACATCCATCCATTATCATCCAGTTTATAAAAAGCTTCCCTACCATTCCTACCTGCTTGTCTGCCGGCAGTTCTTTGCCTTGTAGGTGTGTAGACTAGAGACTATTGACAAGTCAGTGGAAAATTTATTCTGGCACATTTTTCATAGAGAAAACTCACACAGGGAAGGATTGTTTTCTGTTCACTCATTTGTGGTGCTATTCTTGCCCAAACCAAGTCACTTTGTATGTTGCATGGAACAGAAGAACAACAGATTGTCTTTCATTAGCCGTTAACATGTGTGAAGAAGTCCCATATGTCAGCTATTTGACATAAATCTGTTATTTTGTGATAGCAAAGTTGTCTGTGTGGAAAGTTGTCTGTGTGGAATATCTATAACTAAACTCTATTACTTTTTATCTTGATGTCAAAAAGTAAAACAATTGAAGCTAATTTCATTTCCAGTTTTGAAATACAGCATTTCTAACAAGTTTTACAGTATCAGCTTCATTATGTTTCTTCAGACAGTTCCTTTAAAACATGTTTAAATGTTTTAGGGGTGTTTGTGTCCTAACTGGAAATGCGAAGCTAAATTCTTTCCTTTGACATTTTCTCTTGTGTGTATCAAATATGACACAATTCCTATATGGCAAATGTGAGATATTCAGGAGGAGTTTTCCAGCCCATGAGCAGGCAACAAAATATGTGTGTCTGATCACATGTGATAACCTACATATGGGTTGCTTACTATTCCCTATATTTAAGTTCGCTCTGTTAGAAATACTGTGGGCTGGGCTGTATATAAGAACTGCATGTACTACTTAAATATATATATATGCTATGTTTATATTTGAGGAGCTCAGCATACATGGCTCCCCACCCTCTCTCTTTTTAATCCTCAACAACCCTGTGAGGTAGGTTAGCCTAAGAGGTAGTCACTGCCCCAAGGTCACCCATTGAGCTTCATGGTCAAGTGGGATTTTGAACCAAACACTCCCAGGCCATTGTTCAACCCTCTGACCACTACAGCAAACAGTTATATCAGGTCAGTCTTATGAAGGTGTCAAGTGGCCATCTGGTCCTAAACTGGTGGATACACTTCAGTAATTAGGCCTGAGGATGACAAGGAACTTGGACAAGTGCAGCCCACCACCTGCATTCTCAACCACTTAGTCTCCTGTCTTATTTTATTGAGAAGGGAAGGACTGATCAGTTCAGGAACTGATAAATTCAGGACTTCCTGGGGTGTGGTGATGGACTGGATGAGAAGGACTAAGGCAGCTGTGTATTGTCCAGGAATGTGTCCTATATAGGAAACTTGTGAAGGCTGCTACATGATGTCTTCCTGCTGATCTCTATGAGAACAAATGATACTACCAGCTCTGAAGTGATACTAAAGAAATACGATCATAGAACCATAAAAACATAGAATCGCAGAGTTGGAAGGGACTCCAAGTGTCATCTAGTCCAACCCCCTGCAATGCCATCCAACTTCTGCTTTAAAACCTCCAAGGAAGGAGAGTCCACCACCTCCCAAGAGAGATCATTCCACTGTTGAACAGCTCTTACTGCCAGAAAGCTCTTCCTGATGTTTAGTCGGAATCTCCTTTCTTGTAACTTGAAGCCATTGAGTTGAGTCCTACCCTCCAGAGTAGAAGAAAACAAGCTTGTTCCATCTTCCATGTGACAGCCCTTGAGATATTTGAAGATGGCTATCATATCTCCTCTCAGTCTTCTTTTATCCAGGCTAAACATACTCAGCTCCTTCAACTGTTCCTCATAAGGCTTGGTTTCCAGACCTTTGATCATCTTGATGATTGGGAAATATTCTGATATCATAGTTCATGCTTCTATGATAAAGGACTTCTGGTGGTAGATGGGTTGTGCCTCACAGAGACTAAAAATAATATGTTTGACATGAGTCTCACAAACCTGATCTGGCAGACTTTAAAATAAATTTTGCAGTACTGATGATGAAATTCTAGGTAGCATGATGTCTTTTGAAAATTCTTGGAGAACAGGAGAACAGGTGAGCCTATGTCCCTGCTTCAACAGGGAGAAGAGAGGGCCCCAGATACTTCTCAACCAATCAACCTATCATTGATAGCTGAAAATTTATAGAACAAGTCATTAAGTATCCAGTCTAATTTTGACAAGGCTTTTGACTCTTTTAACCAAAGAGTGCTAATCAGTGATTCATTATCAATGTGGAGAGATTAGATAATATTGTGTCGTACTTATGATCCATAACCCATTATGGGTGAAAAACAGTCTAGACTAGGATTTAATCCTGGGGCTAACTGGTTAGCAACTTACTAAACTGAATCTGTGACTTCTCCACCAACATTTGATGACTACAAAAACCTACCATACCTATAGAAGGGATTCTTTGTTCACAGCAGCTATGACTAAAGATGAATTTTATTTTTTTGAAAAGAGCAATTTATACCAGGCACATTTTAAGACATTACATTTATTTCTGTTCTTGTGTCTCTTCTTCACATCTCCTCACTAATATACCCCATTTGGTTGTTAATTTTGATTTTACAGTATGCCCCTTTTCCATGACCTCATGTTCCCAATTTCTATTTAAATAGATTATTTTTTGTTCTCTCCTCTCATTCTTTTACTTATTCATTTTTTGTGTGTGTCATTTTCTTATTGTTTTAGATATTTGCAAAGGCAAACATTGTCCATTCTCAGAGCTTGCAGAATCAGTAACCAGCATTCTAATATGTTTTCCTCTGCCGTTATTCACTGTGATTTTATTGAAATTGCTTTGAGAACAGAATTTGTTTCAAGACACACAAATTAACTGAATCTGATTAGGACACTGAAATGCTTAGATCTTTCACTTTGTAGTTATGGCTGTTGCTTGTGGGCTGAAGTATAGAATAATAATAAAGTGATTTAATAGGCTACGGCTCTAGAATAGGTTATGAATCTGACTTTTAAAGGACATGATCCAGCCAAGTTACGTATTTTTATATCCAACTACTTTCAGTGAAAAAGGAAATGATGTATTTTTTATCTATTCTTAAACCAAGGCGCGCTTTCCCTAATGAGGCCTCCCACTGCCAGTGCCTTTCCACTGTTTGGATTCTGTTCTTGGACAGAGGTAAAGTTCTCAAATCGGAACACTATTTCTGGTTTTGCGGAGTTTGTAAACCAAATCGTTCTTAAACCGGACTGTTCTTAAACCGAGGTACCACTGTACATTGATTATTGCCTTCATTTTATGGATCAATGGTCTCATTAGAAAGTAAAATTCATGTTAATTGCTGTTTTAGGGGTTGTTTTTCACCGACTGGAACGGATCCGTTTTCCTTTACTTTCTATGGTTTAAGAACAGACTTCCAGAATGGATTAAGTTCATAAACCAAGGTACCACTGTATTTGTTCTTTTCAAACAATGAACACCTATCCTGAAACCTCACATCCATTCAGATACCAGTAGTCTACCTTGATCCTTCTGATGTTTGCAGCACAACCCCCATGCAAGTTTCCCACTCTTTAATGAGACATACTGTCAGATCAATGTCTATAAAACTGCAACTTTAGCATTTTTTAAGTTTTTTAGCTGGACCCTCCTAATTCTAAAGGGAAAGGTAATGCACTTCTCTGCATTGCTCCTTTCTTTGTCCACTAGATGGCAAAAAAGAACATAATTAGCACACCAACAATTGAAAGTTCTGCTGTAGAATGTGTTTCATTTGCAAATCAAACAGTGCGGGGGGGGGGGGGAGGTTTCAGCTGCAGCTCACTTGAGCTCAACTTTCGCACCTCTCAGGTGGGTGCCATTGCCATTCTAAGAGAACAAGGGAGAATGTCATGGTGAGCTTCAGCACCTCTTTTTCTAGAAAAATAGCACTGAAACAGCATATTTTAATAGCCAACCCTGAAATGAATGTGCAAGGGTGGACTTCCAGCCCAGTGTTTTGATTTGATCTGGACTTCACAAAAAGTTATTAAATTGGAGCACCGATGGTTGTGTGCCTCTCCTCCCCACTTGTAATATTGATTGGCAGTACTGGGTGAACCCTGGAGCTTCTAGTTATAGCTCTCCCATATTAAAAGATTTGGGTGGATGACAACTGGTTTAACATATTAAAAAGAAGCAGCAAAATACAACATTTAAATTCAACTAAACTTAGTGTTTATATCACCCAGTCTTCTGCTACTTTAACACTGGCTCCCAAGAACCACTACAAAAAGTGAAGACTTAGAAGTCTGCTGAAAGAGGTTCAATCTCAGACTTGTTCAGCATTGGGTGATGTCCAACTGAGCAGTACCCAGAGTAGACCCATTGAAATCAACAGACTTTTCACTTAACCACATTGCTTTAAACGGACCTACTCTGAATACAAGTAAGACTATATATTACACACTGAGTGTTCTTTTCCATAGAGTTATGGACTCAGATTGTTGAGAAATAACTGACAATAAACATTGCTTTAAAATACTTTTATTGAAAATATGTACATTCAACCTTTCCATTAAGAGATCTACAACTACAATACAGGTTGTATAAAAATATAAAAAGAAAAACAGTTAAATTTAAGAAGGCAAAAAAATATATATCAGTAGCCAGCAAAAATTAAGACAAATCTTTCATCAAATTTTATGCAGCTTTCAAATGGCATCCAGGGAAAGTTAGTGTTGCAGTCATTTCAGAGGCCCATAATGGAAGAGCTATTTCTGATCTCCTTAGGGAGGTTGTTACAAAGCCTTGGGGCCATTACAAAGGCTCCTAGCTGTTACCAGATTCTATCTTGCACAGCAAAGGAAAACAATAAGAGGATCTTAATCAGCATAAAGAGATAAGATATACTAGTCCCAGTTCTTTAAATGTATTAGAAAGTAATTAAGTGCACAGTACAACAAATTGTCATTCTACATCAAATTGAATAAATACTATACTTGGTTATTTCAAACACAGAGTTACAAAAACAGGTGGTGTAATGTGGGATCTTCTCTTACTTGAACATATGCAGTTGCAAACTTTCATGGCTGGACAGCTTTTGTGAGCTGTTAAAATACAGAAAGAGTCATAAATACAGGTTCTGTGCATGAAGACTACTACAATACCAAATTTGAAATTCTAAACATAAATAGGGAAAACACTGGAACTTACTTCTAAGTAACCATAGCTGGAACTGGATAGCAAATTGAATAACAACAAGGCGCTCATCATATGTTTATAAAATGCGACTATGAATTATCCATCTAGCATGCAGTGAAACCCCCCGCCCCAAAAAAGAAAACCAACTTCAGGTGCCCTAGTTTAATCCCACTCTCCTCCAATACACTATCTCCACATCTACCTCTTATGTTCTGCAATGGCAGTAAGCCATTCACTTGAAACCAAGGACTTCATTCTCCTCACCCTTCAAGAACCTATCTAGCAGCCTGCTCTTGCCTTCCTATTCCACCTGTGAGTTTACTGCATGCAGAGACTTGACGGAAGGAGTCGGTGCTAGAATTTCTTAAGGCAGCCTTCAACTAGGTCCCCATCCACTCCAGCCAGCATGGCTAATTGTCAGGGATGTTGGGAGTTATCATCTAAAATATCACAGTGCACAAGTGACAGCAGTAGGAGTGTATGAATGGAGGCAGCATAGTTGGAGTGGGGAGAATTAAACTAGAGCATTTTACATACAGGATATGAGCCATCGGCTTCCATCATCTAAATCAAAGGCAGGGAACTAGATCTGTTATGCTGTTACTGTTTATTCATATGTTGTGTTTCAGTCAAAAGAATGAAGGTAAGGATCTGATAGGTGAAAAATACCATTATCTTCCCTACTCCTTGTTCGGAAAATTCAACCAGTAGGAAGGGCCACTCACCTGTCAAATCCCTGAAACGAATGATGGGATGCTTTGAAGTCCCCATGAGTGCTTGAGACTTCAAAGCACCACACAGGGGCTGAAGGACCTGGTCTGGGGAAAACTGCATTATGGCAAAAGTGGAACCCATGCCAGGCCAAATTAGGTCCATGGAGGTTGCCTATCTCAGACATAAAGTGACAGACTATGTCCCCTCTATGACATCAGATAGCTAGGTTGTTTCTAGAAAAATTCAATACTGAGGAATTAACCTTTAAAAAGTTTACACAAAGGAAAGAAGTTGGAAGTCACCAGCTGAAGGGAAAACGAAGAAACAAGGATACTCCCAGAGGGAGTGGGGGCACACACACACACACACTCACACACACATACTTCTCCAAAGGATGCACACAAGCAAGATTCTCTTCTAAACTGCTTTCCTGGGATTAATATTGTTTGTATTAATATTATTTATTCCTCAAACAGATAAAATAACAGGGAGCTAGGGGTGCAAAATTCACCCAGTCCTGGCTTTGTTGCAATCCGCACTATTTCAGATCTGCTACAGTTCAGATTCTGCCAAAACCTATATTCCTTCACTATCTGCTATAGCTAAAATTTGCACAACTGATTTCAATGGAAGGTAAACATGCTTGCAGACAAAAAGAACAGAATACTGGTCATATTTGCTCGTGTGACTTCCATTCCTGCCCTCTAACAAACATGCAGATTGTGGGGATTTCTGCTCCCTTTTCTGTTTCCGATGGAATTCTCCAGCACCCCTACAGAAAGCCCACTTGATGCTTTAGCTGGGATTCCTGCATTGCAGGGAGTTGGACTAGATGACGCTTGGGTCCCTTCCAACTCTAAGATTCTATGATTCTCTGGCACTTGGCTAAGAGGTTGCACAGACATTCCAGAATCAGCACCCAATGAACTATGGCAATTTTGCTGCTTGGGTGTAACTGGGCAAGAGCAGTTGGCCCATCCCAATGTTTGCACACAGTAACAGTGGGCACAGTTTATGCTGTGGGTGTGGTAAGGAAGATAGCAGTGCAGGATATCAATACAGGATATTTGCATAAGTTTGCTCACATGCTCCCTCAGTTTTCGCTCATTTCTCTGCCCCGATGTCACTGCTGACATCCTTACAGTGTCGTTGCGCTTTTATTTTTATGTTGCCCCCCATGGTCCTAGCCAGGCTTCATATGGTGGTGGGGCAGAACCTCGGTTATTTAAGTATTTTTATTGTTTGGGGGGAAGCTGCTCCTCCCCCAGCTATGCCCATGGCTGCCCTAATGCTATTCTTCCCTCAAGCCTCAGCTTTAAAGACAGGGAGATCTGATGCCACCCCACATCATAAGCTGCCAATTATGGGGAAAGATTTGGAAATAAACTAAGATAAAGGTAAAGTTGAGGAACCCTGGACAGTTCAGTCCAGTCAAATTTGACTATGGTGTGCGGCACTCATCTCTGCTTTCGAGCCAGTGTTTGTCCGCAGGCAACTTTTCTGGGGTCATGTGGCCAGCATGACTAAACCACTTCTGGTGCAATGGGTGGTACCTATTTATCTACTCACACTCATATGCTTTCGAACTGCTAGGTTAGCAGGAGCTGGGACAGAGGAACGGGAGCTCACCCCATCGTACGAATTCAAACTGTTGACCTTATAGCTGCAAACCCAAGAGGCTTAGTGGTATAGATCATAGCGCCACCCATGTCCCTGTCAGTCAGCACAGGTTAGTGGCTCTAGATATTATGGGTGGGAGGGGGAGATCTAACTTGTACATCTGGTCTGTCATTGCAAAGCCCTAAAAGAAGGGTGGCAATAAATTGCCAACCATTGCAACATATGAGGCTACCTTGCACCAAGGCAGACACTTGGTACATCTACAATGGCTAATAGCAGCTCTTCAAGGTGTGAGTCTTTTCCAGCCCTACCTAACAATGCTGGGGATTGAACCTGGGACCTTCTGCGTGCAAGGCAGATGTTCTATCACTAAGCCACAACCCCTCCCCATGGCTTCTGCCCTTCTGCTACACTTGCATGTCAAAACACTGCAAGATCTTGGGAGTGCCTTTATTTATCAGTTTCTCACCCTGAAGCGGAATATTGATCCATCCGTCACATCTGTGTCTCTGTACTTTAGAAACAGTGTCCGACTCGCGTGAATATAGTGTGTTGTATCTTCAGGGCACTTAAGCTGTACCACTTCTCCGTTTTTTTCTTTATCCATGAAGAAAAGATGACATTTTAGATCATCTGCACTTAGCTATGGAAATACCAAAATATAGATTATTAAGATTATTAAAGAAAAGAAAAGAAAAGAAAAGAAAAGAAAAGGACAAATATTAGCAGGATACCATTACAGTGCTATCTCAGGTTACATACGCTTCAGGTTACATACGCTTCAGGTTACAGACTCCGCTAACCCAGAAATAGTGCTTCAGGTTAAGAATTTTGCTTCAGGATAAGCTTCCGGCGGCACAGCGGCAGCAGAAGGCCCCATTAGCTAAAGTGGTGCTTCAGGTTAAGAACAGTTTCAAGTTAAGAACGGACCTCCGGAACGAATTACCGGTAAGTACTTAACCCGAGGTACCACTGTATATGTTCAAATAAGAGTTTTTTAAAAACACCATGTCCTGGGGAATTTTCTAAAGTACCACTTTCAATGGCACTGCAATTCCTTCCTTATACCAGAGTAAGAAGGTTCACTGTCTCCCTTGCACTTTATATATGCATTTTGTTGCATGTGCACTCTGGAAAAACATACGCCACTGGCCAATCTGTTGCCTCTGGAATTTTTTTATGGAAGCACATACATTTCTCAGCGCCACTCCAACTTCCCATACAAATTGGTGATTACTGACCACTCTTTAACGAGTTTCCTAGCTTTTTATTCAGCTAGGGCTTCACTCGAGGGTCTGTACACTTCTAGAGCCTGAGAGTACACAGTTCTGCCATTTTATCCTCACAACAGCCCTGTGAGGTAGGTTCGGCTGAAAGACTGACTGGTGCAAGGTCACCTACCAAGCTTCATGGCCAAATAGGGATTTGGACCTAAGTCTCCCCGGTCAACCGTTTTATATCTAACACTAAATAGCACTCTAGCCGAATAGTTAATCCTTTCTCAGGTTGAATCCTGACAAGACAGAAGTACTGTTTTTGGGTGACAGGGGGCGGGCAGGTGTGGGGGACTCCCTGGTCCTGAATGGGGTAACTGTGCCCCTGAAGGACCAGGTGCACAGCCTGGGAGTCATTTTGGACTCATAGCTGTCCATGGAGGCGCAGGTTAATTCTGTATCCAGGGCAGCTGTTTACCAGCTCCATCTGGTACACAGGCTAAGACCCTACCTGCCCGCGGACTGTCTCGCCAGAGTGGTGCATGCTCTAGTTATCTCCCGCTTGGATTACTGCAATGCACTCTACGTGGGGCTACCTTTGAAGGTGACCCGGAAACTACAACTAATCCAGAATGCGGCAGCTAGACTGGTGACTGGGGGCGGCCACTGAGACCACATAACACCGGTCTTGAAAGACCTACATTGGCTCCCAGTACATTTCCAAGCACAATTCAAAGTGTTGGTGTTGACCTTTAAAGCCCTAAACGGCCTCGGCCCAGTATACCTGAAGGAGCGTCTCCACCCCCATCCTTCTGCCCGGACACTGAGGTCCAGCGCAGAGGGCCTTCTGGTGGTTCCCTCATTGCGAGAAGCAAAGCTACAGGGAACCAGGCAGAGGGCCTTCTCGGTAGTGGCGCCCGCCCTGTGGAATGCCCTCCCATCAGATGTCAAAGCGATAAACAACTACCTCACATTCAGAAGACATCTTAAGTTCAGGGAAGTTTTTAATGTGTGACATTTTAGTGTATTTTTGGTCTTTGTGGAAGCTGCCCAGAGTGGCTGGGGAAACCCAGCCAGATGGGCGGGGTACAAATAATAAATTATGATGATGATGATGATGATGATGATGACAACACATGAGTCTTCACTCCCAAGCCTCCTGTGCTTCTTCCAAGCAAGACTAAAGCTGCAATCCCAAGCCCGCTTATATCTAAGTAAGCCCCATTGAAGTCAATAGGGCTTACTTCTGAGTAGTCATGGGTGCTTTCTACCCTGTACATTTAAAGCACTCTCATGCCACCTTCTGGCGGTTCCCTCATTGCAAGAAATGAAGTTACAGGGAACCAGGCAGAGGCACCTGCCCTGTAGAACACCTTCCTATCAAATGTCAAGGAAATAAACAGTTATCTGACTAGAAAACATCTGAAGACAGCTTTTAATAGGGAAGCTTTTAATGTTAGAGGTTTTATTGTGTTTTTATATATTTTCCTGGAAGCCGCCCAAAGTGGCTGGGGGAACCCAGTCAGATGGGTGGAATAATAATGATGATGATGATGATGAAAAGGGACTATGAGGAGCATGAAACAGTATAGCATATAGCAAGCCTGTACCACTTATGATTATAAAACTGAATGTAGCTTTTGAGCCATGTAAAGTATGTACCTAGTAGGTAGATATTGATAGTGAATTGTGCTCAGTTTGGTGGGTCACAAATTGTACAGACCTGGCATAAAGCATTTCTAAGTGTTCATGTTCTTCAGAAAAAAATATTGGTTGATTTCGTACCTTAGTGATATCAAACCTTTTGCCCTTAGTATGTGGCTTATTTGGCATATCGCATGAAAACACCTGCAAAGAAAAGACCTCTTAGTTTCAGAATGCTTTGGGAAAATATGGGATACCAAAATAATGACTAGATAGGACATAGTGTAGAAGAACAAGTAACAAACCAACCAACAGATTTTTAAAATGATGGTCGTTATCAACTACATATTTTGAAAATGTTGTTTGCTATGGATTTGGACACCTCCAAAGAAATCATAATCAAATTTTGTATGATCAGGAGATCAAGGAGCAGGTTTCCATCTATGTTTGGATACAATTCAACACCATTTAGTATCAAGATGCCAGATTTAACCTTTCAAAACTGCACTGGGTTTTTGGCTTCTTAGAATTCCTGAGCAACGACAGGTACTAGGCTGCTAGTTTCACTACATATGGGATTGATAAATTCCTGAACAATACAGCTCTTTATAATCTTTTTGTACTATAATAATGCTGTTTCATGCACTGCATCATATAGATAGATAGACGATAGATAGATTTGTGCTTTGACTATTTTTATGAATGGTGCAATATTTAGTTTGGTCCTAAATCAACATCAGGGACGCGGGTGGCGCTGTGGGTTAAACCACAGAGCCTAGGACTTGCCAATCAGCACGTCGGCAGTTTGAATCCCCATGACGGGGTGAGCTCCAGTTGCTCGGTCCCTGCTCCTGCCCACCTAGCAGTTCGAAAGCACGTCAAAGTGCAAGTAGATAAATAGGTACCACTCCGGCGGGAAGGTAAACGGCGTTTCCGTGCGCTGCTCTGGTTCGCCAGAAGCGGCTTAGTCATGCTGGCCACATGACCCGGAAGCTGTACGCCGGCTCCCTCGGCCAATAAAGCAAGATGAGCGCCGCAACCCCAGAGTTGGTCACGACTGGACCTAATGGTCAGGGGTCCCTTTACCCTTTACCTTTAAATCAACATCATCTGGATTTTTCAGGTTTGGCCAGTGTCAGTGACCAGAAAAAGGGTGCAGCTGAAATGGCAAAAATGTGATTGTCAGGGAGCCGCCATCAGCTCAGAGGCGAGAGGCGGAAGGGCAGCTGGGTTACAGGGAGCCTCCAAAGATCGTGAGAAGCAGCACTTCCTCCGCGGAGGAGGGAAGCCCTGCCTCTAGTGGGGAACGGATGAAAGGCTCGGAGGATGCAAGAGAGAGCCAAGACACCGTGAATGGCCGGGGGGGGGAGGCAGGTCCCCCTTTAGCCACGCCCTCTCTGCGCGGTAGGTTTACACGCAGAGAGGAGAGGCATCGGATGGGGGTCAAGAGACTACTCTGCTGGGGAAAGTTTAAGGACCGCCCACTCTCAGATTCTGCTAGTGACTGAGCAAGACATGGAAGTGAGACATTCTGCACTGTAAATGTTTTTGCACCAATAATAAAGCCTTTGAAAAGACCAATGGGGATCTTGAGCAACCACGCCCGTAGGCATAACAGTGATCAATAAAGAATCACACAGCTACCAGTTAAGGTCTGTGTTGGGCAAAAGTATTTCAAGTTAAATGCATATTTTAATCAGAACGTGCAGATTACTTTCTACCTTCTGCCTGCATTTCTGTGATGCTCAGTCCCCATCCCATCTCAGACATAAACAGACTTGGGTTACCTTCAGTTGCTTGTGGTCAATGTCTTTGGTCAGCACCAGCAATTTGTTTTGTTCATTGGACACTTGGCTAAAAGTAACTAACCTGCCACGACCTGGGCCTAAGAAAAGAGGGGCATAAGAAGGAAGTGCCGTGCAACATAATAGATATAACAGGATTTACGTATAAATTTATAATAGAATTTAAAATACTGGAGCTAAGGTAATTATCCATTGGAATATATATATATTCTGTGGTGACACATGTGAAACAACGTAAGTTCAATGTTCCAAAAATGATTGGGAGCACAAAGACTGAGTGCAAAAGATGCTAAAGCAATGGCAGCAAAGTCCACAGATAATGTGGTGCAGTGGTTAGAGTGTTGGACCAGGGGCTAGGATGCTCACTCGGTGACCTGGGGTCAGTGAGTGCTTCTCAGCTAGCCTACCTCACGGGGCTATTGTGGGGATTAAATGAGGAGGGGGAGAACCATATATGCCACTGGGAGCTCCTTGAAGAAAAATCTGGGACAGAAGTACAATAAAAAAAAAAAATATTCCAAAAAGGCAGCTTGGGACTAGGGTCTGGTATATCACTATGTTTGGGACAAATAAAGGACTTTCCTCCAGGTCAAACTGGCAATGACACGGAGAGGGTTTGTTGGTTTTTATTTTGTCCCACCTGATATACAGTGTATGGTTAGCTCATTGGTTTTAATTGTCCCAAGCCAATTGTTTTGTTTTACCAAACTTTCTTTTTTCTTGTTGTATATCTGGTGTCTGTTTGTGGCCTAGATTGCATGGCTTCATCTGCTGCAATCGATGGGTGTCACACAGGGCAAGGGACTTCTCGTTTGATAGGCCACAGTACCAGCCTGCCAGACTAATCTTTACAGATTATTTATCCGGAAATGTCTCAGTCTTCAGAGTATACTGCAATATACTTTTATGGTGCAATTACTGCTTTGGACATTTAATGTACTGACTAGGAACATGGAGTGTTCTCGAAGCTACAAACATGAGTCTGACCAAACTGCGGGAGGCAGTGGAAGACAGGAGGGCCTGGCGTGCTCTGGTCCATGGGGTCACGAAGAGTCGGACACGACTAAACGACTAAACAACAACAACAAAGGAACATGGATTGGATAATGAATGTTACTCTTAAAGTGAAGATGATACCTCACTTCTCAAGTGTTGCGGCTGCATGCATCTTGCTTCCTTATTTCACTGCTTAGAAAATGGACATTTTGCTCTTAAGCCTCTATCACACATTCCTGGTATAAGAGGGGTAAATTGGCTTCACTGTAGGGGATAATTAAGGACTTGTGTGGGAGGCAGCCCCACTTTCAAAGAGTAATGTTGTACATTTTTTAATTGACCTTTAAATCAAAAACAGAATTAAACAAACAAACAAAAAAACCTGGATCACTGTCACCCAATTCTTACCTTGAACACGGAAGTAATGGACCCAAGTAGTCATCCATCTGATATCTAAATATAATACACATCAAAGTGTTAACCGTCTAACTTGTCATCTATCATTCCACTATAATATAGCAATGAGTGGTAATATTCTCATGTCCCATTTCTCCCTTTGATTAGGCTACTTATCAATGAAGTAGTAAACCTATCTCTGGGCTCTACCATTTCAGGCAGCATGTAAAGGTTCCTATGACTAAAAGCCCCTCCTGCTGTATTGTGGCCAAGGCAGTCATGCTTAGTCATAACAAGGAAATGGTGTGGTCCTTATAGATTAACTCAAAGGAAAAGATCATTCCTTTTGTATTCTTTCTCTCACAGTAACTGCATTTGCTTCCTGTAATAAAATGTGCAGGATATATTGTCATCATGATTTGCTTGTTTGTTAAAAGGGTTGCTTGTTTGTTAAAAGGGTTGCTTTGCTAAACTTGTTTCCAGCCTTTACATCAAATAGTCTAATGGTGGCTAACAAGAAGAATACGACATCATAGCAATAATACATTTAAAAACATAAAAACAAGGCAACTATTTAGAGAATTGCATTTGCTATTGATATTAACCATAACTAGTTTGACCCTTAGCATTTAATGTTAAGGGTTTGTTTTCAATAGTGTTCTAGGCTTAACCAGCAGGGAGAGAACTCTCTGGTTTCAGGGGTGGAGAAGGCAAACCCATCCCTTTCGCTCCTGAAAGTTCTTTTGTTTGATATACCAAGTGGGGGGCAGCCACGATGGCACCCCACCGGGATTGTGGTGCCGGGGGCAGTGCGCTCTCCCCGCCCCCCTCTTCCTCCGCCAGTGCCTCCATTAAAAACAGAGGATGCCTGCCTGTTGTCTATCATTACTTTCCGAGTGCAAGAGTGAATCTGCCTCTTATTTATGAAATAAAGAAGTGTATAAGCAAACGTTGCAAAACAGGGAAAAAAAAATACCAACTTGTCTCATTCTGCATCAATTTTGTATTAGCGAAATGCCTGATACTTTCAGAGGTTCATGTGCTTTTAAATTATATTCCTCTAGTAGGGGAACTAACATCAAAGCAACAAAAGTGGACTTTGTAAGCGCTTGCACTTTGAGCCTTGTACGCCGTGATTGGAGGACCTCACTGTCGTGGCTGAATTTGTACATATTTACCGTAATACAAACGTCAATTTTGTGTGGATATCAGTCTGAACGTTTGGAGGGCTTATATTAACTTAGATGTTTAACTTCAGATGTCTGTACTGATTGTTATTGCATTCAGATTGTAAACTGATGCTGTTATTCGTATTATGCATGTACTATTTTTTATTTTATTGTCTTTCATCCCCTCCCCCTTTTCTGTTCAACTTGCAAATAATAAAAAAAGACTGCATAGAAACAACATACCATTTTTTTGCTGGAGTCTAGAGAGAGAGATTCCATTCACATCAAACTTCACTACTTCATTGCCCTCTGTTAAGAATAAACATTCTTCTCGACAGAGAAACTTATACTTTGTTGCTGCCTGAGAAAAACAGGAAAAACCTGCCATGAAATACGTGTGTTCCGCATACCACAAATCTGCTGAAGTGTGGGAGATATATTTTTTTTAATGTATAATGCAAGTTGAATGTATGATCTAGGAGCTGAATTTATAGGAACATTTCTGCATTATCTAATAAATCTAACTCCTACAATGTTTTGCCTTAGAACCTTATTCCTACAAGTCTTCTTTCAAAACAAAGTGATATTGTGTTTTATTATCCCCATGTAATGGATGAAGACCCAATCTTTCTATTGGAGGATTGCATTTCCTTCTTAAAAAACAAAAACAAAAAAACCAGGCGAGTTATGTATGCCAGAGCAGAAAAGGAAGGAATATAGTTTGTAAATAACCAGATCTCTATCTAGATGCATATGCACAGAGGCATTTGTCTATATCACAAACGGATTTTGCTGCAGGGAGAAAGAAGAGCCCTGTGAGATCTGCTTAAAAAGGATTGCATATACACTCCTGTATTTGATGCTTTGATAATGATAAATAAGGATTGACAGCACTGATGTGTGAATGTCAGTGTTAAACAAATTTTGAATATTCACTGTAACATATGCATATCTTCCTTTATTGTGTAGTGCTACTGTTTTTTTCTGTCGAGATATGCATTTACTAAGAAGGTATGGCTACATAATGGTCACTTTAAAAACACTACCAAATGCATGATAGGCAGCTACAAATCTTGCCAAAACAGAAATATTTTCATTATTACTAAGCTATTTGCGGGATGCTACACGATAACCTAGTAAATATTTAGTGCCATATTTGTGCTGTGCAGAAGTGACAATTCATTCTCATTCTTACCTTCTTTCTATATCTGCAGCTTTCTTCCACTTGCTGTTCCTAAAATAAAGTAAAACAAGTAAGTAGTTCAGCAAAACAACAACAACAACAAAAAACAGAATCAGAAAATTATCAGAAAACTTTGTGGTACACAGAAGTGAGAATTTATTCTTGTATTTACGTTACTTGTCGTTCTTCGGCATCGTTTCCTCAGTTCCATCCTTGTGCTGGGCTAAAAGAAATCAGGTAACATTTATTTGCATGCATTCGGCGCAAAAGCTTTACAATATCCGTGCTGTGCTAAAGTGAGAATTCATTCTCCTACTTACGCTATCTGTAGATCTCTGCCTTTGCTTTCTGCTTCTCATCTTGGTGCTGGCTGACATCGTTGTGTGGCTTACTGGAGCAGCACAACAAATTTATTCACTTGCAATGTGACTCAGAAACAACATGGCTCAGGGCCAGTGGAATTGTGCAAGCAAGGCATGCTGATGCCTGTTGTCTACATAAAATGTCCAGGAAAAAGAATAGCCACAAAGAAATTTCCGGAATTCACTTTCCAATAGCCTTTTCTCCCTCTCTGCACTGGCCACATGGTGTTGGTGGCCTGCCAGGAGGATGTGGGAACGCTCTGGGAATTGACAAAGGGGCTACCATGGTGCTGAATGATCCTGGAAAGAAACATCCCCAGGGAGAATGCGCAGCCAAAGGCAAATCAGCAACCGAGAGCAAGAGCATCACACCTTCTGTCAAGTTGTGGGTGAACATATCAGATGACACAGCGATTCTTCAAACAGCTCTTGTTTATTCACAGGCCAGGATAGAACTGAACTGAAGGGTTCAGTCAGCCTGCTTATATAGAGCTCCAGTACAACGTAACTGTAACAATTTTCTAAAACTATCCAATCACTGAACGTCACTTTCAATCCCTTATTTGCATAACTATCTACAGTATCCCCCTGCTGGCCCAGGGTGAGAACTTCAGTACATAACACCTTCGAATAGCAAACTTCAGAGGTGGGAGTGAGTGCTGACAGAATTGTAGCCAAAGGAGGCACAGTCGAATCATAGCTGTCAACCTTCCCTTTTTTTGTGGGAAATTCCCTTATTCCAGCGCCACTTCCCACTGCTTGCCACTGCTATCCCAGGTTGTTAGATATCTCGTAGACTGTCCCCAGGACAGGTGAGGCTGCTGATCCCTTATTTTCGAGGCTGCTGATCCCTTATTTTCAAATCTGAAAGTTGACAGCTGTGAGTAGAATAGAATACAGTGGTACCTCAGGTTACATACGCTTCAGGCTACAGACTCCGCTAACCCAGAAATAGTACCTCGGGTTAAGAACTTTGCTTCAGGGTGAGAACAGAAATCATGCTCCTGCGGCGCAGCGGCATCGGGAGGCCCCATTAGCTAAAGTGGTGCTTCAAGTTAAGAACAGTTTCAGGTTAAGAACGGACCTCCAGAACAAATTAAGTACATAACCAGAGGTGCCACTGTAGAATAGAATTAATTATTTATACCCCGCTCATCTGGCTGGGTTTCCCCAGCCACTCTGGGCGGCTTCCAACAGAGTATTAAAATACAGTGGTCGGTTAAACATTAAAAGCTTCCCTAAACAGGGCTGCCTTCAGATGTCTTCTAAAAGTCTGGTAGTTGTTCTTCTCTTTGACATCTGGTGGGAGGGCGTTCCACAGGGCAGGTGCCACTATCGAGAAGTGAGAAACAAGAGGGAGGAGGCTGTTAGAGAAGCCCTTAGATTTGCAGAATTCCAAACAATCTTTTTATTTCTAAAGAACCTAAGGGGGCATTCTCCCCATTCCCCCCCCCCAAAAGAAATGCACACAGTTTAATGAAGACTGAGCATGCTCAGCAACCAAGGAAGGTTGACTGGCAGTTGCAAAATAAAATAAAATGCTTCCACCTACTGAATTCAGAGAAGTAGGCTCCTGCAATATTATTGAAGGGGGAAGACTTGTAGCAAGACTTGTAGCAAGTAGCCTCATCCACTACCCCACCAGCTTCCAAACAATGCCCATTCAATACGTCTAGAGAGTCAACACCATAGCTGTCAACTTTCAAATTTGAAAATAAGGGAACAGCAGCCTCACCTGTCCTGGGGACAGTCTACGGGATATCTAACAATCCGGGATAGCAGCAGGAAGCAGCAGGAAACGGCGCTGGAATAAGGGAATTTCCCGCAAAAAAAGGGAAGGTTGACAGCTATGGTCAACACCGACTCTTAGTACTATAACAATAACATTATTATAATTTATAACTTCTACCTCACCGATCTGGCTGGGTTTCCCCAGCCACTCTGGGCGGCTCCCAACAGAATATGAAAAACACCATAAAACATCAAACATTAAAGACTTTCCTAAATGGGGTTGCCTTCAGATGTCTTCTAAAAGTCAGATGGTTGTTTATTTCCTTGACATCTGATGGGAGGGCGCCACTGCAGAAAAGGCCCTCTGCCTGGTTCCTGTAACTTCACTTCTCGCAGCGAGGGAACCACCAGAAGACCCTTGGAACTAGACCTCAGTGTCTGGACTGAACAATGGGGGTGGAGATGCTCCTTCAGGTATACTGGGCCGAGGCCATTTAGGTAAGGTTACCAGATCTTTTCCAATGAATCCGGGGACACTTTTCAACTTCCTACTAAATAGATGGATTTTGTCAGGGGACTGATTTGTAAATCTGGGGACTGTCCCCGGGAAACGGTTCATTTTTGGCAGCAATTGTGTCTGGAATCCAGAGTCTCTTTCACCACACAGGCAGCTGAACAGCATAGACAGGACTTGGCTGAACATTTACACGTCCTTGCCTGCAAATCTAAGGAAGTGGCCTGATCTGCTTCAGAATATTGGGCAAACAAACGGGAAATATTTATTTGTGAATTAACACATGCTATGCTCATCATGTTACACTGGTCATGGGTCATATGCCTGGTGAATGTAGGCAAGTTTTAACTAAATATTACTTTATATAATTTAGCTCTTTATATAATGGAGCTCAGAATACAAAGCTGAAGAGCTATGAATAACATAAATGCAAGGATGAATTCTCACGTACCACAACATTTTCTGATAATTTTCTGGGGTGGTTTTCCCTCTGAACTATTTACCATTCTTCTCTGTGTATAAGACGAGGTGTTGTTTTTTTTACTGTAAAATAATGTTTTAAAAAGGGGCTCGTCTTATACACGGATAGTGCATTGGGGGGGACGGGGGATTGGTTGCAGCCCCGAGCACGAGCTTGTCAGTTGCGATTTGGTGGTTGATTGGTGGCTGCTGCAAGGGCTTCTTTGGATTGGCTGCTGCTGCGTTATTTGGGTGGGTGATTGGTTGCTGCGGAAAGGGCTGCCATGGATTGGCTGCCGCTGCGGCAAATGGGCTTGCGATTGCAGGCTGCTGTTGGATTTCAAGCAACGCTAGCAATTTCAAGTGTTTTCAGTCTGGTTAGTGATTTTTGGTATTCCCCCTCCCCCTAAAAAAAAAGCTCAACAACTCTGGGCCATCTCTCCCCCCCCCATTTTCTTAAATTTGAGTCCCCCAAAATAGGGGTCATCCTATACAGGGGGAGCGTGTTATACACAGAAAAATATGCTACTTGTTTTACTTCATTTTAGGAACAGCAAGTGGAAGAAAGCAGATATGCAAATAAAGTAAGAATGGGAATAAATTCTCAAATTCTGCACAGCACAAATGTGGAACTAAAAAATTACAAGGTTATCATGTAGCATTCTACACATAATTTAGTAAGAATGAAAACATTTCTGTTTGGGCAAAAAGAATTGTAGCTGTTTGTCATGCATTTGGTAGTGTTTTTAAAGTGACCATTACACAATACTGAATTTTAAAATGTGGGAACAACACAGCCATACCTTATCCGAGAATATTTATATCTAAACAGAAACAACAGCAACCCTACTGTTATGTACTGAAGTTCTCACCCTGGGCCAGCAGGGGATACTGTAGATAGTTCAGGTCCACATATGCAAATAAGGGATCGAAAGTGACGTTCAGTGATTGGATAGTTACAGAAAATGGTTACTGTTGCGTTCTAGTGGAGCTCTATATAAGCAGGCTGGCTGAACCCTTCAGTTCAGTTCTGTTCTGGCCTGTGAATAAACAAGAGCTGTTTGAAGAATCGCTGTGTTGTCTGATATATTCACCCACAACTTAACAACTACCCTATAAAGCAAGCTATGTGTATGTTACAGTGAATGTTCAAAATCTGCTTAACAATGACATTCACACATCACTGGTGGCAATCCTTAGTTTTCAAAGCAATCAAATACAGAAGTGCTTATGCAGTCTTTTCGAAACACACCTCATGGGGCTCTCCTTTCTCCCTGCAGCATTTTGTGATATACATGTATACATATGTATATACCTGTGTGTGTATGTACCATATTGGCCTGAATTTTAGCCACACTTCTTTTTCCAAATTCTGACCATGAAAAGTTAAAGTGCGGCTTAAATTCGCAACCTTACAAAAATTGGCTTTTAAGATATCGCTGTTGAAACAGACATACCGTAAAACGGAATGGGTATGAGTGCCTGCAGAATTTTAAGGGAGCAACTTATATTCGGGTATTGCCTCTTATTCTTTCCCCCCTTGAATTTTAAAGGTGTGGCCTATATTCGGGTGCGGCTTATATTCGGGCTTCCTCTCCAGCACCGGCGCATACTAGCAAAGAAGCAGATGCAGACCTCCAAAACAAATATAGCCTTGCACCTCAGTGTCTCCATCCATTATAGCAACAAAAACAAAACGAGCAACATTATAAGAAAATTAACTGTTAAGAAAAAGTTGGAAGAGGTGGGAAATCAGTATAGAGTACTAATCTGTGTCTGCAATTTTCAGGAGGAGGTGAAAAATGAAGTTCTTACAGACTTTATAGTAAAATGGTTCCTTGGCACCCTCCCTATACTGTAGCTCACAATGGATGATCTTGAATGAGGCATTGTGCTGTGGGAAGCAAACAGCAGGAAGGAGTTCCTCACAGGATTTGGTCCTCTGTTTTGCACATTTGTAAGTTGTGCAAAATATACAGTGGTACCTCGGGTTACATACGCTTCAGGTTACAGACGCCATGAACCCAGAAATAGTACCTTGGGTTAAGAACTTTGCTTCAGGATGAGAACAGAAATCGTGCTCCGGTGGCACGGCAGCAGCAGGAGGCCCCATTAGCTAAAGTGGTGCTTCAGGTTAAGAACAGTTTCAGGTTAAGAACGGACCTCCAGAACGAATTAAGTACTTAACCCAAGGTACCACTGTATTGCATGAAAAGCAGCTACTTGTGGTGCTGTAAGACCTGTTTATTGGAACATAAACAAAAATAAGAAACTTCAAGCCCTATACTTCGGGAGGCAAGAATTATATATTGCCATGGATTTACTTTTTGGCCGATTGTCATGCAAGGCATGACGCAACTGATAGAGGTGGTCACCAGAGATGTGGTAGATCTTTTGATGGCATTAGATTACTCAAACTTCCACCAGAAGCAGCTCAACCTGAGATGGCTGAAGATGGTGAGGAAGGGGCTAGAGACTTATCAGATAACGGCTGGGACTATATCTTCCCCAATCTACTTTCTTGGACGAGACACATGAACAGCCATGGAAGCCAACCACTTACACTTGGATGTT